ACACACACCACAGCTGACGATATGATAAGGCAGCCTGCTGTCGCGCGTGTAAATACAAGAGGTGTGCAAACCTTATCACACGTGACTTTGTGCGCCAATAGCAATAGACACGGATACCTACGATCTAAACTAAACTGCTGCATGCAGCAAGTAGATGCGGTGCGAGAGAACGATGTACGGAATACATGCGATAAAAAAGTTTTTTATACCGAAACGCAGGTAACAGAATTGTGTTCAAAACTAATACACTTCTAATTTATGATTTGTAGTTCATGCTAGTGCAATTAATGAATGATGGATACAATATTACTCCCATAATGAGGTAAAATCTAGAAAAACGCAAAACTAGTTAACTAGTTAGTGCGAAATTCAATTGTGAATATCTCGTAAACTAAAAGAGATAAATAAGATCTGATCGCAGCGTCTTAATCTACGGACTATTCTCTATCAGATAGGATAGTTGAAACGGAAATCGGAGAGATGAAATTTTCATTCTTAGGAAAAATTGCCAAGGGGGTGCTTGATACTTTTTTCGACGATTTTCATAATTAATATCTCTTTAACTAAAAGAGATAGCTACCAACGAATTATTGATTATGAAAGATTGGAAAATTCTTTATCAGATAGAAATATAAAATAATTATATTTCCCACAGTAAAAGGTCGAAAATCGCGACTAAAAGTGCTAAAAGTGACATTTCTCAATTTTGCCCATTTTATTTAAACGCGAATATCTCGTAAACTAAAAGAGATTAATGGTTTTCACATTTTCCTCGATTTTATATACATGCTATAAATGCAAATATCTCATAAACTAAAAGAGATAGAGATAAACAAATTGCCGATTCTTAAGCTATGGGAAATTCTTTATTAGATAAACTATTAAAATTGGGAAATAAGCAGGGTCGAAACAAGTTTATATCGAAAATGGACAAAGGGAGATAACCTTTGGAACATTTTCTTTTTTTCTCTATATTCTATTATGATTCTGTTGTTCTTGGCAATTGAAGTTTTTTCTGTTTCGGTAATTGTCTTTTGAACTCCTAGGCCAAAAATACTGGTGAGGTAATTAAATAATTCAGGTAATTAAAAATAATTTTATTCGCAGGTTACATTTCCAGTGATGTCACTCTAAAAATCGTCGATGTTTGTAAATTTTCGGTGTTTTTTCCTGAAATTTTAGCTTTTGCTTTGATATCTAGTGGTTTTCTGTTCATATTACTCTTTACATTATATTTTTATTTATTCAATCCTTTATGGCAGCCTGGGTTTATTAATATTTGTAAATAAACATCTCTTTGAATTGCGTTCATGGTCACATTGTGCTAACGCATCGCACACCTGATAGTGGCCGCGTGTTGTCGCCGTCGGCTGTGCACATGCAGTTTTATTTCGGACACAGATTGAGACGCGTGCATTTATCGCGACTAGTTTTGTTTCTTCCTATAATAATTATTTATATTGATGGCATATACCGGAATCGCGTGTTAACCATGTTTTGCAGGTGCGTGCGTTAAATCAATCAATCGCGGAGTAATCGACGGTTCACTTGTGCGCGTGTTAGGTTTTGTCGGCCGTCGGTGATTGTTCTTTGCCTGTGAAATTAACTGAAATCAATTTTAGAATAGGACCTGCTGATCCTCAATTAGCAAATACAAAATGCTACCGTGTAAGTAAAATTAATCGGATAATTGTCGTCTCCAACGCGGATTGTGTCACTAGTCCTCTCCAGCCAAATATGGTAATGAAATCTTTCCATCAGAGCTTGAATATTTGTTTTCATTACGCAAAACACTTATGGACGATCACTACAATCTGTCATTTGTTAAAATATTCATATTTCTTCGACAATTGTCCAAGTATTTATTGATATTAAGCATGTATTAAGTAGCGCGATTTAGTTTATATTTATGATGATCCGTCGGATCGTTTACCTGGCACTTTTTAAAATTATAATAAATTAGTAAAAAACACATTTATAGTTAATTATGTGTTATCTACTTGATAATTTCCAATGCTTTTACAATAGAACTTACCATCTTAATATATTGTGGGGACTACCATCTCACCATCTGGGTTTTGAATTCTTCTTCTGCCTTGCATGCCATTTTCCCAAGAATTCCCAAGATCTTATTTTTACTACTTTTCTATTAGTTTACAGCCTTTTATTTTCCAACTTTCTTGCTGTCATAAACTACCCTTTAAAAACCTAATCCCCGTGTCGGACGGTTTAATGCACAGTATCTAGCGTGAGAACAGTCCGACTCGGATTCCCAGAATCCAATGGTCAGTTTTCCCACTCTTTAATATGTCATACACTTTCTATTTTTAACCAATTAAAACTATCGCTTCCTTCCTACTTCTGAATTTCTTGTCACCACCCATCAACCTGAAGGGTTGCTGGTGAGTGACAAGGGTGTAGGAAGATCACTTCTTCACATTACTTCAAGCTCAACACTTCTCTACAAGACTTGATATTCTACGCTTCGTCAACGCATTTCACTTGGTAGTCCTCCACGTCATTAAATAAACCGTAAGTCGTGATATCAAACCTTGTGTATTATTCGTAATTATAACAACACACTACACACACCGATCCCACAATATATATATACAAATTTTATTATAAATTGTTTCCTTTGTGTAACATCGTGCCTAAGAAAATAGATTATCTTTTTTAGTTTTGTTCTGTTCATTTTGATCTTTGGATATGTTTTTAAAAGTAGTTTTGTCCTTTCTTTAAAACTCTGTAATTTTTTAATAAGAGCTTGTTTTCCACTTGAATTTTCAATTTTCTTTTGGGACACCCTGTATTTTGGTTTCCTTTTACATCCATGTAAAATTACCTGCTTTTGTCATTTTAAATATGTCTCTTCTTGATCTATGATTTTATTTATACCACCCTGTATGTTTGTCTTTCTTTATCCACGTTTAAAATTGGACATATTTGTAGTGTTTGGAAGAATGCCCTCCTGAACTTTGGTAGGTTTGGTAGTATATATCTTAAAATGTTATTGTTTTTCTTTTTGTAACACCCTGTATGTTAGTTTTCCATGTTGTCACGTGATAAATGATAAAAGTTAGTCATTATTCAGGTTTGCGTTCTTGAACATTTAATTTTCTTTATGGTTGTTTTCTTTTATGTACGACCCTGTATTTGTTTCACGCGAAAATTTTTGTTATCCTGGTTATTGTATTCGGCAGTTTCCCAACTTGAATTTTAGTTTTTCTTTTGCATCACCCTGTATTAATTTTTTCCTCATTATATAGTAAAAAATAGGCCATACTTTCTATTATTAGGAGTTGTATTTTTAAAATTATGATTTCCTTTTACAACACCTTGTATATTAATTTTCTTCCATGTCAGGTAACAAGTAATTACGATGTATGTTATTCACTAACACTAGATATTTCTTAAAATATTGTCGATGTTTTTGTAACACCCTGTAGAATAATTTCCCGGGATGTCACGAGAAAAGTGGTAGTGATATGTGTTCCTACTTGAACGTGAATTTTCGTTTTAAATATTATACTTTTCAGTTTGTAACACTCTGTATAATATTTTCCCTGATATTCTGTGAAAATTTGGTAACATTTATTAGTATTATTGTGTTTTCTTATTTGAACTTGATGTACATGTAGATCCTTGTATATACCATGCTGGTAACAAGCTTTGTTTAAAAATGGCGGCAAGTTCTCTAAGTGTTATGTATTCTAATTTTAAGTTACGTATATAAATATTCTAATAAAGAAATATTAAGAAACATTGTAACTTATAGTTACCTAGAAAACACCTAGAAAATAAGCCCTTTGCTCATTTCTTTATCCCTGTAGAATTGTAGAACATTATTATGTGGTACTTGCTTACATGTGCGTGGCTATGCACATTATTTGGTTGATTTGTAAAATCATCCGCGAGAAACACGTACGGCACAATAAACAACCGGCACAAAACTGAGCTGAGCACAACACGCAGCGCAATAGATGCGCAAAGCTGGCGGCGCGTCGATGACACACGACTTTGTGTGCGAATTGCAATTGGCACAACACATGCGATTTAAACTAAACTAGAAAGACAACACACGGGAATCTCATGCGCTGCATTTCACGCGGCGGAAGAGATAAGAAAGTAAATTGTTCAAAACAAATACAATTGCCGAATGTCTACGTTTGCTGATAAATATAGAAATAAACAATACAAGTCTTATTTTATGAAAGTATTAAAATTAATGAAAAATTTAAATTCTATATACATAATTCAAGGAACATACATATATTACTCTTCTCTAAAGAAAACTTCAAATTTCCAGTATTAATTTTGCTGTCATTTGGTAACACAACAGAAAAATAACAAAACGCAGAGCTAAACTAAAATCTAGGTTCACGGCAAACCCTTTCCATAAATAATAAAGTATTAAAATTATTTGAAATAAATATTAAACAAGACATCATTTTCAACCATGTTGAAATAAATTTTAGTTCTGTCGGAACGCAATCATTGAATTAAAATTCTTGTTATTCGAATAATAATGATAAGAACGACAATAATTACCAGGTTGCACATTAGTCCATGCTCCTCTGTTGATGACACAAACGTTTTGCACAGTCAATTAATTATTGGCATGCACAAAATATCATCGGCCGTCGCCCGTCGCCCGACGGCAACGGACTCAGAAACACGTGAATAAATTAAACACGCAAAATTTAGAATTTAGAAGATTACACACGCGATAAATAGTTGAAAACATATCAAACACGTTTATTAACACTAATTACCACCGGCGATCAGGAACTATAACGCGATTTGGCCAACTTATATCAAAGAATAACACGAGCCGAAAGTGTGGAATGTGTGCTCGCTGTTATCACACCGATGCAACAAAACAAAATGCACTCGTTGGAATATTTTCAGTTAATACTACATCCTTGCGCCATCTGATGACTCTTTATAGTACCTCACAAATTTATTTATTTACAAATTTATACTGGCGTGCGAAAATGGCCTCGACGCCAAATGACGCCAAACACAGTGTTTCAGTGTTGCCAACTTGAATTTTGAAATAGGCGTAAATCACATTAGAAAATGACGTAGATTTAGTAAATGTTAGTGGTCCTGTTTGTTTTCCATGAGACATGAGTACTAGATTCAGGTGATAACGTGTTGATACATTTGTTATATCATGTATAACATAGATAACACTCTCAATCCCAAACGATGCCGACCTTCGTAGCATATCATCGACTACCATCCGGGGGAGATGCAAATGAGGCACCGGGAAGAAGTTATCAGGTCAGCTTCAAATACTTCACGTATGCAACGTGTAGTTTACCATTGCTGGCATTCTGTTTTTGTATTGGATACTCAATCATCTATAACTTCGAACGATCAACAGCTACCTCATGTAGGGCGCGCAATGTACTGCCTTCTATATCAGCAGCAATTGGTGGTTTCTCACCTCAAAGGGAGGTTTGGCAGGTGGCTATTTCCCTTGATTTCGTGCCAAGGTAAACTCTCATATATTTTAATTAACAATTTTAGAAATTGCTTGTGTTTTAGAATGGTGCTGATATATGTATATCAACACTATAACTACAGCAAAGCAGGAAACAAATTAGTTTACATTCGAAGTATTTTGATGCTAATTGAAAACTTTGCCTTGATCATATTGACGTATTATGATTCAACACATGATTATAGTAAGTAAATTTATGCATCTGATGAGTATTCCATATACCAAGAACTCTTTGTTTATGTTGCAGCAATTCATCGAAATGCCTTTGTAACATTCATCATCTCATCACTGCTCCACATGTTCCTACTCTTCTGTTCACAACGACGAAATGACCGCTTTGAAATAAAACTGAAGAATCATCTAGCCATGGTGAATTTCATTGGAATATTTCTTGCAATGTTTTTCTTCATAGTTCATGGCATTCACTGCCCAGATTATAGTAAATCTCATTTTAATGATTTTAATTGCACTCTATTGAAACAATATTTTTTTCTAGTTTATAGTTTATTCGCACTCTGTGAATATATTGTGGTTTTAACGAATATTGCTTACCACGGATCTATTATTTACGACTTTCCCAACAAGTACCTGACATTATCACCAGGGGATTGCATACGCCTTGGGGACCAGAAAAGATACATTACGATGCAGCCGTAACATTCCCACAGAGTTATTCTCGCTAAAATACCGATTTTAAAGTTCTTTTTTTTGTTTGTTTTAGAAATGTTAGAGATTATCTAGATAAGCAGAAGATGTGACTATTTTTGAAAATACTGCGCCGTCATCTTGTCGGCTATCATCCTCGCAATTGCAAGCGAACTTGTTGCGCCAGGTGAAGGCGCATTTCTGCAGTGTAAAATCCTTCGACCGATTTCAGTTGTACCAGAAAAATCGAACACAAAATCGTCAATGAGTTCTCCGTCGGAACCTAAAGCTTGAGCGCGAACACCAGCAGGTCCCTTCTCAACAGAATCACGGTTTAACGTTGGAACGAATCGTTGCAATTGTTTCACTTGTAAACTAGGCATGAAAGAATACTGCATTTCTTTCATTCCAGCTGACATGTATTTAGCTGCTAGTTTTCGGAATCCAGAGTATTTTAATGCGTCTGCCAATTCGCCTACGTTCACATCTGTCCATCTAAAACACAGATAATATTTAAAAAACATCTAAAACTAACCCAAGCATATGTCACAAACTAATATCAAAGTAAATGTTAAACTTTTCCATTTTAAATGCGTTCTAAATTGAGTTATATTTGCGTAAATACTACAACACCTATGAACATACCGGTATCCTTCCCGTTTAAATGCTAGAACTGCATTGGGACCCAACCAAATTGATCCATCCATTCTCGGAGTGAAATGGACACCCAAAAACGGTAATCTTGCGTCAGGCACCGGATAAATATTCCCTTTTACCAATTTTGTATCTGGTACATTACGCATTATAAGGTATTCACCCCTAAAAGGCACAATTTTTGGAAATTCTGAACACCCTGACATCATTGCCAACTTATCAGAGTGTAAACCACCACATGTTAAAACGTATTTTGCTTGAATAACACTCTCCTTATTCTTGGAATAAATCTCCACTGGATAATTCGGATCACTACCTGGCCTAAACCCAGCTACATTAAAATTTAAAACAATTTCCCCTTGATTATTAACAAAATCTTTGGCATATGATTCAGTAACAAGTTTAAAGTCAACTATTCCAGTCATTGGAGACCAAATGGCTTTGATACCCACACAATTCGGTTCAATTGAAGAGATTTGTGCACTCTCAATCAGTTTCAAGCCAGGAACAGAGTTCTGCAAACCTCTTTTATACAAAGCTTCCAGTGAGTCCAACTCAGTGGGATGAGTAGCAACAATTAGTTTGCCAATTTTCTTATATGGAATGTTGTTGTCCTCAACATAGTTGTACATTAATCGCATTCCCTCCACGCAGAGTTTTGCTTTAAGAGTGCCGGGTTTGTAGTAAATACCAGCATGAATTACGCCGCTGTTATGCCCACTTTGATGAGCTGCAAGATGAGGCTCCTTGTCCAAAATTGCCATTTTAAAGTTTTTAAATCTGAGGGATAGTTCCCGGGCGCTGGCAGTTCCTACTATACCTCCACCCACTACGACTATATCGTATTTACCTTTAGAAGATCTTTTAAATACTAGTAAATTTCATGTTTTGCAAATCTAACTTAAATGAATGTTTTGACTTACAGTTTGCTGTAGTTTTTGCCTCTTGATACAGCTGTATAAAGTGATGGGATGCTTGGTCCAATTCTATTCATCTTGCTGATGATTTATAACAAAACTTTAAATTTAAACAAGAAAACTAAAATGTTTTATGTACAGACTAACGAAACGAAAAACTAAAACATTGAACAAAAATTCAGGTTATATTGACACTAGCACATCAGTGCATTTGTGCTAGCATATCCCGTTTTAGCAATAACACGTGATAACACGACACTTGCTGTAGTGATAAGACGGATTATTTAAGCTTGGATTTTTGAACTAAGATGTAGGAGTTTACCACAAACCTATTCAGATATTTATTCTGATGTTCTATTTCTTTCAGTCAATTCTCATGTTATTCATGTTTAATTATCCTAAGAAGAAACTTGTAAACAATACAGCATATTGCCAAAGATGAGGAACGGATTGTGCATAAATCAGGAGCAATTTAAAATATACTTGAATGGTGATAGTACATTGAGTACATTTTTTATTGATGGTGATGAAATTCTAAGCTAAGTGTATACAGCGAATTTGAAATAATTTTTTGAATTTTGCGATTTTTTTTCACGTTTTCTAACTTAAAGAGAATGTAAATTGACATCAAAGTGTTCTTGCATCATACCAATAAATCGCTCCAAGCTTATCGCATGCCTGCCTGTTTTACAATTAATTATTGATCGATCAACGAACAAATATAAATATATTATAAAAAGTTTTACGGTATCAAGTTTGAATAAAATCGTAAATACCCATTTAAAAAACTATACCGCGTACAAGTTCTCATTGATTGTGTGTGTGTATTAATAGTATTTATACAGTGATATAATAATAATGTTTAAATTAAACGCTTCGAGATAAGTTCTTGAGGATTGCAAAATATTCAATGTGTAACAGAGAACGTGTGTAATGTATGTTAATGATATTTTTGTTAGTAGTATTTTTTTGTTGCTTTTGTGGATTTTATTTTCGTAAAAACGCGCTTTCTTGTTTCGGTACTTTTCTCTAAATATGTTAAATGTTAGGTAATGTATAAAGTAAGTATTGGATAATAACACATCACGGCTTCTACAGTCCGCTCATCTGTCTAAAAAAAATTATTATAAAAACCATTCATTCCACACATAATTGTAAAAAGTAAAAATAATAACAGCTTAATGTACAATTTCACTAAGTCCGGGCGCGCCGGATGCCATCGCATTGAACATAAACTACACCTAAGGACAATTTACTAATTGCAATACTTAAATAAACATCGGATTGACACCAAAAATTATGATAGCAGTAAAAAAGGGGCTGATTCGGTGGGATGAGATACTCTTAGACAACTTAAACATTATTGAAAATTTCTTCTAAGTGACGCGCGCGCTCGTGGTGGTGTTGCTAGTCGTGGGTAAGTCTCCGTCTCTTCGAATATGTGAATGGGGGGCGGGCGAGAGAGGACGGGCGCGACGAACGTGACGCCGCGCCGCCTCTGCTCGAGCATATTGTATCGTTATTAATTGCAAACACGTACCGTTCCCCGTGTCTAGTCATCGCCTTCCTCCTCCTCCGACTCGGCCTCTTGCAACCAAGTCAACCATTGGTTTACCTACAAATCACCAGATATTCGTCAACAACGGAACAAAAAACGGTAAGTCCACAAACAATCATTAAAATGCCTCATAATATAAATAACAATTTATGCTCACCTGAAATAGAGCTTGGCCTTTTCCTGGATACACGTCGGTGATGTCCTCCTTCCAGTTGAGGAATGCCTCTTCTTCGACGATCGACAAATCGTACAGCGCATTGAACCAACGCAGTAGCTGACCACGCGGAAATTGCTGTGAGAAGAAGTGCACCTGAAGCGCGTATATAGCGATCAGCTGCAAGCCAGGTTTCTCGTGCAGGAACGCATGCAGTATGGGTTGGTAGCGGTCCAAAAGTTGCTTCTCCTTCTCGGTGATGGCCTTGTCATCACCTCCGGATTCTATTAACGCCTCCTGCACACAAATTGATAAAGTTATACGCACAATTAAATAAATTCATAAATTAATGTTGTACATACTTGAGTGATATATTTGAGCAGTACAGTCATAAGAGCGGTGATGAACCCAGGATCATTGAAGTCAATGGTTTCCAAGTTCTCCTTAATCCACTTGTAGAACTGCTGAGGATTGGGATCGGCCGCCAGCTGTTTGCCGAGGTCCGCCTCAAGTAGGAGCATCGGACATAAGAACGTCAGACGTTTCTCCTCGAGGATCTGCGCCAGACGCTCCTTGGTACGATCATTCTCGGGTATCTGCCCCAACAACTCAATTTTCGCATCATTAAAAGCAACACTCAATTGCTTATCGTTCTGTATCTGTCGAATCTCGTGCAATGTGTCCAAAAAGAGCGGGTAATAAGCGCCATGTTCCGTAAATAACGCCAACTCCTGCAAAGTGATCAACTTCTCGTTGTATCCGGCAGCAAAAATCACCGCCAATGATCCAGTAATTTTCTCCTTTTCATTTTCACACTCATCAATAAGATGGCAGAGTGTTTTGAAGGCATCGTTCAACACAAGAGTAGTCAATTGATTCTCGCGTTTCAGTTCGGCGAGCAATTCGATAAACTTGCTTTTCTCTTCAGGATTCTTCTCAAGTGTAATCATCTTCAGCGTATTGACAACGGCATCCTTCGCAAACTTCTCTGGTACTTTTTGTTCCTTGTAGCATTCTACGGACTGCTGAAGAGTGGATTCGCCCTTAATGTAATCCTCGCTGATCGATGCGAACTTCTTCAGAACCTCCTCTTTACTAACGCCCTGTTTCTCCTTCTTTTGCTGTTTGGGTTTTTCAGTGGGAGCCGGCCTGATCGGCAACGGCTCCTTGTGAAGCGGGGTTTGTTGTTTCGGGGCAACAGAGTTCGAGTTGAGCGGCGGGTCGACGGGCTTGGCATTCATCAGGTTTTGCGTCTTCACCGACGGTTTGCTAAAGAGCATCGAGTTGGGCGGCGGACGCAGCTCCAGCTCGTTCAAATTCTGCTCCTTTGAAACGATAAGGTTGCGCTTGAAACGCGGTGCTAAATCTTTGTTGGATTCTACAAGAAAAATAAGACGCAATAAATCAAAATCTAGTGTCATTGTCTTTGGTTTGTTAGTTTGTTCTCTACTTACGATTGTTGTAATTGTTACTGCCGTTGTTCTGGTTGTGCTTGTACTGGCCGCGTTGATTGCTGCTGAAATTGTTAAAGTTGGAGTTGGAGCGCTGATTATTGTGGGCGCGATAATCACGATCGCGGTTGCCACCGCCACCGCCACCACCACCGCCTCCTCCCCCAAACCCATTTGAGCCAAAAGCATGAGTGGGAATAAGATTGGCCGAAGACGAGTTAAAGTGTAACCCGCCAAGGTTACCCATAATCATCTCGTCCAGGCCGGAGCGCGTCTTCATCGGATGGCGGAAGAGATCCGGCACATTGTTGGAGCGATCCGAGTCGCGGTCGCCACGATGATCGCGATCGCCCCGATGGTCCCGGTCGCGCCTGTAGGACGGGCGGTCGTCGTCCGCCGGCCGGATCTGATTGATCGGCACCGGCCCCTCGACCACAGCCACCTTCCGCGGCGCCCATTTATCTCTGCGTAAATCAATGATGTCCTTGAGCATGAAGCGGATGCGCGGCTGCAGATCCATATTCTCCGCCAGTGTCTCCATACGCTCAAAGTACTGGTCCATCAGCCCTTTGCCCTTGTTTGTGTCCAGGTTGCGGCCGCACGTGCGCAATATCTGGCACAGGCACTCGAGGTCCTCGGACGGGTCGTCGCCGCGCCGTGCGCACAGCAGCTCTTGAATGCACCGGTGCAGGATGTTTTCCGAAAGTATTTCCAGCTTGCCGAGCTCACCGATGAACTTGATGTTGCCGAGCATCTTGCGCTTGGCGAGCTGGCGGCGCTCTTCGTCTTCCAGTGACTGACTATTGCGGCGTCCATATTGCTCCAGCAGCTCGGAGCGGTGCTCGAACTCGACTTTGCACTTGTTGAGCAGCAGCAGGCGGAAGGTACACGGGCGGTCAGGCGGCTCAAAGTTGGGTGCCTCCTCCGATAGCCGCTTGCACAGCTGCCCGTACATAGACGAGTACTTGGGTTCATCGAGCGCCTTGTCGAAGATCAGCAGGATGACGCCCTTGAGGATGATGCCTGATGACAGTTCGGTGCGCAGCAAGTCATCGCTCAGCTTCTTAAATTTATCGGGCGTGAGTTTGTTGAGGATGCCGCGCACCTTGCGGAAGACGAGGTCGTGGCGGGCGTCGCTCGCCGTCGATGCATCCTTGTGGCGCAGTGTTGATGGAGGGACCCAGCGTCGGTTGGCGGGGGGGAATTGCTCCTTCCCCGAAACACGAGCTTGTGGCCCCGTTTGCCTGGGGCACTCCGTCGTGGTGGGTTTGCTACCACCGGCCGCAAATCCTTCACGCGCAGGCACTTGTCGTATTCACTCGCTGGCCCAACCAAGCTGTAACACACGAGAGCGTAAGACGCGCGAGGTGAATGACCGACCGCTTCTTGTGATTCACGCGCTAGGGGAGAGAGAGGTCAAATTCAAGGCCAAAACGCGCACATACCAAGGATGTCTCAGAAAAGTGCAATCCTACAACGATAGCGCATCGCACCTGCAAGTGCAAAAACAAAATATTTCGCCTGCACTCGCCGATATGTGGGTCAAGTGCAACAAACGCTCCACGGTTTATTTTTAACGCGCTGGCACTTGAATGAACGTTATTGTTTAATTTGCTTCAACTTTCCTGTGCTAATACAACTTCATTTACAATCAACTAAAGCGCGAGTTGCGCCATTCGTGTTATCGGTCAAAGACGACACAATAAAACATGACGAAAACACCGTTCGAGGCTGGCAGACACATCGTTAAATGGCTAATGTACTAAATCAACAAAACCATTAAGTTCGCAGCGAGCACTTTTTTCATATGACGCGTCGTCTAGACTATCGAGACGTTCGAAGTACATTGCACCCCCAAACGACCCCCGAAATCAACACGAATAGACCCATGACGAAAAAAAACAAGAACAAAAACTAGTAGACGGCAGACGCGACGCTGCGACAAAGAACCTTCAGGTTAACGCTTAACGTAATCTAACAAAGCGAGATTCCACGGAATTAACAAAGCGCATTCTAGAAATATCGCATGACGCACACGTTCGGTTCGGCAGTACGTGCGAATCGAAAAAAATCTCCCAGCGCGTGTGTGGAAAAGTACGAAAGCACTTACCGATCAAAGTGAATGAAAGCAAGAATATATGGTTAGATTTTAGTAAATGGTGGCGCAGCTTACAAACTAAACACTTGAGAACAACGCCGAGAGTAGCGAGTTGAGATAGAGATGTCGTGCGGTTAGCGAATAGAAATGGACGTGGACTTACAGGGGCCGATGCTCGTTGTTTGCGAGAGGGCACACTACACTGATGGCTAGCCGTGCGCGCTGCGCTTGCCTTGGCTGGCTCTCGGGTCTTTGGGCGCTGCGGGCGCTTGAGTTGGCAGAAACGCGTCTGGGGAGATTGCTTCCTCACTCGCTCGCACACACGGCGCGCAGCCGCCGTCCACCTCGCTCGCCCACACCCGCACGCCAGCGATTTAATTGACACGCGCGGTCACTGGAATTTCGTCGCAAAACTAGTGGTTCCGATACGGATTTACCGTGCCGGACGTCGCCAAAACGTGCGAACTAGCGCTTGAGTATAAATGTTATAAATGACTTCTTGTGCATTGCTGAAACAAAATTGCATCAGCATATAATTATATGCAATCACATTTCTTCACTTACAGTAATAATTTGTTGAGTCATAAAAAGACAATGACATCAAGGCACAATTTTCCAGAAAATTCAATATTGCTAGCAGTAAAACTACCAAAGTCTTGTCTTGGCACACATCCAAGTGGTATTGCACATAGTCCCTTATTAATAAAACCCTAAAATATTTAATTTATTTAGTAAAAAGTATTGTAATTTTTGCAGAAGTAAATTCTGGATACCTAGGTATAAAAGTCAATGAGATTGCTGCTTTCCAGACCTCTCTCTGGGGAGAATATCCACCGATCGCGGATGAAATGGACGGTAGGATGTTGTACGCCCCGCAGGTCGTCGCGGTCGAGCTGTGAAAGTCGTACACAAGCGAGTAGACAACGCAGAATGTAAAGGCGACACAGGGGATACTACACGTAAACAAGGCATACTTTTTAAACTTGATGCGAATCCAAGGCGCTGGTTCCTCTTCATATTCGAGCAGCCGCTTGTAGCGGGCGGTTTTCGAGACCATCGTACCGACCTTCGGGCGCTTTTCATCGCTGGAGTATTTTGTTATTATCAACTGCCATGTAAGCGATTTTCCGGGCGATACATTTTGAACGCGGATCGGCTGTACTAGATTGGAGAGGTTACGTTTGGTGGGTGGATATGATAAATGCATATATGCTGGTTGCCTACGTTGTCGTCTATCCCGTATTAATTTGCGGTTAATATAGTTCATCCCGCTTATCTACTATACAATCATTTAGACTAAGTTGTGCCAGCAATGCAATAAAAAATAAAGAAAATAAAAACCAAAACATCTACACGTTTCACTTTACAGTCACAAACGTATTCGCAAACATGTGGGCTATACTAAAACCTATTTTATTCTACGGATCTGCGTTTCTTTTTACTGGATTTTTATCTGTAAGTTAATTATGTTGCAGAAACTAACACTCAACAAGTATAATACTTACTCAATACATTTGGTTTTAGATGTGCATATTCTTAATATCAACGACGCAAACTTACCCGGCGATAAAACGTAGTAAAAAAGAAAAGTATTTCCAAGATTTGTCTAGTAATAGAGATATTGCATTTCCTAGCATTAATGAACCAGCTTCAATTAATTTAAGTGTGATTATTCCAGCTTACAATGAGGAAGAAAGATGTAAGATATGTTTGATATAATTTTATAATAATTGATACTATAATATCAATGTTTTAGTGGGAGTCATGCTTGAAGAATGCATAGATTACTTAAATTCACGCTGCAAAGAAATAAAAGACTTTAAGTATGAAATAATTGTGGTTAGTGATGGCAGTAAGGATAAAACTGTTCAAATTGCTAATAAATATGGCAAAAACTTAGGTTCTGATAAATTCCGAGTTTTGGATTTGGAAGTAAACAGAGGGAAAGGAGGCGCAGTCAGATTAGTGTGTGTATAATTCCTATCTACATATTTAAAGTTAATAATTTTCCTTTAAAGGGTATGCTTAGTGCAAGAGGTGCTTTGTTACTCTTCGCTGATGCTGATGGAGCTACAAAGTTTGCTGATTTGAGTAAATTAGAGGCAGCTATGGAGGGAATGATAAATTGTAAGTTATCACTTTATTCAAGTAATTGGAGAGTAATATTATTTTGTTGCATTTTAGGCAATTATTTAAAAGATTTGAAAGCAATTGGGTCTCAAGAAGCAATATCAATCGGATCGCGTGCTCATCTAGAAGAAGCCGCTGTGGCAACAAGAAGTTTCTTTCGCACAATCCTCATGTATGGCTTTCAATTTCTGGTTAAACTTTTTGCTGTTCGCGGACTACGTGACACTCAGTGCGGGTTTAAACTTATGACCAGGGAAGCTGCCAGAAAATGTTTCATCAGTTTGCATGTAGAAAGATGGTACTTATTCAATTTAATAATACTTCACAATTTACACCAATTCATTATTTATTTTAAAGGGCATTTGATGTTGAAATGTTGTTTATTGCACAAAAACTAAAGATCCCCATCACCGAGGTGGCAGTTCGTTGGACAGAAATCGATGGCTCAAAGATAACACCTTTCTGGAGCTGGTTGCAAATGGGCATTGACCTAGTACTGATCTGGTTGCGATATTTGATCGGGGCATGGAAAATTAGCGCAACCAATAAACATAAATAAGATTTAAGTTCATGCTGTGAATATTCTTATCAGTTGAAAATCTGATGTGTATAAATACACAGTAACCATTGTAATGTGAAACAAATAATAAGTGTAACACTGATTTATGGTTTATTTGTATGTGTACATATAAATCGTTTTCCAATTTTCTAAAACTTAATTTATTAGTGAATGAATTTAATTTTGTATGCAAATGGTTTTCATAATCTTGCTTAATACAAATATAGAATAAATCATCGCACCAAAACTGTTTCAATGAACTTGGCAACAGGTTTTAAAATAATTCTCATGCTGCAATAAAACGCGTCACATCTTAAACACCAAAACACTCCACATCATACTTTTGTAAACAATTATCTAGGTATAAATATTCTGCATTGTTTTAACCGAAAATCAGTTGCAATCAAAATGGCGGTGACCTTAGAAGACTGCAAGAAAATAATCCAACGCTACACTAAAGATGATTCAACAGCCGTTGCCTTTCAAGTCGTTACACTCAGCGACACACCAGCAGGATATTTAGGCGAACACTACCGTCTTTGCATCACGTACAAAACATCACAAAACCGGCTACAAATCGCCAACTTTTTTCTTAAATGCGTCCCTACTGGAAACCAGAACTTTACCGATTACGTGCTGGAACTAGGAGTGTTCAGGAAAGAAGCCAATCTATACAAACATCTTCTAAATGACTTTCAAAAACATCATACTGCTCAAATCGCACCTAAAAGCTACCTCGTCAATCCGGAAAGTTTTATCGTCTTGGAGGATCTCTCAAAGAAAGGATTTTCAATGGTAGATCAATTAAGCCATGAAAACATTGTGCAATTGATGAAAACGTTGGCAAGATTTCATTCATCCTCCATTATCTTTGAAGAACGCCGATCATTTCCAGGAAAGCCCTACAAATTAATCGACCATTTCCCAGATGAACTAAAAGAGACGACTTTCAGTCCAGTTGAAGGTTCCGCACGGTACAAATGGGGAATCTCAACGTCTAAAGCCGTAGCGAACACCATATTGATGCAAAGTCAATCATACACTCAAATTGCTGAAGATTTCCTGAAATTTGCACAAACGGATATTTTTGAATACGTTTTCCCAAGCAAGAAGTTTCGCAATGTGATTTGCCACGCTGATTTGTGGAAGAATAATGCTCTCTTCAAAAATACCAGTAATGGCACTGATGAGTGTGTTTTAATTGATTATCAATTGGTTCGGTACACTCCACCAGCACTGGATGTAATGACGGCACTGCATGTGAATTGTTCAACAAGTTATCTCAAGGACAACATGAAAGAGTTATTAAATACATACTATAATACCTTTAAGGATTGTTTACAAAAGCATGGTGTGTCCATTGATGTGGTATTCAAAGGCAATGAATTTCAAGAAAGTATTGATCATTACGAGATTGCTTCTCTAACAGAATCCGCCATGTTTGGTACAATTATTTTCATCGGTAAAGAACTGGGCCAGCAATTGACCAGTGATGAAAATGCTTTCAATGAATTCAATTACACAAACCGAAGTAAATACATCATGAACGAAATCGCTAATAATCCCGCCTTTGAATCAAGATATACTGATATTTTAAATAGATTAATAGGTTACTTGTTAAAGCGCAATGTAAGTAAAATATAATTTATACCTTTGTTGCTGTCAAACAGTTTGTTACACTGTTGATATAAATCGAAGAAAATCAAGATTTGTTATAATACCAACAACTTCTTCTTTGGTTGGAGTCATTTCTGTTACTAAAACATATTGTTCTATTTCCATGATCCTAGACACCAATCCCAAATTACAATTCGGTGTGACTTTGAGATACATCATTGTACCAGCTTTTTTGACCTCATCTGATGGTCCAACAAACCTACTCATTAATTTTTGAGTCAAAATACGCGTTGTTACCATGCCGATCAATATGCCATTTTCAATAATGGGCATTTCATTTAAATTATGAGCAGTCATGATTTTCATTGCTTCCTCACAACTGACAGATGATTCTATAGTCATAGGGCGTTGAAGGTGAAGCTGAGACACTTTAACATCCCACCAACTAATTAAATAAGATTAAAAAAACAATTAAATATTGTTTTTGCTTGATTAGTATAAGAAAATAACACTAACCTGTGATTTTGATGATTAATACAAGGCTGTAAATTCTTTGCCTCTAGCCATTGATCCGATGCAAGAGTAGTTACATAATTTTTGGTATCATCCGGGATTACCACAACGCATACTTGTCCTTCTTTCAAATCCTTGGCTGCAATCAAAGCTGCATTGACGTTGAAACCACCGCTAGCACCAGACAAAATGCCTTCTTCACGAATTAAACGCCTGGTCATAGCGTAAGAATCAACATCTTTACATTTTAACCACCAGTCTATGTTCGGACGATCTAGGGTGGTCGGTACAAACGCATAGTTAAAACCCTCAACCTCAACAAACGGACAATTGAAATTATTGAGAGCTTCTGGTGCGGCCATCTTAGAACCCTCAGCATCTGCGCCAACAATAATGCATGACGGGCAGGCTTGTTTCATTTTCCTCGCAACTCCTGATAGTGTACCGCCAGTACCATTTCCGGCAACAAACATATCAATTTTTCCGTTGAAAGCTTCCAGAATTTCCTCCGCTGTACAGTCGTAGTGCACCATTGGATTAGAAGCATTGCGAAACTAACATAAAAATTGGTGCATCATTTAAAGTAATAGAAAACAAGATAATTGTACTTACTTGGCTCAAAACAACTGAGTTGGGAATTTGTTTGTTCAAAACATGTGCCATACCAACAATTCCATTGGGGGCGTTAAAAGGAACTCCCATTGGAATGAGAATTACTTCAGCCCCAAGAACTTTGAGGATATCCACTTTCTCCTTCGAAGTTTTTTCCGGAACTATGATAATGCATCTATAATTTTGACTGTAGCAACCAACGCTAATCCAATTCCCGTGTTGCCAGAAGTTGGTTCAATGATGGTACCACCTGGTTGCAGGCGGCCATCACGTTCGGCATCTTCAATCATTCGCACAGCAATGCGGTCCTTTATCGAACCACCAGGGTTAACAAACTCACATTTCACATCTAAAAATTAATTAATCAACTAATTAATCAGTTAGTTTAAAATTAAACTCACTCCAAAACGGTACTTACAAATATCACATTTTATTCCAAGAGATTGCGGAATTTTATTTAATTTGACTATTGGCGTGTGGCCAATCGTATCCAAAATGTTCGGATATAGCAAACCTTTAGGCACACTACGATAAAAATGTTAAGTATTAAATTAAGATAAGAAGGTACTTTAAGTTTTATTTACTTTCTATACGAGGTATGTGGTGATGAATTTGGGTCGGCGTCCTTGTGCCAAGTGCATTTCGCTGGCAAATCAGGCGGAATATAATCATTCATTATTTCCTTTAATTGGGACTCATTAAGTGCAGGTTTCTGGGATTGAGCCATGCTGCGTAAAACAATAAACAAAATGTAAAAATTATGACAGCGTACATTGATTCTGGGTAATATCTGCACTGATAACACATGTATATTGACCGGTCACAGCATTTTAACCAATAATACACCAACAGAAAGTAAAAACCCATTAATAAATTGTTTCTGACGTTGTGAAAAGTATAATCTAACAAATTCAATGTCAATAGTAATTAATTGAAGCTATTTAAGTAGTTATTAAACTATTATTTCTTACTTACGTTGTGGAATGATCAACAACTCACAATAAACTAAAACCGTCGACGTCAAACCGTCAACATCACAAATGATACTGATTTATCACACATCGCCCAATGTCGTTCCACTTCCACACGCGATACTCTCGCTATTTTCGATTATATAATTCCGAGATGAATTACTATTATTTAATAATTTAAATCAAGGTTAAACTGTTGGCAAACAAGAGGATAAAACAGTAACTCTTAATTTAAAAAGTTCATCTTTGCGTTATTTTTATTTTACAAATAAATTTAATGGTTTAATAGTAATTTTTATTAAATAACAAAGAGAATGCAGGATTTATATGATGCGTTGTTTAGCAGCAAATCGCATGCAATGTGTTGAAGAAGAAAACAAAAAAACAGAAGAGAAAAAAAACACGTTGTAAATGTAAAATAAATTAAGAGCTCGCATTATCTCTTTCTCTGTGTGTATGTGTGTGTGCTGTGTATCAAATTTCCATAAATAATGTAAAGTCTATATTATAGGTATGCGTTTATATAATTTATGTTTGTTTGTTTATCTAGAGATTAGATATTTACAAAAATGATGTTTCGTTTGAGTTCCCACCAAATTGCAGCACAAACGCGTCCGTATGAAAACCGTAGAAACCGAGAAACTCGTTTAATATATAGAGAATAAGAGAATGATGAGATTCATACCATAGCTATGTATATCGATTGATTTATTTGGTGTGAAAGCAGCTGCAATTCGAGCGAACCGTTGAATGTTTGTATTATTCTCTCATTAAAACACTATTTTTGAACACATTTACGCCACCGATTGATAGTGGAATAGGCCCCAGGCAAATAAAACTTCGAATTGTCGTGGGAGAGTCACTGTTGGTATCATCCGCACACCTACTACGAGAAAGTCCACACATTCGTCGATGTCGATTCACGCTCTGAGTTTTAACTAGGAGTTCATTTTCCCTCTAAAATACAATATAATTAGTTATTCATATATAATAAACATATCACCGTTTGCGTTTTTTTTCACATGTTCGCCGTTTGTGTGTGTGTGTCGTGTTAAAATCGTGTTTGGATGCGTTCGCGTACAAAAAATTATATACAGTTTATATTTTTACAGATTCTTTCAGTTAGTACAATTCGGAATATATGCCGATGTATCATTCTCGTCTCTAGTTTCGTTCATTTTTACATTACATGTGTTAGGTTATGTGTGTGTGTGTGTGAAATAGATTTGAAATGCACATTTTTAAAAATATATCATTTGTCATCTTGCTAAAACGTATGAAAGTAGAGACCGATTTTTAGGCCTTAATTTAGGCACTGGATGTTTTTTTATATATCTTATTACGACATACGTGAAGTATTACGGTCAAAATCAAACAATCTACAAAACTTCACTGGTAAATTAACATTTTTCACAAAGTTATTCACAAGTAAATATCGGGATTCATCAATAATTGATCAAGTGAAGGATAGAATTGAGTTACCTCGCAGTTGATAATCAATTTCTCGGAAAAATTTTTGGTATTTATTTTCTGTATTAAAATTCACATATATTCATATCAAATTTCGCTTTTATCAATTAAAAATAAGCTGAGTGAAAAAATTCAATCGTTTTTAAAAGACTACCAAACTCAACTTGAATTTAATACAGAATGCAACAACATACAATTGAAATGTACTTCAGACCGTTATACTTCACATACACGCTTCTTACTTAAATTCTTAGAAATCGCGTGTTGTTTGAATACCATTGAAACGAGAATAAGAAATTAAAAACCCAAAACTCATACAATCGCTTTTTTTAACCAAGGTAATGTAAATTTTCCATTTTCAAAATCAAATCAACACTTAAAGTTCTATCCTCCGTCGAAAATTGATTTATTAGCGCTTAAATGTTAGCCGTATACTTAGAATTTTCATTATCGTTTGCAATTACTCTCTTACTCTCGTTTTCTTTCTTCGCAACATCCCTCTGCTGACAAAGAGTTGCACTGGGCAAATTTTCACACACGTCGAAATGAATGATTTCAGTCTTCAATTTGCTTATGTTATCATGTGTATCAAGTTAGCGCAGGCATATTTCAAGCAGATATTTTCAAAATTTCACTCATTTCACAAAAGCAAGTGCTGAATATGATCAATCCACCTCCGCTGTGAAAATATATTGTATTTTATGTTACAGATTCCTTCCATACGTGTCAAATAAACAATATTTACAAAATCCCGCATAGTGTGTGTATGTTGTGTGCTTATTGCGCTCGTGTCACCACAACAGAGCGTATCTAAACCGCCCTCAGTCTGTTGCACTTCACTTGCGCGCCCGATGATTTAAAACCCAAAACGAGTCTACGACTCGTGCTAGTGTATCGCCACAGGGCTCTGCTGCACGCACACGCCGTGCATGGGGCTTTCGTCGCCACCCCCACCGGCCCCCACGGCAGAAGGACCGTTTGCTTGACCTGCAGAACGTTGATTCGATGCGTCGGGCACCGCGTGGCCGGGATACGCTGCATACGGCAGCGATGTCGGACCACCGTAGCCCATATACGTGCTGCCATCTGCAATAGGGCGGCGTCGGTGCTGGTACTGCTGCGAGGGTCGTGTCGTAGGCAGTGAATCGCACTCCATCGCCGTGTAATAGTTGCCGCCTCGCCCGCTTATCAGATTTAACCCTGCAAAACATTCAAACATTTTTATTTCAACTTCTGCAGAAACGATTAAACTACGCATTCACACACGCACACACACACTTACACACGTAAAATCTACGGCGGGCGATAATATGAATGAAGGATGATGCAAGAGGAGACAATCTACGATTATTCGGACGCTCACTGTGTGCGCGCGATTCAGAATTTGTTATTGCATTAATACCTGTTAGTTTTATTGATAGTACGGTACAGTAGTTTTATGTTAGTCATCGCTGCGCTCCGCTAATGTCTGCGACCGTGAAACAAAACCTTCATTGTAATGGCACAATATAATGATGCTTGAATGGAGTGAAATGCGTTTTTGGATGTTTCATGTAAAGATTGCAGGATTGCATGGGGAGTTGTACTCACCGTGCTGACTACTCGACGTGGATAAATCGATGTTAACGGCGGGACTGGAGCTGGTGCTGTTAGCCGCATTCGTGGCAGTATTGGTACCCTCGTCCGTTGTCCTCTTGAAGAAGTTGTGCTGCAGCGCGTAGTAGGGCGTTATTCGAGACTTGGGGTCGTAGTCAAGCATACGCAGGATGAGGTCCTTGAATTTGAGGTAGTCGGACATGGAATGACCAGCTTCGCCCGTCCGCCGCCCTCCGGGCCCACCACTTTCCACACCGAGGATATCGTGCAGCTTCTTTGTGCCCGGCATTTTGTATTTCTTGCCATCAGTGCGTGACTTTTTCAAGATGTACCTGAATTTACAGCAACACAATTAAAATAGTGTTGTTGGAGGTTAATTTTTAAAATGATCAATAATAAGATAAATGTATTTACCTGCCGTCGGAAAGTTTCTCAAAAAACTTCCGCACTTTGCTGCCCTGATCAAGGAGGTTTTTCGGCGGCATGCCTAGCACTTCAACGATCTTGTTCAATTGGTCCACTTCGTTGGCACCGCTGAATAGTGGCTCGCCTGTGTGCATTTCGACTAGTATGCAACCCAACGACCACATGTCTATTGCTAAATCGTATTGGATGCCCAGCAAGACTTCAGGTGATCGATAAAATCTCGACTGAATGTATTGGTATATCTACAAAGCAATCAGCAAAAATTAGCCCCATTATTAAAAGAAAATAATTCCTTCCACACTTACCCGATGCCCTAATTGACATGAACTGCCAAAATCGACAATCTTGATTGCCGATCGTTTCGGATTGCAGAGCAGGATGTTTTCCGGCTTGAGGTCGCAGTGAATTATGTTCAGTTCAGGCGTGGAGAGGAACAGAAGAGCCGTGCAGAGTTGTTGCGCAAACTTGCGCGTCAGATTCAACGAAACACCCCGAAAGTTCGTGTTCCGCAGCAGGTCGTAGAGATTGTATGAGAGGAGCTCAAAAACGAGGCAAAGGTGATTGCGCCACATAAAATGCCTTTTTAATTTAACTGCAAAACACACATCAAATTTAATTTCGTGGATTACAGATGTTTGTTTGTGGTAAAATGACCACTTACCTATATAATACTTATTTTCGGCATCCGCCCGATTCATCATCTCGAGCAGCTTCACTTCGATCTGAGCCTGATTGAGAAAAGGTTTCTTGTTCTTGATAATCTTAATAGCGACATGGTTCTGCTCCTCGTGGTCGAACGCCTTGACCACCTGCCCGAAGGAGCCCTTGCCGATCAGCGAGTCAATCTCGTAGCGATCGAGGAACTTTTCACCGTTCTTGACAATATAGTCGTGATTATCATCGTCGTAGCCGTCGTTGTACAGCTTGCGCTCCTTCTTGTGCGAGCTGTCCTCGCCCTGCGTCTGAGCAGCTCGTCGCTTCTTCTTCGCATAGTACACCTGCGCAAGAAAAACAAAACAAAAAAAGCAAGACGAACGTCTTATTACTATTGAAAATGTAATAATCGAAATCAATAATTCAATTTCGCGGCTGCTAAATGGAAGTAATATAAATTTTACTGGCACGAACTCGCTGGAAATATTAATAAGTGCCACGTCTGGCGACGCTCGAGGTGTCAACGCCAAGAAATTCAATTAGACGTCGAGTGAACAAGCACAATTTGTATGTGCAGACAAGAAAAGCGCAAAAATGAGATTTATTTGCTTCGCTTGAAAAATGTTTATTGCCAGAAACAACCAACTAGCCACTTCATTTTGAATTTTCTATGAGCACACCCACATTCTGCCCCCATAAGTTTCTAAAAATAGGCAACCCAACAATCACGAAAACTTTTCCAGATGAATCAAATATTGAATGAACGAACGCGGATATTATTTTTAGTCAGACGCAGCATGTGAATCATATGGTGACTCACCTCGTTGATGCGCTTGTAGGTCTTGATCAGGTCGACAGACAACTTGCGCAGCGGCGCCGAGGCCGGCTCACGGAAGGTCGGCGGGATGCGCGCTTGCATCGCCTGGATATCTGCGGGCGCGCCCGTGTTCAGCTGGGCGCTTGTCAGCTGCTCCTCGCCGACGAGTCGCCCATATAACGGCACGTGCCGCTGTGGTCGTCCTGACGCCTCCGGCGCCACCGCGCCACCGGACCCGACCACGCTTCCCGGCACTGCAACAGAAAAACACAATCAAAATATAAAAAGAAGACATCACTAATAAGCAACAGCAAATGATATATTCTTGTATCTTTGTCAACTGTATGTTGGGTTGCATAACGAAACTAACCGCCATGACAAAACCTCACATTTTAATTAAAACAAGCGTAAGTATCCTTGCAGAATGCATAAACTGAATTAATTGAATTGAATTGCAGCGCATCATTAATAGCTTTGCTTCCAAACATACCCGTTACATACAAATGCCACCGCATAAAAAAGAGAACGTATTAAACATGTATCGAATTTTTGACGAAAAGAAGCCAACCAACTCGCAATGACTCACGGCCGAGCTAACTTATGAATTACAGTGGTTAGGTTATCAAATAATGATTATAAAGTGCGTCGGATAAACGATCGATACGCACCTATCACGCGATCATTAAATTTTGTCTCCTCACTTTTCGGCAAAAAATATTCCATAGGTTTTTATTTTCAAATTAAAAAAAAATATATCTTGCGGCTGCAAATGATCGGTAGAAAAGTAGAATTAATTTCGTTAAGTTGCAGTCACTTTAAATGATTACTTTCGTGGTGTCATGACGTAATTAATTCACACCCTCATTTAGAATTATTTTTTGCAGCAAACAAGTTGAATTTAATGCATTTTACACAAAAACTCAGATAATTTTTATAAATTTAAATCTTATTAACATAAGCCTTTAAGTAAATATAATTAATTTAGAGTCGGAGTATTGCTGTAGGTGTTCTATGACAACGGCAACTTAATTATCTGTTTATTTATACAATTAAAATGCGACAAGAAGCGCGCACACCACGAAAACACTAATAATAATCATGATAAAAACACAGAGAATTAATATATGTGCATAATAATTCCAATAAACTACTTTGAAGAAAAAAATTAAATATGATAAGAGTATATATACATCTAGCTTTAACCCGCGGCTTCGCTCGCGAATATCAAAAATAATGAAGTTGCTTCCGTACGCGTCTGTAGTCGCAGAAGAAGTAACAATGAAGTAGAATGGCGGGAAGTTTAAAATGGCTGAAAGTATAGTCTATGGAAGTATAGTGTACAGTCTCCATAGTGTAGTCAATTGGATTTGATGTTGACGTAGTACGTTGGCGTATTCATTTTTGAAATGCACTTTAAACACCAAGTATATGCATGATCTGTGCCAACCCACATTAAAATTTAATTATTTTATTTATAAAAAATAGCATTGCAACCGGTATTGATGCTTTATAATAGACACTGGTTTAAAACAATAAATTGTCCCGCTCCGGTCGTAAATCGCACGTTTACTTACGGTAGCTTCCGGCGGGCGGTTTTAACGAATAGTAACTTCCGTTCGACATCGTCGTCGGCGGCGGGGACATGCTCGCGTACTCTCCGTAGCTTCCGCAATGGCCGTCCGGCAAAAGCGCAATGCGAAACGCCAACATCTTAGCGAATATTAATTATTGCGTGACGAACAATCCCACAATATAATAATACAACAATATCTCCTCTATAACATTTCCTGGGGGTCCAAATTTAAAACACACACTTCCAAATGTTACATAATGTCCTTTAACGCCCGAAGTCGAAGCGATACTTGCGCACCGAAATTAAGACCGGCGATAGTTTATCGGTGCACTTAAAGGTTCGCAATATATTAGCACATGCTACCGGTCGGTCTAGTAGGTGTAATATTCCAAGGGGTGATATTCAACAATCGCAAGATATTATTAATAACAACGAAGAGTTAAGCTGCTGCACATCTGTTCTAAATCTAATTCTATCTTGCACTGGCCGGCCAGCTACAAAATGTCTCACAGCTAGAGAGGTTGTGAATAGTAGTGGGCAACGAGTAGGCACAGATATGTAGAGGGTGTTACACAACTGCATTCAGAGTAAATTTTTATTTTGCTTAATTAACAGGTGCCCTATTAAAATTTCTCCTGCAGATTTCAAGTTATTATTATTGCAAGCTTTTCAATTGACACAATTTCCCTTTCAATAAAAAATATATTTTCTTAATTAAGCTCTGTTATAGAAGCTTTAATAATGACAAAAACCAAGATTCAGCTATCAAAATCTTCCATTAAAAATGATTTAATCTGTAGAACCAATTTATGATGTATATTTAATTCGATTATGACCCGGTATATCGTGCGCAATGCCCGAGCCAACGAGGAAAAATATATTTCGGTGCGTCGCGACGATGCTCGGTGACTTGTCTTAAATATTCCCCCCGTGTTAAGTAACATATACTCCTTCTTGATATGTGTGTCTGGCCAATTGTGATAGAAGCCGCGCGCGCAAACTTTCATCATAATGGCAATTTAGACTTTCACGTCCTAATCTAGACTTAACTAGACGTATGATTACTTGATGATTACTTAACACCAAATTTACCTATGCTAATATCACCCATTTTAATTTTATCCCACAAGTATACGTGAAGTGATTTCCTGCAAATGATGATGGGATATGCTGGCGAAAATTCGAAACGACAACGACCTTTTTATTGGCACGCGATGCGATGCGACTCTAGTTGCCGCCACAAAACTTCGTGAACCGTCAGCCGCAGCGCTGCTAAAAGTGTTGGCGTAAGGTAGCAAGTTATGCAGTTGTTAAGTAACGCTCACGCATAGTATACCGGAAATAGCTTCAATTTTTAACATTACCCAAAAATTAATTCAGGAAAAAATATTATAGTGAAAATAGTAAACAAGACCACAAAAAAGCAAATAATGCAGAAAAGATACAAATTCGCCATTATCACATCGTGCGAAACGCGTTTAAATATTTATGGATAGATAGATATGTGCATTCTAGGCGCCGCACTTCTGAACAAAAAATATTGCATGTCATAGCGCCAATTTGTCAATCGCGCATCCATGTTTCATCTTTTTCACTATACCTACTCCCGAGCTAATATGTAGGCACAGAAAAAAAATCGATTCATGTTGTGGCGTCGTAAAAACGTTTCGTCCGTTTGTTATTAGTCACAATTCGCACTTTGCGTCCCTGCCTGTTTCCCCGCACGTGTGTTGTTGTAGAACATGTCGCAGTTACTGGAAATAATCAGGCATTATGATGACAACAATACGGCGCCAGCATACGTACTTAATCTTTGGGGCACACAGGGTGTATCCAATAAAATACTAATAGCACGAAATTGCGTAGTAAATTATAAAATTACCATACAAATATTAATGTTATACTTAGATAACTTATATTCATAGATTTCAGCCTTTCAAGGCTGAATAAGATTCTATCACGGTGATTATTTACAATTTATCGATGACTTGGTAGAGTGTCTCCACTTGAGTTTATCAGCGTGTGTCTACGTGTGTGTGAGCTATGCGATTCCAGGAAGTGGACGTATGCACTTTTTGTTGTTTACATGCGGCGCAGGGCCTTTTGATAACGAGTGTGGCAAAATATTCGCACATGTTGATCTTTTTGAGCTCGTAACCGGATGAACGTTCGCAGGAGGACAAGAGCGGGCAGCATTCTTCGCATGCCGTCGCGGTTCTTCACCTTCAGCGGTCGTGATCCGCACATGTGAGGCGCGGACTCCTGCTGACCGGTCACAACATCGGCGAATGGCGATTAAAAACAAACACGTTCTGTCTGCCCGCGGTGCTCATTTCGAAGATAATTCGATATCAGCGCGCGCAAGGGGTGCAGCAAAGCAGACGCAATGAAAATACAAATGCAGCAGGAGTGAAATTGATTTAGGAACGTCTTATTTTTCAAGTGTCTAGATTCTAGAAACAGGTGCGATATTTTATATTGAATTTTGAAGATAATTGAAGATAATCCTGGAAAATATTCTGCTGGATAGGAATTTTAAAAAATATTTAGAATTATATATATAAAAATGAATTGCTGTTCGTTAGTCTCGCTAAAACTCGAGAACGGCTGAACGGATTTATCTTATCTTGGTCTTGAATTATTCGTGGAGGTCTAGGGAAGGTTTAAAAGGTGAGAAAAATTCGAATAATTGCCGGGAAAATCCTCAAAACAGCTCTTTTCTATAGAATAAAATTTGACATTGAGATTCAATCATAGTTATAGTTAAATAGTCGAATTCGAGATGGCGCGCTGAAGTGCATTATTGACAAAACTTTCTATAATTAATTTCTTTAAATTAAAATTGCCAATCTTATTGATAGAATTGACTCTTACTACGAGTATGTCTAGAACAAGAGAGTAAAAACGAATTACATTTTTATTAAACACTGCCGGAACGAAGTCGCGTTTATAAAAATTTCATGTATCAATCAATTATTTCTGAATTTAAATGATTTCAAATTACAATTCTCCTTTTATTTTTACAAAGACTGTGTCATAAGTCATTCAGAAATCAAAAACTTAAACAGCTAAATGACTCTTCCTCCGCCGTGGAGATTAGATCATTGCTTAAATTAAATATCACCACACCACGCGATTTGCACAAATCATTAGCAAGTTTACATTCGAACTACTTGTGGCTCGCTTATAAAGCCACACGTAAAACTAAGCAAAATCCGAACTAATCAATTAAACGCCCGCCCCAACAACGTTTCTATTTTATGTCTAACCAAACTGTTTGAAGTCGCGCGTTTAATATGGCGTGTGACAAATAAATAATTAGCAGTAAAGCGCTGTATGTGTAAATATAAATAGGAGAATTCGGCCACGAAAGCCGGTTACTTTCCAACACCTACGCTCCCATGTGACACACTCGGAGGTATAGAATAGAATGGTACTTTGCACATGCAGCAGCTCTATAAAATAACCCACGTTCATTTAAACCGGTAAGTTCTGCACGTGCCTAATTTAGTGCAAAAATTCAGCATTTAATAAAAATATTTATGCAAGTAATTTGTTGATCTTCAAATTCTCAAGGATGCGTGAGGTAAATCAGCGTCGTACTGCGTCTAGACAGACGCATATCTAATTACGCGCGCATTGTGCGTGTGTTGCCATGAGCGCATCGCATCCGCCTATGCTGACCCAGTTCTCCGGCGAACCGAAGCAATCCTAATTTGATAAGAAATTCACATGATACGCTGCTGCCGGCCGAAAATAGAAATTAAAAAGCACGCCGCCGCGCACGCTCCATCCACTTTGTTGCCATGGTGGCTAAAATTTTAATCGAGGACGTCTGTAAACTTTCCCTCCAACCCTGCCACAGACTTGATTTTGATTTTTATTCGCCAGAGAATACGTGCAGCAACAGCAGCCACGTGCGGCGGCGTCGCAGAATTTTATCGGGCGTCGTTGCCGGCGATGTGTGGCGGTTTGACGGTCTCATGCGGGTGCGGGCGAGGGCGCCGGATCAATATGAAAGCAACAGCCGCCCCCCCCACCCCACGCACGCCCGTGCGGCGGCGGCGCGGCAACGCCACACCACTGCCAGACCTGCGATCGCAATGTCAAATTGTCTTCTCGGCGCTCGGGTTGGTATAAAGCCCCCATTGAATTAATAAACGATTTTAAATCTCCGCACGCACATTTACACCTCCTCCACACACACACCCACATCCACACACATTAAAAAACGATAAAAATAAAACAATTAATACATACTGTCTTCACTTCGGATAACATCAAGAAATGCGTGCTCAACGTCTGCAAATAATTCATTCATTTTTATTACTTTAAGAATTGTTATACAAATACGAAATGAAGAAGTTTTATGAGTTAGGCGATGGGTATGAGACAATTTAATGAAACAATTTAAATGAATTTTAGAAGTAAATAATATCGATATTAATCGAATTACTCGTGCTTAAAATGAGTTCTAGTGTTTCATCTGCTGCAGTTTTACGTTTTAAATTCAAAACTACAGGGAGGCTGAAATGTCGGCGCCCTATACCCGCCCCGCACGAAAAACGTTGGTGACGTTCACGCCGAGGACGTTCACTTCGCTATAAATAATCGCCAGCCTCCTAATAATAGACGCACATAGACGCAGCACCGTCTCTATTTTTTCGGTCCTCGAACTATACACCTACATATAGAAAATCAAAGTGTATCTATTTCTAGGCCCATCAAGGGTCAATCTTTAGTCATTGCTCTAAAGTTTTAAACTATATTTAAAAACTATTATTTTTTAATCCCCGGAATATATAACTATAATTACAGTTGAATTTCTACACCAACTTTCATCCCTTATTTTACACGTGTCAAGTTATATTTTGCGGCGAAAAGTCGCTTTCATGCTTGTCAAGGCTTAAAACAGCTCAATTTCAAAATTTTAACAAAATTGGTTGGCGTGAAAGCGTCACAAACAAACATTTAAAATTTCATGCAAATATTGGAACAACAAAACGCGTCAGAGAAAATTAACCGAATGGGTTTGAAATAATTGAAGAATATTGTAATTATGCGCAATTCGGATATTTTTTTGTCTCTCTGAACATTTTCGAGCGTTCATATCCTGACATTCTGATTATAACTCAAAATCTTCCATTGGCTACATTCAATACGATATAAATTTATTTCTCAATGAAACCTTAATCAGTACTTTGCAGTTTTTGTTTGTCAAATTATAACGACGCAAAAGTGGAGACGCTGAACCCTAATCTTAAAGCAAATATTAAATAACTTCTTTAAGGAAACCGATTCCTTTCTCCTCGATGTTTATTTGCATTGCGTCACGAAAGTATGATTAGATATAAACATATATAGTAAATATTGATGTGGCAGGAGACGAAATGCGCAGTAAAGGTGGGCACAGCGTGTCCACGTGTTGCATTTTGACACAGTGCACGCGCCCTGCGTTTTTATTTATCATCTTTCGCGTGGAAATGATGTTATTGTTGACATAATGCAGCGCTGCGTGTTTACACTGTTCTGTTTTTGCATACAGATAGAGCAATGCATGCTCATTTCATTATGTGTACATTAGTTTCTTTAAAGAATGATAAATTAATTAAACTTTCAACTTTGCATCAATTAATATGCTCGATGTTTATGTGTGCTAACTAAATTAATTTCGTTGTGTTTATGATTACACAACTTCATAAATTATTACGTGTGTTATCAACACAGGCCTGGTAGGTTAAATTAGGATTACTCATTCGCACGCTCGGCACGATTCTATTTATACCATGATGCACTTTTGCTCTGCTCTTATCCAAACACTTGTAAAATTAACTGAACTCGCACGGGCATGACCATCAAAACAATAATAAGAGCTGAATTGAAGTCAAGAATTAAAACTTTTGAAAGTAGAAAAATAATTAAAACGGTTTGCAACACTTAAGAAGACATAAGAACGTAAAATTAGATTATTTTTGTCATTCATCCCTACTAATATTATAAATGCGAAAGTCCTGATGTTTGTTACACTTTCACGCAAAAACTACTTAACCGATCATCATGAAAATTTGTACACATATTCTTAGTGGTCCCCGAATGGTCATAGGCTACTTTTTATTTAATAAAAAAAAATATATTTTAAATAAAATAAAGAAATTGTTTAGCCAATAATACCTCTGCATCTGGTTATTTGACTACTTTAACGCCATCTAGCATTCCAGCAATGAAGCTCAAACCTAAGTACTATAGTACCATCACACTGTATTATCACACTGTATTACCGACAGCTACGTCAACATCAAATCCAACTGACTACACTATGGAGACTGTACACAATACTTCCATAGACTATACTTTCAGCCATTTTAAACTTCCCGCCATTCTACTTTATTGTTACTTCTTCTGTGACTACCGACGCGTACGGAAGCAACTTCATTATTTTAGATATTCGCGAGTTAAAGCTAGTAGATCATAAAGGTTTTCATCTTGTCTTTCGTATAATAACTATAAATAACTGTACTTATATCCGCCAAAAGTAAATATTTACTGTAACATGTGAGTATTTGTTTAGTTTTATTGATGAATGAACGAATGATTTGCACGATTTTCGGAAATACCGTCAAGATAAGATTGAGTGACGGAGATTGTTTAGCAACCAAAATGTAGGTAATGCGGACGTGTGTGTGTGTTCGACTCGTCTAGACGCTAGACGAAATGTACACATAATTTACGCCGCATTACCCCGCGCACGTACATTTCCACACCGCGGTGCGCGGTGCGCGCTACTTACTCCGGCTTAATTACTTATTTTATTCCGCCGGTGACACACATTAGGTACTTATGATCCAAAGTTCGAGAAGTCTACACGTAATAACTTTGGTTTCTACGCAAAATAAGAATTCATACTCACAACGCTAGAATATTCATCATGTCGGTCGAATTGTTGCGCAAATAACTCGCAATGCACATCCGGTTTCGCGTTACGAATACAAAATATTTGCAATCCGATGCGATTGCGCGCGTCATAAGCTCAAACAATGTTGTTAGAGCAATTAAATGTAATGCAATATTAAGGGTATAAGAATTTCGTTTTGATGCAACTGAATTTGTGTTTGTATGAGGTCTATATCAATAACAAATAAAGTTACCATGGAATAAATTCAAAATTCACCCAAATACGCAAACAAATCCAAACTTTGCACCGTTAGTCATTCTTGAACAGTTTAATCAGTTGACCCGAACACGAAAACGTCAGGAGCCTGAGTCAGCTGTTAATGCGCAGCGCGCGCGATTGCACCACGTTGCGGCGCAGACGATAACAACAAACGCGCCATAACAAAAGTTAAAACTTAATAACAACACAAACAACGCGTTGAGGGATGAGAGAGAGGCGCATGAGATGGCGAAACTTACTCTTGGGTTTCGTCAGCAACAGATGGTCGTGTTTATGCCAAGCCATGGGCTCCATCGATGCGGCTCCGGGAACGTGCTCAGCAGTTGGTCGACGGCGTCGCGACGCACATTCACAATTCCACCAGATTCACTTCGTAATCCATGGCTGAGCGTGTGTGGACACCTTTTGTTTCGGGGGCAGGAAACCAATCAGCAAACAAACAAACAAATGAACACCACTCGCGGTAGTACGCGCGCGGGGGGCACTAACCTCTCGCCGGCGCGCTCAAGGCCAAGCGACGCCGACCGGCACCGCGCCGCGGAGTGTTTGTTTCGGGCACTTTTTGGCGCGCGATGCGATGGAATCGATGCGTGCACCCCTCTGTCTGCGAAGAATGGACTGTGCTCTCTCCGGCTGTGTGCTGTGGTTCGTTCGACGCGCGGCCGCGGCGCTGCTGCTCGGCGCGGCGGCGAAGCGCTCCGCTCGGGTCAAAAGCACACAAGCAAAATAATAACAAATGTGCATGAGATTCACGCCGCGCGCGCGGGCGCCCTTGCACTCCTCACTTTTAGCACTAACTTAGACGATGGGGAGAGATAATCACTACGATGTAAGAGCGCGCACTGTTCACTCGATTGTTTGATGGCTGGATTCCATCCGTTTTGCGTGCCGCATTAACACCACGTGCGGTTCGGCAGGATTGCACTCTCGCTGGTTGCGTTGCGGGCGCGCGACTTTGCAACCGATGATAACTGGCGTGCCAAGTGCACTGGTCGCGCGCGTCGTTCACGATTGTTTTGATGTGCCCGTCGGAGTCGGCTTGCGTTGTATCGCGAAGCACAGACGAATGGGAACCGTACAGCACGCCCTAGCCGCGTAGCAACATGGCAACTGTTTCGGCTGGGCGCAGGCGAATCGGCGTCGGACGGCGCACTACATCGTTATACTTCGGCTAAATTCGGCTGTTTCGTCTAATGGCCGACCCTATCACACGCATGTGCACTAGACACATACGCTGTCATGGTAAGGACGGTTTCACACATTAAACACAATAATAAGACCTGCAAGCAACCAACTTAACAAAATCATAAAAACAGATTAATTATTTTGTTGGCATTTATTTATATTGTAATATTATAAATACAATTTAATATTGTGAAAGAGATCGTCGATAACTAAGCGGTGGAAGTAATATTTGTCTGCAAATAAACAAATCAAACATGTAAGTTCAGTAATAACATTGCATCGACTGCGACGCAGTTTGATACATACGTAACTGAAATGCGGTCGTGACGTAAAACAATGATTTACGTCAATGGCCGAGCGTTTGACGTATTCAAAGTTCTGACGAATTGAGCATGAATAAGGTATGTTCGTACCAAATAACTACAAACGCATTTTACTTGCCTAAGTAGACATGGGTGTTCCCGAAATATTTAAAACGCGTTGTTACTTTTGCGGAAAACCCAAATGAAAAGATTTAAAAAGAAAATTAATAAAAATACATTTGAAAGTTTAGTTTTTGTTTCTATAGACGTAGTACACTTTAACGACAAGGTGTAATAAGTAGCTTTTGTATTTTTATATATATTTTTTATGTTTATTAAAAACATTTAAATTATGGAGGCATCCCTCAACAAAAATAAAGATATAAGGATTTCTTTTATTTTAAAAGTTTTGTATAGATATAAAAATCAATCATAACAAAACGGTTGAATAATATAAAGTTTACTTTTAACAGAATATTGATAGCAAAGCTCTTAAAAAGATCTCCTCACTGGATAATTATGCATCGTATTAGGACCAAATCTGGGCGGTTGATTTGGATTCATAAGTGGACGTGGCGGGAAAAACCCAGGACGCATAGCTCGATGTCCTTGCTGGAAGGTCATATTACCAACGCCCATTCTTGGTGGTACAGCTCCCGGTCCCATCTGTTGGTTATATCCAATTTGCGGATTGGGTTGCGACCAACTGGGATATCCACCTTGCTGAATTTGGTGGTTTTGTGATAACTGCCGCTGGTGCCAATCACTCCTTCGCTCAAAATCACCACTGCAATTGCTCTCCCGCTTCTCCCGTCGTTCAAATTCTTGCATCTGAGGTTGCTGTGGACGTCGCTCCTCCTTCTCGTCCTTATTCTCGCCCAATTGCGCTAGTATCTGCGCCGGGGTAAGCGACGCGAAAGATTGTTGTTTGATTAGATTTTTCAGGGCGCTTCGTGCAGTCGCCAGAAAATCATCCTCGGTAACGTTGGCGCCAAACTCTTGAGTATCTGGCGTGCATTGCACGGCGACGTCAATGCGTTGAATTTCCTTAAACTTTGTACACTCTTCACACACATAGTCAGAGGTTTGTGCTGCCGCATCTTCAAAAGTCTTCTGCTGCAAATCGTCGTCTGTTGGAAGAGTAATAGGCTTTTCCTTTACATCCAGCCGCGCCAATAACCTGCTGAGAGATGTGGGCTGCTTTTTAGTGTTTAGTTTTGATGTGAAACTGAACTCTACACAAGAACCAAGCTTTGGACTTCCACATCCCGATGTACTCGGTGATTGAGTTGAATCAGTCTTTTGAAGGCGGTTTACGCAGATGAAGAAACGACCGTCCGGCCGCTGCAATTTTGGTATTAGCGTCAACGCGTCTTGACTACGTTTTAACACTACAAGTTTACAAATCTCAATATAACATAAACAATATGTTCAATTAGTTCAATAAAGCATAATTAACTAAAGCTCCAATTTGCAAATTTCACTTCTGCTTACAATCAGAGCTTTTACATGGTAAATAGATATAATAGTAATATAATAGTAAATAGATAATAGAATTACATGGACAAGACTCACCTTTATCTTTGTGTGCTGGGTTGATTTGTTGTGCATTGTCTAAGAAATAACGACAAATGTGATTAATTGTTTGCTTTTTTAAAACAGTCTCAACTTAATGAGCAACATACAATGAAATTCTTACCAGATCTTTGCGTTAGTTTAAGATATTCCGTGAGTGATATATTGTCATCGTTGAAAAGCTACAAAAACCAACACTTTAATGCTTCAAGTTAAATTTTCACCGCATACCGCGCTACAATTTAGCAAAAATTATTGCTGCATGTCGTAATTGTCATTCGACAATGATTATATTATATTTTTATGCAAATTACGCGTTTATGGTTCAAAAGTTGTCAACTAAAACTGACAAAATTTCATAAAATACAGTACTACCTTCTTATTGGCCTCATCGTTCGTCTCAACTGGAAAATTCTGCGCCGGTGTATACATCTGCTCATATGATGCATAACCCTGTGGGTATCCGACACCATATGGATTTGGATCCACTACGTGCCCATTACCAATAAAAACGATTGATCGTATGATGCACCGGCGTATTGCGTATGGCCCATCGGTGGCATCATAAACGGCATCGGCATAATTCCCATGTTATTACTGTATTGATTATAGCTAATGTGTGAACCACCATTACTCTGCGCTGTAATATTATTCATATGATCATGGTCCATTCGCGATAGTTTGCGATCTAGTTCTTCAAGAAAAGATAGCTTTCTATCGGGGGATCGATCATAACTGTGTTTGGACGAGTGTCGCTCCGCTGATGACTTCTGATAACGATTCAAGGAGCGAGAACGATGTCGAGCTCGATCTGGACTGTGACTGCGAGATCGTGGCCGTTTTCGACGATTGTCATACCGAGATTCATATAATGATTGGGGGATAGGTGAACGTGTGCGGGACCGACGGCGATATGGTGGTGAATAGCGCTTGCGAGGATGAACCGTCTGTACAGGTGGTGAGCGACTCCGGCTGTAGCGACGTTTCCGGTGGGACGGTGATGGGCTCCGCGAATAATTATGTTTTGTTGAACGCGATGATTGTCTTACATCATGAGTAGCAGCAGGTTCATCCATTTCGGTTCCTGGTGGCACTAATCCTGTCTCAAGAATGCGGAGTTTTTCCGTGATGCGTTCCTTCTCGCATTTTGCTTTATCTCGCTGTATATCACGGTTTACCTTTTCAGGATCACGCCGACTATCGGTATCATACTTACGTGTTTTATTCCGCTCTCTTGGTTTACCTTCCAGAGACCGAGATTTCGATTTCCTCTTAGGAATTGAATACTTTTTCAACTTATCTATTTTACTATCAGCAGGTTCATCTTTTTTTGAATCACCAGCATCAGTTGTTATATTTTCAGGCTCTGTTTGTTCTTTCTCCACAGTTTCAGTGTCTGTGCATGCTTTTTCGTTTTGTGTATTCAATTCAATTTCATTGTCTTCCCATGCATCAACCACATCAAGTCCAGCTAGGAAATCCTTATTGTTGAAATCGTCAAAAAAATCTTCAGCTACATCAAGTACATAGCGAAAAACAATATAAAATGTTTACATTTTTATCATCTTAAATCTGCATACCATCCAGAAGTGTTGAATAATCCACAGATTTAGAGCAGTCACTTTTAGTCTCTTCTGAATTTATGGCACTTTCTTCTTTAACAACTGCATGTGTTGATGTATTCTATAAAATACATGATAAAAATATCATAAATAATTTCATTAGGTTAGGTATATTGAAGGTACCTCAAGTGCCTCATCCACATTGCTTTCTTCTGTTTTAATTGTAGATTCACTTTCTTTAGTCTCTTCCATGGTGATCATAAAGCACAACAGTGTTTGTTTTTTGATTCTACATTAATCCGAAAAATTTAGAATATCTTAACCACAAGAACGGGAATTAAGCGGCAAAAGCAACTCACAAAGTATTATAGTTCCAATACAATACACATCACGCCATCTAACAGTCAAATGTAAAAACTATAGAAAACATTCCCATATATATTGCCCTGGAGACGTTTGTTTACAACTCACGGAAACAGTAGCATATAGATATTGTTATACATATTTGTAATAGAAAAACAAAATAAACACGGTCAAGTATTAAAAATAAATTTCTCAATTCAAAAATATCACGATTTGCAAACATACCAATCGATTTTTAGTTGCTTTTTTCTGGCTCATTATTATCGCCGTTCTTCTCATTGGTATAAATTCGCAACCAATTGATAAACATTTTCGAAAACAAAGTGGCAAACGCCCCGTAATGATCGTTGCCCTGCTCTTTATCCACAGTATCTAATATAATCATTACACGTGTGTCAATTATATAATGATTCACTGTAATATTAAAATTAACGATTGGTTTCTTTGGCGTGACATCCTTCAGCAAATGAGACTGAATATATTTGGATATTTCGATTTGATGTTCCAGAAAAGTAGCATCTTTCTTCATTGTTTGTACATCCCTAAAAATATTCCTTGCATCCCACAAATTGTACAATCCACTTACTGATATATGTAGTGGATCATAAAGATCCGCCAACAGATCAGGTTTCATCTTCATTTTCTTTGGATTATCGTGTGAATCATCGTCTTTTTGTACATTAATCGTAAAATTGTACACGTCCGTCAATACATCCACCAAGAAACTATCAACGAATTGAAACCATGCGAGTTTTAACTCATAACACATTTCTGTGACCCCTGGCGTCAACAAAAACTTAATATTTTTAACTTTCGGCATCTTCGCACGCATCTGATACTGTGAAATGTTATCAAAACTATCAATGCAAATATTGTACAATAAATGTGGTGCTTGTGCTTCGAGAATATCAACGGCTCGTTTCAACTCGTTTAAATATTCATCCACGAATTTCTTTCCAAGCGTCCCAACCAAATTGCGATTGTGTTCGAATGGATCTTGTACGCACATCAAGGAATCCACTTTCAAGTGTTCATCACGAAAACTTGTCCGATACAATTCAAACTGTGCAGGAAGCGTGTCTAATGATTGAAACACAGTCTTTTGTACGTTTTCACCCAAATATGGACAGATAACAAACTCGTCGTAGTTGTAAGTCAAGTAAAACACAAAAAATCCTTTCAATAACTCGTAGAGTGAGGCATTCCTGATTGAGGCTAGATCAATGGAGTACATACCATCAAAACCACCATTCCACCCATACTGTATATTCCTCACCATAGGATTTTCTTGTAACTTACGAATTGATGGTAGATTATAAGGTGCTTGTTGCAGGTAGTAAATAAACATGATTGTCAAAGCGTAGTTTGTAAGTCGAGTGTTTGTCCCACCAACCATGCGTAGTTTTGTCCAGAATTTTAATACCAACAAACACAACTTGAGTTTGTTATCCAGACGTACGATGAACTGTATTAGATATGAGTTGCAGACACCCAGCATGTTTTTAAAATTAAAATCGCATTTTAAACCAGTCGGTACATGCACGCATTTCACAATAGGAGTGTTCGCCCGTGGGATGCAAACAATATTTGTAAAAAGTGGGCTGTGATTAAGTACATCACGACTTTTAGTAATCGCCTCCACGTAGAATATTTTCTTGGCTTGACGTGGCGGATTCGGGACGCCAATGTAAGCGTCAATATCCGAGTCAGGAAAAGCTAGACCAGTTATAGTGCTGCCAAATGGATGCACTTTTGAGTTTGGGTATAATTGTTGCATGGTTTTCTCAAGGTCTGCGCACAAGTGGAGGTACTTCTTGATTTCCAGCTCTGTATTTGGTTGTAAATGAGAGCAAAGTGTTAGGATTTCATCACCGAATGATCTCTGGTTAAAAATTATTTTTAAGATGTTTTCATAGGCGTATTCTTCTTGTGGAGGTGGTTGAGGTTGAACTAGAAACACGCGCCATTTTGAATAGGTTAAACAGTAGTATTGTACCTTTAACTTGATTAAATTATGACATTTATTTACCTTCAGTACGTTTTTTAGCTGAAAACTTAATCCATTTCCCCTTGAACTTCGCCCTGCCTCGTTTAATTAAGTCTTGTGCTACACCCGCATCGTCGTATTTAGTAATCATCCACATGCCCTTCGATGGCATGTAATGTGATTTGACACTGCCAAAAATTTCCATAAACTGATGAATTTCTTCCTTTTTAACTGCATTGGGCCATCCTAAATATTACATAACGTTAAAGATCACAATTTTTAACGAGTGTTTTAGTCTTTTCACTACATTCAAACCCACCTACTGAAAATACTGAAGATTTATAATCGTTGTCCTCCGTGAGTGCCGCATGAAGAGCTAGCTGATGTCGTTTGCCTTGGTTGTGGTTATCACGTGCGCTTTCATGAGGTATAGCCACATTACACACTTGACAAAATAGAGGCCCGATTAAATCCATTTCGTCTTTTAGATTGTGTGTCCTAAATGAATAACATTTATAGTTCCCCAAGAATGTTTATAATAAATTAAATTTACCTGTTTTGGCATTAACAACTTTTAGAAAATATTTGGGCTTAATAAAACCATCTGAATCTCCAGAACTCAGTATGACACCATTAGCAGATTTATAAAACTTTAAATTGTCTTGCAGCGCTTTTCTCAAATTAATATAAATATATACTTGGCATGAGGCTCGCATGCCACTGATTATTCCACCTGTACCAGGCAAACCACATGCGAAATGAATATGATTTCTTTGCATATGATGCAATCCTGTCACTTTTATTTTGTTCCAATTTTTAAAATAAGTCCCATGTATAATTTCTGGATAGTCAGTAGTAAGTCTTGGGGTTAAATGAATTTCGATTAAATCTAACTTTTCAACCTACAATTTTTATAACTTTATAAGCAAAATTAAAAGACTTGGAAACACAACACATTTTTAGGTAAAATATTCTATTTACCTTAATGCTGTGTCCTTGATTAGCCCTGATCCACCACTGCTTATTGTCATCTAGCTGTAAAGTGAATCTCTGTTTGTCATTGTGCTCAGCAATGCGTAGAATATCACTGATTGAGCACTTGTTTAATTTTGGATGCTTCAACAGTTCATCAACTTTAATAAAACCCTCCTCATTAATGCTTAGACCCTCTTTAATTGCTGAATGCCTTAACAACCAAGACAAAGTTTTGCTGACACTGATGTTATCTACAATGTTGGAGTTCATCTGAAAAAAAATAAATTACAGGCAATTACCAGTATTAGGAAACAATTGAATTTAAAACGTACTTAATAAAATAATGCAAGGGCTGAACCTTATTACAATCAGGAGTATTGTTCAATAATTTAATTGTTCTTTGTGAGCCTATGGCGGGAATTTAACTCAGGACACAATCCAACATGATTACGAGGTTAAACTAACAGTGTAATTCAATGATTCCACCAATAGAGCGCGCTAGTGGTATATAAAACACATTAAATTATATTATAGTAAAATAAGCATAAAAACTATAAAGTAAACTCTTGGTAGTCAAATCAACGACTTTTATCATTCATTATGAAGCAATATTCTTCTTTATTTGCTTAGTGTACAAATTCGACAGGATCAAAAGTATTATCAACCTGTTTTGTAACGACAATATTCTGAAATACCTTTGCGGACTTTTTGGGTGTTCTAGTCCTGTTGGCACTAAGAAAATCTACATGGTATAGACCAAATTTTAAGCTGCAATTTAAAATAAGTATCAATAAGTTTTTTCCTTTAATTACATCAGTAGTTAAACGTACGTGTAACCTCTTGACCACTCAAAGTTATCCATCAAAGTCCAATATATGTAAGAAACTACATTACTTCCTTCATTTATTGCTTGTAGCACCTGCTGAATATATCCCTAAATCAAAAAGAACTGTTAAACCTTTTAATCAAAGACATTTATATAAAAACCTTACGTTCATATATTTAATTCTATTGTCATCATTTATATCCTCAGAAGCAGCTCCGGCATAACCATTTTCCGTAATGGAAATAGGAATATCATACCCGTATCGTTGACCAATATAATGTAACAAATAACGAATGCCTTCCGGCACTACAACAAAATTCTCCCATCCAGTGAGTTCCCATAACCTATCCTGCGACAACAGGACGTTTGCATCGCTGGCATAACTAGGTGTAGCCGGCACATTTTGCCCAGCAGCAGTCAAAAGAAACGTGGTGTAATGGTTAAGCCCCAAGTAATCATATGAACCACGAATCTCCTTAATTTCTTGCTTGGTAAATCTTGGCAGACGCGAGTGCGTGAAATTTTGAGCACGACTGACAAAGTCAATCCTTTTACGCATAACAGGTGAATAATCACCTGTCTTTGAATATATCGGATGGACAAACCAACCAAACTAAAACAAACAAAAATACTTACAATTTACAATGTTACATCCCTACTAATATTATAAATGCGAAAGTCCTGATGTTTGTTACACTTTCACGCAAAAACTACTTAACCGATCATCATGAACATTTGTACACATATTCTTAGTGGTCCCCGAATAGTTATAGGCTACTTTTTATTTAATAAAAAAAATATTTTTAAAATAAAATAAAGAAATTGTTTAGCCAATAATACCTCTGCATCTGACTATTTGACTACTTTAACGCCATCTAGCATTCCAGCAATGAAGCTCAAACCTAAGTACTATAGTACCATCACACTGTATTATCACACTGTATTACCGACAGCTACGTCAACATCAAATCCAATTGACTACACTATGGAGACTACACTATACTTCCATAGACAATACTTTCAGCAATTTTAAACTTCCCCCCATTCTACTTCATTGTTACTTCTTCTGTGACTACAGACGCTTACGGAAGCAACTTCATTATTTTAGATATTCGCGAGCGAAGCCGCGGGTTAAAGCTAGTACAAAATACATACGTTCATCTCCATATAATCACGAACAGATCGTCGATCAGCCACACTAGAAGCATTCAGAGGCTCATACCAATCTGTTTCAGCTGCAATTCCTATACTACCACCCTGGGTTTTTTTATATTTACGTTGATATAATCTGTATGTTTTACCATGAGCTCGTAGAAGAGTATGACCACATAAATAAGTTCCAATACCATCTTCAGAGAGATACGGGGCTGAAAAACCATTGTATGCGTTTTTGCAAATATGAGAAGGCTCATTGAATGTCGTCCACACCTTTACACGGTCGCCAAACAACGCGAAAAGTCGATCAGCATATTCTACAAAGATATTCGCTAATTTAGGGTTAGCCCAGCCGCCGAGGTTTTGCAAAGATTGTGGCAGGTCCCAATGGTACATTGTAATCATCGGTGTGATATTCTTTGCAAGCACAAGATCAATCACCTTGTTATAATAACGTACACCATCAGGATTTACTGTTGTTACATAGCCCATTGGAAATAATCGTGTCCAGGACACGGAGAAACGGTAACAGTGTACTTTTAGTTGTGCGATTAGTTCAATGTCTTCTTCGAGTTTATTGTAACCATCGCAAGTTATATCCGCATTAGACCTATCCAAAATCTTCTCTGGTTGATTATGAGTTGAAAAATCCCAAATGTTTGGACTTTTTCCTATTAACAAAAGAATTAATCAAGTATTTATGATTTTTCTTAACTATCAACTTATTTACCACTTGTATTCCATGCTCCTTCATTCTGATATGCTGAAGTCCCAACGCCAAATTTAAATTCATCAGGAAATGCGGAATAATTGTGTGTTGAAATCGGTTTATGTCTTGAAGATGTCACAAATAGATGACAATAAAAACTATAATTAAATGATTACTTTAAAATTAACAAAATAAATACGCTGGAATATAATTTACCTCAGTGTGAATAACCAAAAATACGCTGTTATCATCATGCTGATACGCGTCTGTTCAAGACTCTTGCGGAATTAAATTTATTCCACTTTCGATTTCCTTTTTGAGGCTCTTGATTACGACAAACTGCGTCACTTGTCAACATTTTGCAATGAATCAGAACATGTAAATTCCTTGCTTAACAAATAAAATAATTATGGCTTCTGTCTGACTACCGACCTATGTACTTACATGAACATATTAAATTTGGGAATGTGGAGGGTATGTCCATGAAATTATAGGTCGTTAATTTTTACCTGTTTAGTAAATTACAATTGCACATAACAATGAAAATATTTCAAATTTTTTTTTAAAAAAACCGTTTTTGTTGAGGTCGATAGTTGTTACTCACTGCTTTTTATGTGTGGATGTGTGGAAGACATAAACTTGAATAATCGATAAATATTTGTGATTATTGAAATAACTGCAAGTTTATGCATAGTGTAGTAATTCAAACTAAGAGAGGAGAGGAGAACCTAGAGATCTGCGACTGGACTGCTGGAGGACTCAGGCACGACTGAGTACCGTGTTTGCTGCGTGCTGCCCTTTTATACCTGCGGGTGACCCGCAAAAAGTGGTGGGGTGAGTCGCTGCTAATCATCGTAGCGTCTATTCACCCCCACCACTTTTTGCGGGTTACCCACAGGTATAAAAAGGCAGCGTGCAGTGACTACGGTGCTCAATCGTGCCTGAGTCTTCCAGCAGTCCAATCGGAGGTCTCTAGGGGAAGAGGAATGTTCAACTTTCCTGCTCTTATGCCGTAACCTTCAAAGTAGCAAAGATTACTTACCAATAAATTTGATGAGTCACCGCGTTTAATAACGAATAAGTTTAACTCCAAATCAAATTAATTTACAATTTCATATATTACTTAATATTATGCACAAAATGTGTGCAGTTCACACGCGGTAGAAGTGAAAAGTGTTATTTTAAATATTGCTTTTCATGATTGTTACAAACTGTAAAAATTTGCGTGGCATAGGTTGCCTATATTCCAACATCCAAACTGAAACTCAGAGCTTTAACTACTTGTTATGTTTACCGGTAGAGGCCGCGCGCTTGTCACTTTGCTTGCCACAATTCTTGTACTAAACGAACCGCCTATTTGACAGACACAGACCAGCTGTAAAATGGTGGCTTGTGAGTGCGTTCATTTCTAGGGCGGGGAATTTTGCGCGGAAACACGTAAGGAGATTAGTGAAGACACGCGATTCCGTATTGTTCGAGAACCATCTGTTAATATCGCTAGGCTGATCGAACGCCCTTATTACGGCTAAATTCAATATCTACTCGCTGAAGTTGTCACTGCGGACGCAAGAAACAATCAAACTTTGCTGGGATTCGCGTGTTCCGAGAGTCGCGAACGCACATCAGGAGGATGTGACATTTACAGAGGAAGGTAAACAATAGAAAAACATCACGGGATCTGCAAGCTAACTAAAAACTAATAACTGTATAATAAACTGTGTTCGGGGTGTAAGTGTCGGACGTGCGCGACAAAACCCGTCGCTAGTGAAATTGATCCAGGGGGCTGGAGCGCGAAGGAGTTGCGCGTGCCTTGCGGTTCGTCCTGCGCCGTCTTCACGGGGTACAAGCAAAGTGGCAGTGTTTTATTTAATTTTATATGTCAACTGCTGCTAGGGAATGCGGATGCATCGGAGGACGAGTGCGGGTAAATCGATGCACGGTGGGTGATATCGTTTCACTCTAGGGGGAGCACACGCAGGACTAAAGAAAAACTATCACGTGAAAAGTGCGATGATGTGAAACGGTGTTTTGACGTGATTGCGACCGGTGTTACAATGACAAAGACGGCAAAAGCAGTGAATCAAACCATCAACAACAGCAATGGCATCGTGAAGAAAACGCCAAAATGTGCGAAAGTAAAACTGACCATCAGCAGCTCTGCGGCTGCAACAGTAAAAAAGAAGATGCTCGCAGCGAAGCTGACGAAAGAACAGGAGGCATCCATCGCCGAGACTATTACATTCGTCGTTAGCGGTAAGGTGAGAAAGACGCCTACGGGATCACCTTCTGTACAAGATGTGCCTAAATTGTGGAAGAGGGTGGCTAAAACAAACCAAACACGCACATCAAGGACACCACTGCCAAGAAAACTGCCCCGCACGCTAAAACAAAAGTGGCGAAAAAGCAAGTCAATAACGTGCATCGTTTAGCACGCCCAAAATTGGTAAATAAAACCGTCAACCGACCCACTAAGTGTAAAAAACCTAACCGAGGCGAAATTAAAAATAACAAAGCAGAATCTAAATCGAGCGTTGATGTATCTGATAAGGAAGAGAAACATGAAAATGATAAAAAACCGACGAAAAACAAGCAGATTTTGAAGACTGTTAAAAGCTCTTCGAAAAAATCCGCTTCTCATCAAGGAAAAATGCCTGATAAGTTAAATGGTGAGAAAACATCGGTTAAGAAAGATGTCAAGGTCACAGAGGCGAAGGTAATGTCAAAAAAAGTCAATCAGAAACTTCAAATCAAAGAGGAACAATTAGACGAAGTCATCGCCGCCATTTTTGAATCCTCTGTGAAAGCAGAGGGGGAGAAACTTGGTGTTAAGAAAAGTTCAGAAAAACGCACGCCTAAACTTGAACCCTCGGTGTTAGCGAATAAACTTAAAGCTAAATTGAAATCAGCTCCGTTGAAAAACAAAGTCGTGTATGTGAAGAATAAAAATCACAAGGCAAAGTTGGTAGGAAAACCGATTCAACAGGTTAAGTCTCGAAAATTGCTGAGTATTTGGAATGGTCCTAAACGCCATCGTGTGGCATCCTTGAATGCCATGGCAAAAGTACATTGTCTATACGACAATGAATTCCGTGGTAATTTTGATCAGTTGGAGCTCAACGTCAAGCGTGAACTTGCTGAAGAAAAGGAAGAAAAACGACGCACCAGGCCAATGAAACACGAACGCCAATCGGTCTCACCACAACCAACGCGTACCTTGCGTTCTGTACCAGGGCTACGCGCTGTTGGAAAGATGTGGGACATGCATGATACAACATCTAGTAGTGAAGATGACTACCTACAGGTTCCTGCACGCAGTGATAAACCTAAGAAAACCACAAAGGCAGTACCCACAGAAAAACGAACCACAACTGTTGCTAAAACGAAAAAACCGCTAGCAAAACGACGCAAGAAGGAAGAAGTTGTCATGGATCTGAAGGATATGGTTGTGCGCAAGCGCATGGCTAGCCTGAATGCGTCAGCAATACTCGCCGCCAGCTACTCAGCGGAAAAGCGCACGCATCCTCGTGGTGCAAACAGCGACACAGAGACAAGCACCTCAGAAGATGAGTATTCAAGCGATGATGAAACGATCAAAAAGAGGAGAAGATTGACTGTAAGCTGCAAGTCCGTGCAGTGCCAAGCAAGAAGGTGGCAGTTATTCTCAACCAGGATACTGATGTTACTTTCACTGGGGTTTACATGAACAGTACGACACGTTCCACGCACCATGAGGGTTATTGTCACATTGCGGGGATGAAGTATCGCATATCTGCAACCAGTCATACACAAACAGCGGCTACCGCTGTCTCTACAGAGACAATTTTGCAATCCTCCACTACTACTACTAGAGAAAATGTATGTTATTAAATAATAATTTATTATTATATGTATTTGTGAATTTTTTATGGTGTTAACAGGAAAATGCCGATACTACGCCTGCGAAATCTTACACGCCATTGGATGCTTTATCGAATATGCAGCCGCCTGCAAACGCTGTGCAACCTCATAACCATCACTTGCCGCCACCACCACTTGCGGCAGCGCCACCCTCCGCACCTATGCAGCCGCATCATCATCATCATCATCAGCATGTACACCATGCCGTCGGTGACATTGGATCGCTGGCACGCCGCCATGGTTGTTCTACAAGTGCATTCAGCGCGCCTCCACCGCCGGCGACTGGAGGATGCGGCACGCAGACGCTTCATCACATGCCGCCAGAACATGGCTACGTTCAAGGTAAGCCTAAGGGTTGTTGTTATACTACCAATGTTAGAATATGCGATGTGGGGGTGGGAGTAACAGCAGCAGCATGGAGTGGTGACGCTCGTCTGATACTTCGGGCAAGATCGGCGCGGCGGCCGGTCGTGTGGCGGCTTGCCGCGATTTGCCGTTCCGAAGGATTGTTCTAGACGCGTGCGGATATCGCAACGATCGTAGGGCTTGTTGATTTAAAACCTGACGCGTTACATTTGCGGCATCACACAAACGTTATAATATTGCATCAATGTTGTTAAAGTGCGCAAAATGACGAAACCAAAATAGATCTCTGAATTCTGAATTGTGTGGAAGTGTTAGCGCTTATTGCGTCGTTGCATTGCTACGCCATACTCCTGAATACATTTTAAATGAGTAGTTTTGGTAGTGATAATCGAATGATTACTTTAAAAACTCCATTGGTGAATTTCAAGGATCACGTTGATCTGCTCGCAGTATACATGGTATTAGCAACAGGTAAAACAATTTTCATCGACGTTTTTTATAGTTTGTACAATGACCTTGAACAGGACATTCATTTATTTATTTTTCTAAGATCAAGATGTATGCATTCTATGTCACATCCTTCGTCTGGGTTATGCTTGAAATTATGGCAAATTTAGACGCAAGATCAGTGACCACAGCAATGAATCCAGGAATTTATTTTCCTAGGATTGGAAGAGAAGAGGTTCGAGGGAAGCATGCTTGAAAATGTTTGTTTGCTTCTGCGATGACCTTTTTACAGTTTTTACACTATTTACAAAATGATGTTGAAAGTAACTTATACTCTCCCATGAAATTTAAATATGACACATTTCTTATACACCGCTTATAAAACTCTTTAAAGAGAAAGTTCGTTCTTGAGTACGTGCCCGCAGTCTGCAATGGCGTTCGTGGCTCTCAGGTCATCGATTTGCTAAAAGATTTTGCACGCTCATCTGACGCCTTTCGCCAGGAGTACTCGTACTTCTTGTTTCCTCTGGGGTACACGTACACGTTATTCAACATAACAAGCGGCATGCTTGAACTCAAAGAAACAAATTGTGCATCCGTATCGCATTATGGCTGGCCCACATACTACCGGTGGTACTACGGCTCAGCGAGTGACAGGCAGCTGGTAGGAACAGCTGGCTGTCGAAAAAGAAGTAGGATACTAAAACCCGTCACGATCATGCAAGGGGTAAAATTAATTTCTTGTGAAGTTTCTCTTTCTCCTTTAGTAGGCACAACTTACGTTAGATTGCATAAAAGGTATGTTTATCATTTGCTAACCAAAATTGGGACTTCATCAAATGTGTATTAATTTTTTTTGTGGTGCTTGCCGTAAGGGATAACATCTGATTAGTTATACAGTAAGGAGCAGGTGCAGCGGCAGCGACAGGAACAATGAATTGTACGATTTTAAAAGGAGTTAAAATTTTGTTTGTCTGTAACGTTTTCTTTAAATATCTTGAGTATAGGAATTAATTGGCGATATAAAATCTTTGTCAGGGATAAATAATAACGTCGAGGGAATTGCTCGAAACTTTCATCCACATTCACTGCTTGCGAGTGCGAAACTCGTAAGTACGTACCAACTTGAACGACGAGTATATTGGTTGTGAGGAGTAGGGTCGAGCAAGTGAGCATGCGGTGAATTGGTACGTGAAGTGAGTGGAGAGGAGCAGCAGTACCGGCAGCCGCTGCCTCGACAGTCGAGACCGGGCGTTGCTGGCGGTGCGATGCGTAGAGAAAAACGAGTGTCGCGAATGTTTGGTGTTTGCACAGCAGTACGCAGCAGTACTGCAAATGAGATTATCGCAAGGAATATTATCAGCTTGTGTGTGTGTGTGCTGTGGGGCGGTGAATAAAGTTTAAAACTAACAGATTACCGAAGTGTTGGCACGCCGCACGCGAAATACACCGTTTTCTGAACCGTTTATTGCAAAAAGCACTGCTTAGTTTACGATTGTGTGTACGACTTTCACAAGAGTCGCCGCACACGATTTGAACGGTGCACGCATCGACTGTGATACTGTTATACTTATGTTGCGGAGGAAACACCATCACGACGGAAATTAAGAATGCCATGAATATATGACATGACATGCACCCCATAACGCAGGGTGCAACACCTCGTATAACTATGTGATTTATGAGCAACGTGGCCTTGGATAAAAGTGATAAAATAATAAAGCCAATAATACTAATCATTGTGATATTGCTAAATTTTTATTGCTAAATTTGTTAAGTTAAAATGAAGCTCAAAATGCCGTGCAAATTGTGCGATTCAATAAGCCACCCTAAGTTAGGGGTGGTTCGTGCTGACGATGGTGGAGGTGCCACGTGCACGCACACTGATTACGTGCTGTCATCTCATCAAGCCATGCCGTCGATGATGCCGATTGGGTTGCAAGTACAGGACCCTACGATACTTGTGCCACAAATTAGGGATATGATGCTTGCGGCGTATTTATTCAGAGGTGAGATTATTTACGCATTTCTATGCAAAGTTGTGAAAATATAACCTTGGTGCTTGGTGGCAGCGCGAAAATAGGTGCCGAAATGTCGAGTTCACCGGATAAACGTTGTGCGGGGCAGACGCGACGCGAAAACAGTTTTGTTCCGCGCGCGCGCTTGGCGAGCCCACACATTGCGCGCCTTTCTGCTCCGGCACGGTTGCGGCTATGAATAAATCATAGATTATGTGCAATGCATAGCCAACTGGTACTTACTACTCTCGACATAACGTGAGTGACTTGGTTTCTTAGCCGATGAGCTTCCTCAGTAGGTAGACAATTCGTATAGGTATCTTTTTTTTCATGATTTAGAAATATTTGTTTCATTTAGTATTTAAAAAAAAATTATTTTTATTAGTACATCTTTTAAAATACATATTGATTCTAGGAATGTATACCACAAAACGAGTATGTAGATAACCATTTTCAAGGATTATCTTGTTCCATTTTCATGTCTTATTATTACATGGGTAACATTCACTTTGTGGTACATGAAGGGATAGCGTATATGGTGATGTTATGATGTTAACGAATCAGTCTTCCTCCGTTGTTGTTTGCAAGCAGCGGGAATATTTGTGCGCATATCGGAAGCGCCTACACGCGTGTTCTAAAAATAAATGTCCGGCATGGCGCGGCGAAAACTATGTGTTTGTAGACGTGAAAACTAAATTAAAGTAACTGTATTGCTGGTTTGTTACTTGCGAGCAATTAATAAATCAATAATCGTATGGGCTTTTGGAGAAATTCATTTTACGAGTATATTTGTGCAGTGGGTCGGTCATTATCAATGATGCACGCGCCGCGCAGAAAAACACACATATGAAGCATCTATAATTACGATTATTGCCAAGGTCGGCGTCGGAGGTTCAGTTGAGTTGCGGCCGCGTCGCGTATTTGATTGCGCGTTCGTATCAGCGCGCATTTTCTCTGCTGTCTCGCCGCATGTGATAATACGCCGCAAAAGGTCACAATCATCTTAAACACGTCATGTTCACTTCAATCGGACTACTTTTCCACATGGCCCTTCAACTTTCTACTGTTGCTCAAGAAGTTTTATTGGCCTGTTTTAATAAATTGTAAAAAAAATGTGCAAAAAATTATAAAAACGTTTAATAAAAGAGATACGTGTGTTTAGAATCACTTTCAATAAATCATCGGTTCAGTATTCTGCAGACGCACACATGAATAAAAAATTATTAACTGGCTGGGATAAATCATTGCGATTGCCGGACGCTTTATAGTTAGATGTAAATATTTTAATATGTAGATACGCAATAATTTGATATTTAAAGAATAAATATGCGCGGAGCAAGTGCGACGCGCGCTTGTTTGCCGCTTGCTGGGTACGCATGTATGAAATATGATGTTGCTTATAAGGAGGTCACGCCGTCCGACCGGAATCCGGGAGCTCAGCCGACTCAGGTGTTCACGCTGCGTGTTGCTCTTGGCGGTGAGCGGTAAACACTCTCGAGTGGGAACGTGTCAGAGGCTGAAGGATTTTCATTTGGGCCACACGATAAAACGTTTATATCATTCGACGTATTACTACCAGGGGACGACAATTGAATCGCGAGTTGATTTTTCACTTTAAAGTTGTATTGACATGAGTAAGTTTTGTTTGAATCGATTTGGGTATTCAATCAATTTGCCTATTCAATTGTTGAACACATATTTCACATGTACTTTGAGTGTTAATTAAAAAGTTGAGTTTATTAGAACGCATGGTCATTTCTTTTTAGCATAATTTGTCATTTTCGCTTCTCCCGTAGTGTAAATTCAATAATTGGTTATAATCTTTTATTAATTATGTATTTGATGTCGCGTCAAAGTAAAGAATTACCTTACGTACAAAACCGATCAGAGGACAAACAAAAAAGCTGACGCGTTTACTATTGGTAAATACTAGTACCAAGAAGCACTAGTGTGCGCATTCACGCTTATCACGCGAATGCATAAATAACGATAAAGCATCGCTCGGGACAGTTTGCCAGGTTTACAGCATTTTCGTTGTGTTGGCAGTTAGCTTGCTTCGACTATTAGTTCACAATGATGCCTTTGTATCGTTCAAACCTTATTTACTACGCATCGCATCACAAATAGCAAATTTGCGGACTTATTTTTTAAATTAATTATTAGTCTATTATTTAGAATATCGCTAAGTAGACTACAGAAATGGTTAGAAATGTATTCTATGGAGTATAATATTATAGCTTCTGTCTTCAGGAAGAAATATTATCGAATAATTTTCCAGTCATGTGAAAATCTATTTTATGCGCGGTGTGGTTCACGCCTAGCGCGCTCGGCACGACGCGGCGCTTAAATTTTCACGCGGCGCTAAAGCGCTGGGATCCAGCAAACCTAGTTTTACTGTTCTCGCGAGTAATTCGGGTAGTATAGAAGCCTAAGAGATAATTGAATCTGACTGATTATGATGATAATGGCAAGGTGTACTGTTTGCACGTGTGTGTGTGCACTCATTCGGCGCGTTGCGCTACTCTCCTGTCGACGTTTATGGCGCTTTCGGTACGCAAGTACGCGGTACGAGAGCAATTAGACGCCATAAAGGTAATATAAAGTGGCAGTATAAAGGAGTTGCATTTGCGGCCGAGGATGTCGACGGGCTAACGCACACGCTTGCCAGGAAACAAGGCGCATTACGAGCTTTATTATGTGCGCATTTTAGTTTCTTTTTCTCGACTTGTTTGCCGCGCGCTTTGTGATGGTGGTGGTTTTTGTTGGCTTTTTTTCTTGCGCACGCATTTTTGCGCGCTGCGAGTTATGTTGGCACGTTTAATTGCTGTTTCGACGACGCACGTTGAGCGGCGCGTTGATCGTTAACTGGAATAATTTACTGTTGGATGAGGACCTTCTCGGCACAGTGCAGCATTTGCAAAGTTGATTTCATTACTCGGGCAACTGGCCTGAATTGTTTGTTACGCACTATTTGTGTTTTCCGGGTATGCACAAATCACTTATATTATGAATCTCTATCTCAATTTATTATTCAAACTATTTATTTGTGAAAATCGGTAAATAGTGCAGTATATTTCATTCGCCGGGGGTAGTCTGTAACATTCTGGTAATTACACATTGTTTGTTTAGCGAATTTACATGCGATATTAGCTTTCTGCGAACATGGCAGCCAAGAGGAGAGGAAATGAAGGTGTCTAATGATTCTCTCCGTTGTGCCTAAACAGTTACTTTACAGCCTTAGCGAAAGCCGTCTCGTAATTAATTACTAAGTGAACAGCATTATGCATGAATCACTAAAATTGCACTATTTGCACTATTGCACAAGTTGTGTAAGGATAAGAGAAGTTAAAATCAAATTGTTTTTAATGCGTTTCAGCAAAACGTGCTCTCCGAATTAAATATTTATGTATTCATTATGAATCTAAAAAGCGACTTCCTGTGCGAGCGTGTTATTTTTAATTGATATTTCGTGATATTTGTCTGATATGCAAATATATATGTAAGACAATTTGTTAATAACAGTTTTATGAAACACCAGAAGGCATTTGCCGTAGGAAAATACTAAAAGTAATCTCGTCATCATTATAATTTTGGTTATAATGATCAAGCGCCGGTGCGAGAGGTGTGAACGGATTTATTAAATTAATTGTCGGAAATTGCTTAATTTCATGCTTTGTGCTGATGGCAGCGGCACTGACTGTGATTTTTTTAATACAGAAATGGTGACTTTGTTTAGTTTGAGCGAATAAAGCGATGTAAAAACTTTGTGCAAAAAACCATCGAGGAAACGTTGACCCCGAATTTTGGCAAGGACAACAACCAGCGTGCTAATAGCAATGATGTAATTTGCGATCGCTTGTTATCAAAATAATACGTGATGTATAAAAAAAAACTTTTGTTGGGTCATTTGGATCGTGTTCCTTTTTCTTCACTTTGGACCACAAATTGGTTAATTTTTTCGGCGTTGTAAGGTGGGATTCTCGTCGTATTTCATCTACCATAACCGCAACTTATCTTGAGTGATGGCGATGCGATGATGAGCACGGAACAGCCATGAACCGTTGTTTTATAAGCATTGCGAATTGCAATTGCTTTGCTTTTTGCGAGACGAATTTATATTTGCAAAGGCAGCAAGCAACCTTCGCTGGTGCCATTGACTGGCACGACTTTTAATAACGCCGAACCTAGAGTTGCGAATACCGTCGTTCTTTTAATGATGGTCGTTGGCTTGCACGTTGTTTCATTCAGGAACCGAGATTAAACTAGTTCGCTAGCGTTCTCCCTTGACTTTCAACTTTTAGCTTTGGATGAAAAACCAAAATATGTTTGTATTTAGTACGTTTTTCTTCATTTTCGATTTTGATTCACTGAACAAACAAAGCCCAACAAAGCGTAAAGTGATGGGCGGCAGGTTGATTGTCCTTTGGTTAATGCATGTGGCTGAAACAATAGGAAATCGAGAATTCGCTAGGGTTTGAAGAAATTAAAAAACAGTATACAATGGTATTCATAAAGCAATTGATGACTATGTATTATTAATTTGTGAATATCGCGTCACGTGTTGTGGATAATTATCATGTTTCGAACATGATAAAGTGACAAGCGCACTTTAATAAAGGCGCGCAAGAGAATCCGACTAGTGGACTTGTAGGACGACCTTTCCGCAGTCCGTGACCCATTTCCTGAAATTACGATGCGGCTGCTCGCTTCGTCGAACTTTTTATTCGAGGTAGCAGATGCCCGGCACGACCACCACCACGGCCGTCGCCAAAACCAAGAACGTAATAACAGCCAGTGTTGTGCATTATCCAATAACGGACTAAGTAGACGTTTAGGGGAGAGGGCGCAACAGACACAATGGGAAATTCTTAACGCGAGAGGCGACAACATTTACTGTCTGCCGTTTTTGTGACCGAAACATTTTATTTTTTAATTTGATATTTATTTTATTTTTTACTTTACTTGTCGCGCGAATGAAAACTATGGAAGAATATGTGAGTTAACATGCGGTTTTGCGGTGAAATGTGTCTGTGATTTCAAAATACGTTGAACCACTTCGGAAATTATTAATTTAAGATGTTAATTCAGCGCTGTGTCTTCATAAATGCCGGCGCACCGGGCTTTTAATAAAAGAGCCTTATGATAGGTATTCATGAGCTCTGCACGTCCAAGGCGAAAGCATTGGGACAAGACGCGTAAGAAACAAAGAAGCCGTGACCTTATTCAATCACCTCAACACGACTGGTTATGTCTGCTGAACGACAAAAGTAGGTGGCACCGAACCAACGAACTTGGCGCGACAACGCTCCAAAAAACACACATCATGCGCTCGTTTGAATGCGCGCCGCGTATCGTTTACAAAGTGACACTGAAGGGGTAAATTTAAGATTCTTAATATTTGCAAGCAATTTCTTAAATGTTGAAAGGTGTGGTGTCTGTTGGTTTGTTTATATAAGTAAATAACATCGAATAAGCTCATATTTCGTTACGCTCTCATTATCTTTTAACGATTTGTCTTCAGTAGAAGAGAATCGTGCGCTTACTTAAAACGTAAATCAGGAAATCAACGGTAACATCAAGACTACGTGACGTGGACAAGCTGCGCGTTAATCTCCAACACACTTATTCGTATTCGAATTTTCTGATTGTAGCAAAGTTTTAGTTAATACAAATGTTTCGTGCGGAGATACGCGCCGAAGTGCCTAGGTTTGTTCGCGCGCTGCCGCGATTTCTACTTTCAAATTTAGAATCACACCAAACAGGTTTCATCGATAAAACGTGCCAAAAGTTGAAAACGTTTTTATTGTTTGCTCGACGCTCTTGATTGATGAATTATACCAAGTAAATGTTTATTGAAAATGGCGTCCATTTTGTTTCAGGTTATTATCAACCGGCTGGTCCGTTGATAAGTGTTCATGGACATTCCCAGGCGCCTCCATCTTTAAATACTAAATCGGTGCCGCTGTCGGACGCCTCACCGTCATCGACATCACCACTTCTTCAGCCACCCCCGCCGAGTTCGGCTGGAGATTCATCGGACAGTGAAGTAGGTTCATTGTAATTTTTATTTGTTTTGCGAATTTTGTTAATGATTCAGCAGACTGAATTGTTCATTCACAGACAATGATTGTTTTGTATTGCGGCGATAAGACTCACAATCTACTTGTACCTAGTGTATTATTAATTTAACTAGCTTTAACCCTTGGCTTCGCTCGCGAATATCTAAAATAATGAAGTTGCTTCCGTACGCGTCTGCAGTCACAAAAGAAGTAACAATGAAGTAGAATGGCGGGAAGTTTAAAATGGCTGAAAGTATAGTCTATGGAAGTATAGTGTACAGTCTCCATAGTGTAGTCAATTGGATTTGATGTAGACGTAGCTGTCGGTAATACAGTGTGATGGTACTATAGTACTTAGGTTTGAGCTTCATTGCTGGAATGCTAGATGGCGTTAAAGTAGTCAAATAGCCAGATGCAGAGGTATTATTGGTTAAACAATTTCTTTATTTTATTTAAAAAATAATTTTTTTTATTAAATAAAAAGTAGCCTATAACCATTCGGGGACCACTAAGAATATGTGTACAAATTTTCATGATGATCGGTTAAGTAGTTTTTGCGTGAAAGTGTAACAAACATCAGGACTTTTGCATTTATAATATTAGTAGGGATATTTGAATCTGATGTGTTTTTCTTTATTTGTTGCTTCAGGTGATAATTACGTCCGTAACAACAGCAAAAGAGGCGCTTGCCCAACAGCAGCCTTCACCGGCGGCAGCATACCATCGGCTCAACCATCACTATCCGCCGCCTCCACCGCATGGTGCCTACTCGGCATACGGGGGAGCTTATCCACCACAGTATTACGGTGCCCCACCGCCACCTCCGGGTCCCACCGCCTATCCACATCACGACATGTGCTACACCTCGTTCCAGCCGCACAAGTACATGTTCCGGCGGTATTTAGCGCCCCCCGCGCCACCTTACTATCAGCCCAGCTCACCTGATTTGTACACCCAGCAACCCAACACAAATCAACAGGTTTGTTGCTTTTTGCCCACGCAGCGCACGATATAACTCACCAACCAGAGATGTAATGAACAGGTTGTGACCGCTACCAGCTCGTCGAGCGGCAACTATCAATCGTCGTCGACGGGTCCGCCACCACCGACGTTGATGGAGACGTACCCGGGTCCACCACCAACCCTTATTGAGTCGTATCCTTCACCAGCGCATTATTACCAAGGCTACGGCCCGACGCCGCCGTGTTATACGCACTCAGCACCGGCGCGACCCCTCAGTTATATAAGTGAGTCAGAAGCATATTTAGGAATTAGAATAATGTTTATTATTCTGAATCTACTGCTTGCAGATGCCACATATCAAACGTGTCCTTGTCCAATGCAGTCGTGTCCAAAAAACGTACATACTGGACCTCTTGCTGGAGATAGTAAGAGGTCTAACATCACAATCGCCAAAGAATCAGTGCCGCTGCCTCCGGTGGCTCTTGCGTTACCACTGGAACCAGCCAGTGCAACAGGGCCACCGAGTCCGGCGCGAGGTAGTGCAGGCATGCCACCACCTCCGTCGCCTGCAGGTGCTACTTACCAACAGCCGCCTCCACCAAAGCAGGAGACGCCTGAGCCAGCTGCCATTGAACAGCGGCGGAAGGCGCGTGTTGGTAAAGCTATGGTGCGGCACAACATTGCGCAGAACCAACAGAACACGATGCTCCTTATGTGTCAAACGCCTACAATTCTAGAAAGCGTTAAGCGTGAAGTAGAATCACCGAAGGAGGAGGCACCCGTCACCGCAAAAATCGAGGATTGTGCCGATGTTGTTCTAGTCGCCGAACACGAAAATGCCATCAAACGTGAACTACCCGAGAAGCCGCGCATTGGAGATATGCTAACGGATCAACCACCAACAACCCCACCTCCTCCTGATCCTGAAATTCCACCTGCACCTGCCAATGATGACTTATTATTACCGTGTCAAAAAACCGTTGCGGAGAACGTGAAGGTAAAAAACATGAAACGTAAATGTTCGATGAGTAAAGAAACAGTGCCACCTCTGGAACCAGTAGCAGTGGTAGCAAAAAAGCCGAAGCTCGAGAAGCCGAATGGAAGCTACAAGGACTTGATCAAAAAAACTCAAAACGTTGTCAAGATTAATAATGGCAAGCGGAAATTAATAACCGAAACGAGGACGGTAAATGGTGTGCTCATTCGTTTTAGAAAGAGCAATAAGCGCAACAAGCGTCTTGCCTCGGCTGCTGCGGCCCAGAAAGAAGAACATCATGGCAAGCGGGTAAAATCAACTAAACCACTCACTGATAGCAACGTACCTCAAAAAGCGAAAGCAAACGGCGCCAAAGAAGCCAAAGGGATTATTGATCCGGAGCTCAGAGAGAACAAGGAACCCACCACCAAGCGTACTCTTAAGAAACAACTACCACCACAGGGCAAGAAATTACAGAGTAATCTTGAGCGTACCATCGAGAGTGTTGTGCACAATCTACGAACACCCAAAGTAGTATTGGGAATAGAAAAGGTAGCGAAAAAAGTTGCACCCAGTAAAGTCAGGCGTAGTACGGAAAATAGTGCGAAAGTTGTGGCACGTCGCAGTTCCACAAAACAAAAAGATGTGCCGCAGACAATATCTCGAATTCCACGACGCTCAGCACAATTACGCTGGTCAAACGGCTGGCGATGGCTTGGTGATCCATTTGATGGCAAAGTGTTCTTAAACGTAAGCAGATTTTTATAACCCAGATATTTTTAACTAACAGTGTTTTTTTTTATGTTTAATAGAGTGATGAGTCGATTGTGACTCGAAAATGTTATCCTGCAATGGTACATGAAGAGGGCGACATTATTGAGCCACGTGACTGCGTTTTGCTTAAGGCCGGACAGCGAAAAAACGAGCTTCCTTTTGTTGCCAAAATCGCTGCGCTGTGGGAGAATCTCGACGACGGTAAATCACCGTATAAAACTGATTTCGGAAGCCTATAATATGTGTTTTATGTATTATTTAGGCGAAATGATGATGTCTTTGCTGTGGTACTACCGCCCTGAGCATACTGAACAAGGCCGGCGGCCTGTCGACCAGCCAGACGAAGTGTTTGCCTCCAGACATAAAGACTCCAACAGCGTCGCCTGTATTGAGGACAAGTGCTACGTTTTAACTTATAATGAGTATTGCAGGTAAGTGCATCCCAAGATGCATCACAAGTATACCACAAGATATAATTTTTACTAATCGTGTTTGATTACTGATGTAGATATAGAAAAGATTTGCGAAGATTAGAAGCATGCGTGGAAGATACTGGCCCATGCATACCACAACCCGACCCATACCCCCGACACCATCGACAGCCTCCCTCCACGCTGGGCACATCCGCCGATCTAGTGTTTTTCTGTCGCAAGGTGTACGATTTTCGACAGAAACGCATTATTAAGAATCCCAGTTAATCAAAAGATATCGTTCGAATAATACGTGAAACTCGTTTTCCACTAGCAAAACGATGACCAAAAACTTCAATAATTTTATATCGTAAATTAAACGACGACGAAGTGATCGGTGTAAGATAATTGGAACACGCATTTAACAAATATTGCAGTGCATCATCCACGGCATTTAGTATTTACATGTTTCTTTGTTTCGAACGAACAATTACTGCAAAATCAAAACCGACGATCGGCAACAAATTTGAACAGACACGTTCAATAAGTATACACATTGTTACTTTATATTGGAAAATTACACAAAGGGAACATTTGTAATCTATATATATTAACATATTTCATTAGTTTAATAATAATGTTGTATAGTAAACCAAAAAACATAGAGATGATTATATTATTATATACAATATATATATTTAACACGAAAAATGTAAAAAAATTGAAGGAAACAAAGCGACAAACTTATTAAGTAATTAATTATTGATCAATATTTATAATTGAAACAGTGCTAGAGGTGTGTGTGCTTCAGTAGAACAGAAATGCCGACAAAATGCGACAGAAAAAACAGAAAGCTAGTAACGAATTCGTCAATGTTCTCTTATCTTAATAATCAAAGCATTACTTAATACAATTGCGTTGTTATGTATTTACTGCTTGATATAATAATCGGTTGGCAGATGAACGTGACAGAGTAAAATATTGATATAAAATCAGGGATATCTGTATGATATACATAAACAAACAAGTATCAATTAATTTTTAATATTTAAACTAATTACGGATAATAGGATGCGCTTTGAATGATTTCGAAATCACTAAAAATGTTATTCCTTTTACTATTTATATTAGACTAAGTTGAGTTTACCCGATCTGTTAATTAAGTCTAGTTGTACATCGATTTAAAAATCGCGTAACCATTTTAGGTTATATTTTTTTTATTATTTATCTCTTGGAATATGGACTAAACCGACGGAAATCATTGATCGACGCCAAAGTCTTATTATTATGCCCTTTCTTTGTTTTTATATTATTATGTTATTTGATAAGATTTATTACTGTTATGTTTTATTTTTTATCTATTTGAAATAATAATTGCTATTATGATTACGATCATCTTGTACATAACTATTAACATGTGCTTAATTAAACAAGTTATTATTATGTTTCTACCAAAATGCGCAAAGCAATAGATGGACAATGTGCTGTATTTTATTTGATCAATTGAGCGAATATTGTGAATTTGTTTTATACACGTTGATGTACGTAATTGAGCATTTGTTTGTTAAAACGCCGCCTATGCCTTTTAGGTGCCTTCCTCTTAACTAATTATATCCCCGAAATTCTTCTTTATGTTCCTTAACAAATGCAAACTGAATAAATGTGTGAAAGTACGATCTGGATCTAATATAATCCCTGTAATGAAATTTTCTTTTTAATAATTTAGTTATTTAAGGTAAAACTAATTCGAATCCCAAGGTCAACTCGGGTTGTATTTTGACAGATTGCTGGTTGTACTTTGCGGCGTAGTTAAAGCACACACCGTTAGGTGGCGCTAGGTGTCCGGAGCAAATTGCACGGGTAGGCGCATCGCCGATAGTTCGGGCGCTGCCGGTAGAGTGAAACGCAGCGTGATTGGCTACGATAGTGCACGAACGGGTCAATGTCTGAGCATCTGAAATGTATGGTGGTGAGGTGAAACCCATTGCGAGCGAAAAATGGTTTAAGTCATATCAATTCGCTGCGAAGTATGTGGTGTAGGTGCGTGCTTTAAGTCCCGCGAGACCAGGTGAACGGTGATGTGAACCCGTTTGGGCGCTACGTGCGAAAATACGGCGAGGCAGGCGTGAAGGCGATCCGCGTACGCCCCGACGACCGAGAATCGGAAGAGCAGCACGCACACAGCGACAGCGTACGGCACACGGCCAGACAACGACGACGGCGAATAGCAGTGCGCGGCGGTGTCGAAATAAACTACAGTGATTAGCGTACAAGAGAACCTCTGGCCGCCATCGCCAAGTGCGACACGGGGTGTATCTACCCAAGCAATGTGATAGATTAGACGACCGCCAGCGATTCGGATTATCACCCATCCACAGCCACAGCGCCAGCGCCGTTTGTGAGCGAGTGCGAGCGACGCGTGGAGTATGAGCGGACGACCGAGAACCACGTCCTTCGCCGAGGGCAACAAGCAGCCGCTCAACCCACCACTCGGCGGCATGAAGATTTGCAGTAAGTGTGTACGCGCCAGCGCCCGTCTTCCTAGCTCTGCATCCCGTTGCGATTATTCCTAGTTGCGTCGCCAGCGGGGTATGCAAGTATGTGTGTCTATGCATGTGTAAAAGCGACGAGCGCGCCGCGTTCCCGTTCGTTCGTGGCTTGGCCGTGCTGAGTGACGTCGAACGCGAGCGCGACTCCCAGCTCAACATCTCTTCAACATGGCTGCCCCCACGAAAGCGTGCGCTGTCGAAACGACGGCGCCCGTTGTGGCGGTGCATCTTCGCGACGCTCAAATCACACGCACTCCGATGAGATGGCGCATTTTTTCGCACGCTCGCTGACGTTTGTCAGCAGGCCACTTTCATCCCCGCCCATCTCAACCGCACGCACGCCGCCACGACGCCGCCTTTCGCATCAATAGGTCATCGCTTTGTGCCCCATGGATTGAATCTAATTAAACAGCTACACACGACACACATAATCACATGCGATGCGCCTTCATCAACCTGTAGTGTTACCCAGATACTTGCATTACTCGTAGGTACTACTTTGGACCAGATCTGCTTAAATATGACAAAAAATGTATGGTAACGAAGGGTAAATAGACTTATACCACACATTAATACACATATAGTGTATATTTGCTTCTGACGAGGTTGCCCACTCTTCAGTTGTTTGTCTTGCCCTCAGCGACGACGAGAATTGTTGATCGGTCACACTCTAAGGGCGGCCGCGTCATATGCGCCTCGATAGCGTAATTTATGCATATAGAGAGACCGGTTGACACCCGGGCTATTTTTATCCTGATTAATTTTAGATTACGCGCGCCGACCGCGTCGCTAGCTTACGCCGGTGATGGCGAAACGGCGGTGTTAGGTTACGAATCGCATTTCACATCGGCACTGTGCAACTACCGAATCTATCATCAAGAAATCATAAGGAAAAACAATAACTACTTACATATAGATACCGATTTGAGTGCACACATCGAACTGTCAGTCTAACTGGACTGATTTATTAACAGCCAACTTGATTTTCACGGATTACAAACATTTAGGGCAGAGTTTTAGCTAATAACAACATGAATTAATATTTAGCATCGTTTTGTGGATTATGAAAGTTATCCTTGCACATTTTGTTAAATAATTTCAGTTCATTCATTTTCATTTACTGCCTGCTTTTGTGTATGCGAACGCGAATTAATTTCGATTTCAATTTGAAACATTCCCTAACTGATAATCCAATTGATAACATTGCGCGCAATATAATTTTTAAGGTTTATCAAAATGATTTTTTCTATTTAATAAATTACGTCGTGAGATATTCTTATCAATGGCAGAGATAGTGCTATCACTAACTGGGTTCCCTATAAAATTGTCTGATAATCATGCTGCAATCACATTCGAGTGAAAAAATGATGGATTGTATCGCTGGCACATGTATCTACCTACACAACGTGATCGGGGGGCCCTCGAATGATTTTCTATTAATTGTCTGGCGCAAATTCACTGACTAATTATCGAGCCAATAAATAATCGACGCGTGTATTATTTATATCAACATTTCGTCACCCACGCCAGCCTTTGGCTATGAGTAGTTCATAAACTATGCGGTGCATATTAATAAGAGAGGTGGCTGTTGCACGTGTACGTGTAATTCGAATTTAATTGTTTTAATTGGTTTCCTTGTACGGTATTTTAAAGGAAACTAACTTGCACACCCTGATACAGTTCAGTACAGGTGTTGCAATAATGACGACTTTGACGACACTATCAATTTTGTAGTCTTCATTATTTCAACGCGATTGATATACTTTATCTATCGTATGTACTTTGCGTGTTGATATAAGGCACAATACGAGGACAAGCTCGTGTTACGTGGCCGAAGTATGCAATGAATTATGATCCATGAATAAATATAATCCAATATTCGCGTTGAGTGAATTCCACATACGAGTATGCATAGGTTTTCGCGCGTGTTTTCATCATGTGGTAATGTTCAAGCTGACCGTTTCGTTAGTTACCTGTTTGCTTCGGCGCGGTGCGCTTCCTTCTCGCAATTCAGTTCGCGCTCATTCCGTAAAATTAGAAAGTTTCGTGAGTTGCGGCGAATTAAGATAAGTCCAAATCAACTTGACACTAAATTGCGCATGTAAAACATACCAATCGGCGGTTTTTTGAATAAAAAATTCATCAAATCAATCGTTAAGCATGGAATTAAGATAACTGGATAGATCTCTGACCTTCAAATTGAATTAACGTCAATTTTCTATGTGTAGTAAAAAACTAATGAAAATATTAATAATGTTGTAATCAACACATTCAAATATTTCTTTAAAAAAATGGTGTGACGCCGCGGTAAACTTTAAATAGTCAGGACTGTTCAAATACATCAGACCAGGTGATAAGCACGTGGTGTGTGCGCTACCATTTAACGTAATTTGCGTGCACACGTTTTAAATAAACAAACCTCAAGGAGGAGAAAACGACAACCGATGTGCTCTCAGTAGTGCCCAGTGCAATCGTGTTTCTCGTCGATCGCGAACACGACGAAAATAATAGGAAAAAAGCGCCGCGGCGTCGATCGATTTTTCGATTCGGCTCGCCATGTCCGCGTGTGGCGTGTTCTTGGTGCGCGCCGTCGTCGTCTAATTATTATCGCGGCGTGCACGTATTGATTAACGGAATTCGACCGGAGTAGATGTCGATTGTGGACGCGTAAGAGTTTCAAAACCTAATTGGATATTATTCCAAGTGCAGCCACTAGTAGTAGGTGATGTACAGTGACGACGTTGAGGACGAAGATGGGTTGGGTGCGAAGCGGTACGCGCGGTCCATGTCCGTGCTGGATGTCAATGCACGTACGAAGAGCAAGCGATCCAAGTCGTCCGGCGACGTCTTCGCACAGCGGAAGCGGACACAGTCGATCGACGAGATTGCCGTGCGGTCACAGCACCAGACTGGCCGGCTGTGGCATCTGTGGCGAAGAGTTAGAAAATCGTTTTCCAGTACGGTAAAACTTACCGATTGACAAATTGTGCTTAAATACTCGTACAAACTTTCAATTACTCATTTTACACAATTGTACTCGTACTGCCCGCATCGAATACATGACTACAATGCGGAGCACAATTGTAATGTAGAAGTTGCAACCTAAATTTTACGGTGGATAGATACGATTGTTTACAATTTGCTGCATTAAATTACATTTATTTTCAGCTTGTTAAAGAAAATTAAAAAAAAGAAATGCGCAGAAGATTTAATATTTGCTAATTTAAACTTAGTGCAAAACCACTCGTCCCTGCCATTGAGTATACCCTAATTAGCACATATTACGTGATTCGATAAATTATAATTACACTAAACAAAACGTAATTACGAGAAAAACAAGTATATTTGTCATTTTATTGTACATTGAGTTGACAGGTTTGACTTTTGACCAAAAAACCGCAATTTGTGACCGAAATTTTTGATGCTCATTGTGCACATGCATAATACAAGTATGCAGAAGCAGCCGCGAGTTAGTCACAATCACAACGGCAGTGTGGAGATGCAAATTGTGGATGAACGCACCACCGCAGGTTAAACATGTCGATCGAATTTAGTTTAAGTTGTCCTCGGCTGAAAAACAAAAGACATGCTTTATGTGAATGGGAATTGTTTCAGGTAAAGATGGGGGCAAAGTGACGACGGTGGTTGCTACTCCGGGTCAAGGACCGGACAGACCGCAAGAGGTCTCCTACACCGACACAAGGGTCATTGGAAATGGCAGCTTTGGGGTGGTGTACCAGGCCAAGCTTTGTGATACTGGCGAAATGGTTGCAATCAAGAAAGTACTTCAGGATAAGAGATTTAAGGTTGGGATATTTCCGTTTTATTTATTACAAACTAGGAATTATTATTTGAATTTGTTTTAGAATCGTGAACTCCAAATAATGAGGCGGCTTGAGCATTGTAATATAGTCAAACTAAAATATTTCTTCTACTCTAGTGGTGATAAGGTAAGCGAATCCAAATGATTACATTTCGAATGTAACATTTTCTAAAACACTGAATCTTAATTAAAAGTTCACTTGCTCTCAAAACAAACTTGAACATAGTCGATTAATATGATATATAGATAGTTTCTTCTTATGAGAAATTGTAAGTTGGGAATGAAATTATACTTTTACAAGTGTTTGTGTGTTTAGAGGGCTTCGGTTCCTTGCGATTTGAGCATATTGATGAATACCAGCTCGCAGGTAAAAGAAGCAAAAGTGTTCATTTGGCGACCAAAAAACAAAACAACAAATTGCGCGTCCCACTCTTGGCACTAAAGCGAGGGTGCAACCTCGCCCATGTCGCGTAGATTTGCTCTCATAATATCATCATAACCGCGATCGACTTGCACATCTAACCCCGAGCAGAATTCGCTCATTTTCTCTCGGATGTGATCTGAAATGCCGGCAATCGTAGCGATGCTATATTTAAACTGTTTGCGTTAATCTCCTGCTAGTATCTTTTGCAAGTAGAAAGCGACGGTAGTATTTTCATTAACCAGTCAAAATATGCAGACATGCAAGCACTTGTATTTTCATAGAATCATTTTGTCATGTAAAAGAGGCTAGTTACAAGTTTAGAAGCTTGAATGAATAGATTTGTATACAAAAAGTTTATGATGATTGAGGATAACCAGATTTTGATAAATAGAATACTAACAAGGCAACGAACGCATTGTGTTACTTTTTATGCGTGTTTTGTTGTTTTTTAAAGTATAACCTAAACGCAGTGCTAAAATATTGTGAACTTATTCGCCATGAGCGATTTGTAGAAGTTTTTATCAGAGAAAATCTAACAGCATTTTTATTTCTTGCATTAAACATTGTAGAATCAATTTGCATGCCTACACATTGCTAATTGTCGCGGTTATATTTTTGTTTTAGAAAGATGAAGTATACCTTAACTTGGTACTGGAATATATCCCAGAGACGGTATACAAGGTCGCACGATACTACAGTAAATCAAAACAAACAATTCCCATCAGCTTTATAAAGGTAACGTGCAATTTATATCTATTAGTGATGGACTCTAGTTCCTTCTCTCATCTGTTTTAGCTATACATGTATCAATTATTCCGATCGCTGGCTTACATACATTCGTTGGGCATTTGCCACCGAGATATCAAGCCACAGAACCTACTACTTGCGCCTGATACAGGCGTGTTGAAACTGTGCGACTTCGGCAGCGCTAAACATCTTGTGAAGGGTGAACCGAACGTGTCGTACATTTGCAGCCGCTACTACCGGGCGCCAGAGCTGATATTTGGCGCCATTGATTACACGACGAAGATTGACGTCTGGAGCGCCGGGTGCGTGCTCGCCGAGCTTCTGCTTGGCCAGCCCATCTTTCCAGGCGACTCGGGCGTCGACCAGCTTGTTGAGATCATCAAAGTGCTTGGCACACCAACCAGGGAACAGATTCGCGAGATGAATCCGAACTACACCGAATTCAAGTTTCCTCAAATCAAATCTCATCCCTGGCAGCAGGTGGGTACAGTTGGCGCGCTCAGCCCAGACAATCACAGCGCATTCTGTCGTGTATGTGTGTCTTTCCGAATGAATCGAATGCGATCATTCCGTATGTTACGTCGTGTAGTGCCGCAGTTTTGACTTCATTTACTAATCGTGCCTTTCATCGATCTAATTCACACAATTGGGTGCCGTTTTTTTTGCGTGGCGTTCCAATCGCCTTAAATGCAGGTTTTTAAATATGATTTTTGGACCTCTGATTCCAGTCATTGCTGGCGCGCATGGCGCTTCCAAAATGTACTACCGAACACCAAAAGATCCGCGTAAGTGCGTGGCGTGATATATTGGTCGTGGGTTTTTCTGACGAATGATTTCTGATTGACACGCAAATGTGTTCGATTCGATACTAACGCGAAATTTGCACATATATACACACACACATACACGTACACGATGCGCCTGCTTTTGAAAACTGCCATTTTTTAAAATTTTAATGTGATTTATACGAATATGTTTTTATCCACGTGCAGGTCTTTAGAGCTCGCACTCCCCCAGAGGCTATCGAACTAGTGGCACGTCTCTTAGAGTACACGCCCTCGTCCAGGATCAGCCCTCTGCAGGCATGCGCCCATCCATTCTTCAACGAGTTGCGCGAAAAAAACACACGCCTGCCGAATGGGCTGGAACTGCCACCGCTGTTTAACTTTACGGAACAAGGTGGGCACAACATCACCTAGGTAATTGTTTTCGTTAACGCAGAGTATTTGTGTGTCTATTCCAGAGTTGAATATCGAGCCGAAGCTAAACGCCACGCTGATTCCGCGAGGTCAAGAGGCGAGCAGCAGTCCGCAAGACGGCGGCGCAGGCACATCGACGGCGACCGACGGCAACTCCGACGCGCCGGTCGCGCCCGCCCAGGCGGCTACGTCGGGCATAGCTTAGGTAGTTTTTAAATGCGATCATCCCCAATCTACTTTCCCCCCTTGTCTCAATTTCCTTTGTTTCGTGGGACAAAGTAAATTGATGAAGTTTCAATCCCGGGGCGTGGATCTCTACTCACACACACACACACGTTTGTTGATTTTTAAGTAATTATTATTCGTATCTCCGTATCAGCCATCTCAATCCACACCAACACGATTTTTCCGCTGCTCGCTGAATGCGAATCTATTATAAAATGAATATATTATATTTAAAGCAACCAATGATTGCAACAAGGCGTTTGAAACAAAGCAATGCAGCATATAACGATTTACTAAAAACTCTACACCCTCTTATATTATATACATGATGATATGCAATTGATTGAAACACGGTTCATTGTATTTAAAATCTCTCTCTAAACTTTTTCTCTGACTATTATCTTTAAATTTAACTTTATATAAATTAGGTGAAGCGAACGGAATATACCATTGCAGTGGATGCAGAGACGCGCGAGAGACACAGCAGCAAACGCATCGGGTTCATTATCGCGGTTTGTAATAACTGAGCGAGTCGAGTGTGGGGAGGATGTTTTAACTAATCGGACAGCTGTACTATAGGGTAATTATACGATCTGCTCTGAGGGAGGGTGGCACGATGCGGGTGAAGGCGGATGAATAGCGCCGCCCGTTCCCTTGGGACAGTGCAATTATATATAAACAAGATATATATAACGTGCGATGTACAGAATATTACGTGTTTTTGCAGTAGGCATTTTTGTATTCGTCAACGATGCCCCCTCTTCCCCGATTTTATTAATTTTTCTTCATTAATGAAATTATTATTATTACTTAGAGTTGAGGTGATGTTGTTTCAATATTATTCCCTCTCGTCGTCGGAAGTGCAAAGTTTTCTACTGTTTTCGACAAATTCGACACGAAGCATGATATGCAAACATCTTTCTATTATAAATTCTAGCGTGTGCGGGAATCTAAGCAAGATATTTCTACACTCACACACAAACACTTATTATCTCATTAGAAAATGGGCTTGGGCGGCTCGCTGCTGCGTGGCGTTCGCGGTCGTTAAACAAATATTTAAGGGACGCGCGCGCAAGCCGCCGTGTCAAGCACCAGCGCGACGTCGGAACACAATCAGTCGCTGATGCATTCAAGAAAACCATAGCAATTGTAATTGTATAAACAAGTGCGATTGAGTTGCCGACGTTTTCAACGCCACATTTGTAGTAATAATGTAATATGTAAAATGCATCCAAATATGTGTTGAGGATCGGTCGTCGGGAGCGATTTCTGAAAATATCACTAATCGGACCAGCACATTGAGATTTATCTTAGAGCGCCGTGCGCCATTGCATACAAGAGCGAGAGAATTCGTACAGCAAAGTTGCCACGTTGTTTGCTGGACGCCTGTAATATTTATTTACCCTGAATTGTATACCTAGGAATAAATACACCGCTCGCACCGGAATCGCTCCCGATCGAATTCGCACGAAATTATAAATTGAACACTACTAGGTAGTTAGAAGTAACAATACAAAGAATAAGTAATGAATTTAGATAAAAATGAATACAAAGAAAATATATGATATACCTTAAAAATACAAGTTATAGTAATAATGGATTATGGACCGTCGAAACTACCGATGCCCTATTTTGCCTGTCGAAACCTGTCTATTGTTTTTTTTGTTGTGTACATTGTGTTGTGTCGAAGGTGTTCTTATCGTTTTGCTTTGTTTCCTATTACGTTCATTCTTTGACGTGTTCATCGTATGTGTCTGCCGTGCACCAGAAAGCAATTCAATCACGAAGTGAACACACACACAACGGTGGTAGTGGTGGTGGTGGTGGGTGATGAAAATGAATATATTTGTTCACGTTCACGCCTTCTGTACACGAGTAAATCGAACCTACAGCTAACTAAAAAACTAAATTAATAACTAAACTAAAGACGCAAGAAATATGAGACAAACAAAAACATTTAGATGAATTTATATATATTATATATAAATCCTATAATAATACAATAGATTTTAAGCGAAGTGTGTTGTGCTCCCGTAATATATTTATTATTAATTCTACTATTGATAAACGATTGCTACTCATACCACTGACGAATTGTTGAATTTGACTAATAACTTTTTAAACAGCATCGCATCACAAAAGTTGTAATGTTTAGACACGTGCGGCAGCATGCACACATGGTTGCATACGTAGATATGTTGTCGCAGCCGATGTTTGCTGAAATGTTTAGAGAAAAATCATGATTATCACCCAAAAAATTCGTAATCTCGGGCGCTGGCATAAATCTAGGTTTACATTTCGGATTACAAATTTAACATAATTGCAAAGAATATGAATAATACATTTCTTCTTAGTGCATATAATTTATTTTACTTGTGTGATTGTACATAATTTTTAGCATATATTATTATCTATTAATTAATGTATGTTTAATTAAATTTAAAGAACACGTAACAGGGCATATGTAAAGTTCGTTTTCTGAACATAAAATCCTTCCTAATGTGTACATTCACTTGAATGTTTTTCTCTTATCAGTGTCATATAGGTTTATCAGTTGTTTTTGCTAAAATTAACTTACTACCAATTTACAATATTCATGGAGACGGTTTTCATATCAGCATAGATAAGGATAAGACTATGGTGTCTAGTTTATGTACAATTGCTTATTTTATTGATATTTAAAGATAAAATCACACAGTTGCGCTCAAACTATATAATAAAATATGTTTCGAAAGTCTGTCACTCAGCCCAGAAGAACCTTGCGCATTAGATGGCTTGGTCCAGCCTCCATGTCCACCGGCGTACCCGTCACACACTTCGAGGAGCAGAGATACTGCAGCAAGGGGATACGATACTTGCCGCAAAAATCGACGAATTTAATATGTTCCACACGATTATCAAAGAAAACACCTGCAAATCATACGGAAATTACAGTCAAATTCAATTTAATGAAACTGCGCAATTACTGACCTTTGCATTTGGGATTCACACAGTGATGCGCACTTTGCAGATAATTAAACAATGTGCGCGGAACGTCGCATTCTCGAACGGGAATTTGATGTTCCTTTACGATACGCGCTGATAACTCCAATAGGGATGTGGGATTATGCGTGAGATCGCTGACGAAACGTACCACGAGCGGATTATCTCGCAAGCTCAACTGAAATTTGAAAAATATTTAGTTTGGAATAATCTCTTAGTAGATTTTTAGTACCTCAGTCAGATTTTTAAGCGTGACGATATCAGGCGGTAACGTTCTCAGTCGATTTTTGTGCAGGAGTAGAGATTTTAAATTGTGTAAATACGCGATGTTGGCAGGCAGCGATTCGAGCAGATTGTCGCAGAGAACTAGCGCCTGCAGATGGGTGAGCGAGCCAAGCGCTGTGGGCACTTCAGTGAGAAGGTTTCCACCCATAGACAAAATGTGTAAGCTATAAATATGACAGATTAAGTACTCGTAAGTATTTACTTATTAATAAACAGCAACTTACTTTGATAGTTTCCAGATATTTCTGGATATAGTCCCGATGCGATTGCCACCCAAGTAGAGATATTTTAAGTTAACAAATTCAAACACTTGTTCGGGAAAATGCGTGAGCTGGTTACCACTCAAATTAAGTTCCCGTAGATTACCTGCGGTGAAACTCTTTGGCAGACTGTCATTTGTTAAACAATTGTTCTTAGCAATGAGCGTGCTGAGCGCACAGAATTTGAACAGATCCGGCAGCTGCGTCAAGCCACTTGAACTGACGTCCAGCGTTATCAGGTTCGTGAACTTGCACAAACTGATTGGAAACTGCACCAGTTCATTGTGATTTAACAGGATGGTCTCAACACGCTCGTGCGACTTCTTCTCGTCTTCACAGAGCTGCAGGAGATTGTCTTCAACAATGTCGAGGCCCAAATGTAGACGGGCGAAGTTGAGTGTCCTGCCGCTGCTTTCGCCGTCGCTGTCCGACGTGGAGGAGTACTGCACCGTGTCCATGGTGATTGCGCACTGCCGCACGACTGAGCATCTTGTCTGGGAGTCGCGGGTCGGCGTTATTATCTATCTCGACGCACCGAATTAAGATTGCGCTGCCGCGACGCCACTTGGACTCTGATCCACCATACGCAGCTTCGTCATCATGGATCTCCATCATGATCTTGATCATTTTAATCCAATTTTTAGCCGCCGTTATTTTTTCATGATGCAATCATTTGATAAAACTACTACGCGTGAATACTTTCGATTAATTACATTGTGGTACTACTAGGTATCTTTCTTTTTGTGAAATTTAGTTTGCTTATCGGAAATGTCTACTTCTAGGTTGATATCATGCATTTTACTTTTCCAATCAGGTTTTGATACATTTGAATATTGATTACATTTACAACCAAACGCAATTTGATTTCGTGATAATACTACATACAATGTGTATAATTTCTGAGGCGTACTCCAAAATGATATTTCAATAACACTTAAAAAAATTCAACCACTCGACACTACTCTAACCAATTTTAGGCATTTTTGATTAATTATTTAAACCGTGATCAAGCAATTTTCGGGATTTACGGGAAGTCAAGTGTTCTATCATGTAGAATCAGCGTGCTGCTTAAATATGCGAAACAAAGTTGCTGTTAGAAACATAGATCTCTATCAGTTTAAAATTCAACATGATTTATTCAAATATCTTTACTTCTACTGGGAAACATGATGTTTTTTCACATTATTAAAGCATTATTTGCACCATTTGCGTCGACTTTAAATCCGGCTGACAGCCTCGGCAAAAAATATGTGTCAACGCAGCGACAGCGTGACTATGATGACTTTTATTGTCTCGCTAATATATTTTCTATAGACGCATCGGCGTGCCGATCGCGGCGCGATGAGTCGGGTCAAGAGGTTGTATTAGAATCGTGGAAAACGAAAACGCTCACTTTCTCTGCCACCGACTGGCGATGATACGCTCTGCAATGACCATAAACATGCGCGTCGAGAACTTTTGCTTTCAAACGAATATAAAACGGTTTCCCAATTCCATTAATAAAATTTAATGCATATTTAAATGCCGATCATTTTATTATAAATTAGCCAGCCTAGGCCAACGGTCCTTGAATAGATGAACAGACTTCTACTGTTCAATGTTATCAAGTAAAAATTTTCCCATTCAATAAGGCAATACAATTATTTTTAATTATTATTTGTTTTTTAAAACTATATATGCGGAAGACGTCTATGACATTTCTATCATTATATTAATTCAATGCTATCGCCCAGCTATTCGTGTCAAACGTGTTGAATTTATCACAATTCTACGTGATATTAATATCAAGGTGATATGCGCCTGGCCCCGCTTAAAAGTACGGTCATTTCCATTGGAAATGCGCGTGCTATGTATAATTTATTATCTGCGGTGGGATGATTAAATGGCTGTAGTTTATGCGTGGAAGAAAATGATTACCTGGTGACAATAAATATGTACGCCAATGACGATGATTTTTATAATTATAATTGACCGCAGCCTGCAAATCGTAGAAAACGAGACGTCACGGTACGTTAATCACAGTGTCAGAGTCATTGCTTATTTTACGACGCTGTTAAGTAAGGACAACACAGGGTTGCATTATTCAGCTCTGTAAATCGCTGGTGGTATTTTATTATTCAAGCAGCATGTTCAAAATTGAAATTCAAAAGAAACAAAAAGCAGAGCAGCAATGCGTGCCAAATAAGCGATTAGCCCCAACCTACTTGAAAAATACTTTCTTTGAATATGTCATAACATTACACGAAAGTGAAACTAAATGTAAGCCAATCGCAGAAATTCATTTATGCGTCCATCGAGTCATCGGTGACCTAATTTTTCAAATTAGTGGTACTTGAGAAGTTTTGATATTGCATTGCAAAGCTTACGTGTGTAAAATTGCAAAATATAAATCAATTCATCGCATTTGTTGTTTCCACAGCTTTGTAACACAAGTATTACAATTAATCTTATTCAATTCCTTCCGCGATAGTTACGTAGTCACTGCTTTAATTCGCGGTTACGTCCGCTGTGCCAACGTCTTGTGCCAGAGCTCGGCTACAATCTGGTCAGACAACAATTCGTACACGATACTGATTACAACGGATGACATTGAAATATCCCACCGCACAAACACCACTCCTGTCTGTTAGAGTTGCGTCTTGACGCGCAAGTAAACGCACGCTGCAGAAAGCAAACAGTTGAATTGAACGCGTCGACGACGTCGCGGCAGGAAGAAACCGTTCATACCAAACACGTGCTTATAATTCAAATGAAATATATCATATAACTGTTATGATAGTCCGCGATGTGATTCATATCAGTTTAAATTAATCAAAGATTGAAAGTAAAAGTGATCGTAATGTGTTCGATATTATTATTATGTAGTTAATCTTGATCTATCACTGGGAATATGACTTTAGCTACCTTTAAACTGGTGAGTTTTCAATATTACGTAAAAATAGTAAACCAATTTTCAGCTTGTTGCATATAAGATTTTTGCATCAACGTAATTGGTTTCTGAGAAGCAAACAAAAATTACGATTGCTCTGTCGTGGTTCAATAAGTCGAAAGAACATGGTACATTACTACCATGAAAATAATAGTTGTGGAAACTTTTGTACGTGTATACATTGTTGAAGCGAGGAGAAAAAACCAAGCAACGTTTGTGTGAACAAAAGCATAAAATTGGTTTGCGTTGTTGCATTGCATGTGGCTGACATTGCCTTCGATTTTCTTGCACCAACAATCGTGAAATGCGAAAGATCAAACGACTTACAACAAATTCGGATCGAGTATAATTTCTATACTAAGTTGGGCAACAATTAAGCTGGATTTGAAATTTAATCTTTTGTTTTTTTCAAAAATAAGTGTAATATACTTTCTAAGTATTTTTTATCAGTTATTGTCTATCGAATAATTTCATTTTTCAAATTTTGCGCTTCACTTCGTTACGTGTAGAAAATTGCGTTTAATTTATGTGGATTAGCATTAACACTACAACAAACGGTTCAAGTGCATCACGCGTATTTATATAGGTGATTCATTCAGTCAAAATTGCAAAACGCAGCACATAACTAAAGATGTCTTAATATAAAACATGCTGCATGAAGCTTTATTATTATTTTATTATAATATTCGTAAATTATTTATAAACATACACGTGTACGAAACAATCTGAAAAAGTTGCGGTTACAACGACGCGTCAATTTGTCGACAAAAACAGAGTTTCGCCACCGAGAAGTGAAATTTTGTACGCGAGCTTCAAAGAACACATTTTGGATATTACATGTGTGCTTAGTTTTATCCATGTTCGTTTTTTTCTTTTCTTCCGTGCGGCGTTTGAGTGGATCCGTATGCTTTCAAACTTATACCGTGTTTGAAATTTAATTAATTAAGCAATTAATGTCAGCAGCCAGGAATTACAACCAAAATAAATGCAGCTGCATGGGTCTTGAAAGATTGATTAATTTATGGCCCTTCCAGAGGTTTGCAGAGTGTCAACAATATTTTAATTGCTGATATTGCTTGCGCATGTCCATGTGTAACTTTGTTATTCATGACAAAAGGCGAGAAAACCTTGGCTCAATTCTTCACAATGCGCCAAATTAGGTGTACGCTCGTGCGTTAACTTTGAACGTTCAAGTTAATTGATTCATTTCGCATAGATAACAAAGAACCGCGATTCAAATTTTCATCAGTCTAGTGATCTATCATCACGATATTAATTTGCAAATTCATTCAATTGCTGATTGACAATAAATGCGGGTGCCAAAGTGCAAGCAAACCTCTGAAGTATCTTAATATTGATGCGGTTCTTTCGGTGTGATTTATTCGCGTGCGCAGAGTAATGAAACAATCGTAAAACGTGACTTAGCACTGAGAGTTTGTTTAAATTTCTTATGCACGTTTGATCATAATCAGTGATTGCTGACTGTTACTCGGGATTGCGTTAGAAGTGATTTGAAGCATTGAAGTTCATTGAATTTGCGCAGGCCAAGGCAGCACTACTGCTATTATTGGCTTCCATTCGACCGGACTCTTGAAACAAAAACATAGTCTAATCATTGTTATTTAGGCGAGGCATGGTATAGCATTTTCACTTCATTGTTTCCACATTTACTTCCTAAGATAATATCGGTATACTAATTTATATAATTTTCTGCAGTATCATGGCTTATTTCACAAAAACAATAATAGAATCAATAGTATTTTATTAACCTTGGTTTCCTTTTATTGATATACTACTTGAAAATCTCAGGCACTCGTGAAGTTGTGCATACAACTGTGATTTACGCGCCTTATACGGAGAGATTTTTATATTTCCTTTATTTTTACAAACTTTTCGAAAACACGTTTATCAGATTTATGAGAAAGCTTTAATCGAATAAATAAATATATTACAATGATACAATATTTATAATTAAATATGTGCGTATATGGACTAAGTCGGAAGTTTAATAATTGCTACTGTACTGTAGCATCTGCTGATTTATATAAAAATTATAATATTGGTCAGCACGGGCAAGAAAGGACTAATATTTTCTGGCACATTAAATCTTGCGGTTTGGCGCCACACCTCAAAATTATACAAGAGCGCATTAAATTCGTAATATATTAAAACACAAGCATTTGCCCGCGAGCTTATTACTTCTTGGTTATTTAAATATAGCATGTGCTAAATCCGTCATATTACTCTCAGTTTCGACTTAAATTCAATTGTCTTAAGTTTTTGTGCACAACTTTGGTTTACAAGAAATCGAAAGTATAGAAACTATTTCTAATTGAAACTCTAATTGAATTGTCCCTGAAGTTGGAACAACCATCGTATAACTCACGACTCTCCTACATTATCGAGTGGTCTTTGCTCACGCACAAAGGTGACGTTTTTCGAGAAGACGTATTTTAAGCAGAAATAAAAGAAAGGCCGACCTTAGGTACGTGTAGAGGCGTAGAGTGCATTGCTCCCTTTCATCCTTTGTTGACCTTTTTCGGCATTCATACGCTATATGTGCGTACATTTTTCCTTGCTTTGGATTTTTATCGTACCGCCCGAGGTCCGAGGTCTTGAGCTTTCGTTTTCGATTTCGTTGGAAAACCGTTCAACGTTGTGCTATTGCGACACGCACACGCATACCATTTGATGACGATGACGCGGATGTTGCAGGCCGGTTAAAGTGCTCTCTGCATAAGGTAAAGGTAAAGAACACGAACCACTTGAATTGCATAATCATATTGTATCCGCATCGACCACTAATCTAAACAAATTATTAATTTACGGCGGGATTTAGGCTCACAAAAAACCGTGCTTCCTTTTCACTCAGGTATATATTCATAACTTTATATTAAGCTATAATTATATTCATGCGGATGTTCTTTGTAGACCTCAAACTTGAATATGATGTAATTTATATCATGCTCCAACAAAAACATATAAAAACTTGCTGGTTTAAACCACTACTTACACAATATATGCGTCTAGAGTTGTTCAAAATTTTACATTTTATGTACCTTGAACTTTCAGAATTAGTAGGAAGCCGAGAATATTAATTTTTCAACAATTAGCAAAAGTAAAAGAGCAAGTTGTGATTATCGCAGTTTTTGTGAATGTTACATGTCCGAAGAAGTTTATATAATTCACGAATGCACAGCCACATAAATAATACCCATTGCCATATACCACGACGTGAAATGATACAAATTTCCTAATATAAAGTATCCATGTACGTGCCGCTTATCGTTCGGTCTTGGTCTTGGGCAGATTTCATGTCGCTGCACATAAACGCGCAGTATGTAATGTTACTTTCTCCGCCGATTGCTTTCCTGCGTTTATATTCATATGCTCGCGCACACACTTTGACGATAAACCTCCGCGTTGTACCTACTTCTATTGTTTAGCTGGTTTATTCGTTTTACTTCATTTGCACTGTCAACTGAAGTTAAAAAAATTAAATTGCCAAGAATTAGTGATGAAAAATAGTCAAAGAAATATTACGTCAATTGTTAATTATTCTAAACTAAAACTTAAGCCTATAAATGTTTATAATCAAAAAGTAAAATCAGCAACATCAACATCGTCCTGGAATGTGCCACACATCTTCACGACCTCGTAGGCTGCCGTGGTATCGTCATCCAACGTCTTTCTATTGTTCTGATTTTCTCAAGGCATGACAAGCCTTATAATGCAAAATACACATCGACATTTAGTTTCCTCTCATAGCAATTTAATGCCGGTCCCTCCTACAATGTTCACTCTTTATCCATTGTTAATCGCGCTAAATATCTTCTTCAACTTCTTCTGCATGTGCTAATATCACGGTGTTTTAGAAATAGTATTGTATATTATATCATTTTCACATTACGACTTTTTTATAGTTGTAATGGTTGGTGTAAGCTTAACTTTTATTTTTATTCCATCATCGTGGTGTTCCGGTTTGCATTGCGACGTTTTTTACAACTTTATTGTTACGCGTTAAACAATTGGATCTTCCGAATCTCGTACGTACGTAATCTTCGATATTTCTGTGAATTTCCGTATAAATTACCCAACAAAACGTGCAACCACAATCAAATCAAACAGAGAAGGAAAGAAGTAATCGCAGAACGAAACGAATAAAGCAAAGATGATTGTGTAATATGCGGGTGTGATGCGATAAATTTAACATATTGTTGAGCAACTTATTATTACCAAACTTTAATTTATTTTAGTGTAGGAAACATTCCGGGAAATAAATAAAAATAAAGTAGGAAGAAAGTTAAACATTGTTGAAATTAATGTTTGTTTAATTCTACAATAATTAATTCAATTCAAAGGTGCCTTGTAATTGAATAAGTTATATTTCGACATCTAAAGGAAAGTACATCTAACACTATGAATGTGAATTACTCGTATGTGATATCTTCTTCTTATTTTTTATGTTAGAGCTCTGTATAAATATGAATTTATGGCCACAGTTGCGAGATAAGAAATTTTTTATCTCAGTTAATAGTCTCAATAAAATGTTATTATATTAGTGGATTAAATCCCAACGTTTTATAGACAATTATGTGTAAATTTCAAATTACTTGCTGTTTTGTTAGGATTACGTTAAGTAATTACTCGTAAATCGATGGTAATAATAATTCTGAACGAAAATCGATTTAATGACGCTTTCCACTTGCATTAATATTTTACCGATTTGCGCATCCTTTCGAAACTAATTAGAATAAATCCGTGCATGCGAAGATGAGAAATAAGCAGAAGTGTAAATCAGATAAAACTATAATTTACGATCTTTTAAAAGTTAAAATTACATTCTGATTTGTGAGGCGTCCCTGGGGATTTACTGCTGACATCTGCAATAAACTTATTTGCTTGATTGACAATACGACACTTCAGTTCATAAAATGGTGACGCTTTTAAAAAATTGATAAACCTTGGCAAACACTATTTATTATTTATGGAGTTTAACAATAAATTACTTGGAAATATTATAGTTGTAAAACCATAACTATAAATAATTAAAATTTACAACGTGACGCGCTAATAAAGAACAGAGCGTAAAATTAAAAATTTGCGAATGAAAGCTTTGACTTTGGAAGTTAATGTGTTAAACTCAATTGTACTAATAGGTAATTTATTACTGCCGCCAGATGAAAGTGGAATTCTGAAATTAATTCGAGAAAACCCAAGTGTAGTGCACTTGTAAAACAAAACTTGCTTCTGATGTGACACATGCCGATGCATAATTTTTTACTTTCTTTGCTTGTAGTTTTTGTTTCAGTGATGCAATACTTTCCATTGTTGTTATTTATGAATATATGCTAATCTGCACCACTGTTTGCAGCTCTTCTGGACATGTTTCCTGAGTTATTGCTTGACCGGAGCGTGGACGGCGGTGGCGCCTCCGCCATGGGCAAATCCAATGCTCAATCCTTGCGCAAATCAACCCCGTGGTTGGCAACTGCTTTACTGGCCTGACGACGGCAAGTGTTACAAAATATTTCAGGTAATAACAACAATCAGATAAGAAGTGAAATTCGAATAACTAAAAAATTAATCATTTAATTAATAATCTTAACGATTTCTGCGTAATAATTGTCAATTATATAACATAGGTAATTGTCACAGAATTACGCGTAATTTCTGCACTTATTTCCTGTTTGAATTAATTGATGCCTGCAATATGTAAATGTCATATATTATATAAGAATAGCAAATAATTTTATAAATGCCAAGGAATAATAATTTCATCAGTTATACGAATAAATCAATTATAAAATGCTTAATTAAAATGCATTTTTATCAAGGCGCGTGCTATTTACGTAGCAAAATTGTGTAACGCCTTAACTTGTTGCAAGTTCAAATATTACATAACATTCAGCATGCGCATCGGTTTTCGCATTTATTGGCAACGTAATTAGCCTGTTTATTTCCGCGATTGTAGTTTTCATCCACATTTGCATTCATTAATTATTCAGAAATGTACTGAGAATTTCGCAAGCATGTTTAATGTTGAAAAGTAACGTAACGTTGACGACCTTTGCTCACATACTGAGTAAAAGTGAATTTCATCACGTTCTTTACGCCTGTCTCATAGTAATAATAACTGATAAATTGAATTGTTGTATAACATTCATTAATAATGATGCCTACGCAATTTTAACCTGTTTATATTTCAGAAAGGTTATCCTTGCCCAGAAGACATGGAACTGAGTCCTGAAGCAAGTGGTTCTGGTCAACAGCAAAAATTAAACGCACAATGCAAATGTCCGCCGAATACCGCACAATCGGCAAGAGACGGTCGTTGCTACGAACTGTTCACCACTGGGCCCTGCGAAAAGTATCATTATTTTGCCCCTGACATTGCTAGAACTACAAAGTACATAGTATTAGCCACCATGTGCGTTTTATTCTAATGAAATGTTGTATTTTTAGAGACAGACGAGAATGGGGCAAGTGCCAAATGATGGAAAGTTGCTCGAACATAAATCAATTATTTTGGCCTAAAACGGGCAAGTGCTATGAAAGATTAACGCGTGGTCCTTGTGCGAAAGGGCAGTTGCTCACCATGGACTCGCACGGCCTCTCAGTTTGCAAATGCAACAACAAGCAAGAGCTCACCGACTACTTTTACGGTCAAAAACATGGCTGTTTTGAGCACTTTACGAAAGGCCCGTGTAAAGAAGTTGGGCAAATTTTCTTACCGGACAAAACTTGCGGGTGCCATACATTTCTGCCGCATTATCATGATGACACTGATCTCTGTTTTGAAATAGGTACATAGCATCTTAATTCGGATCCTAGGCAAATTTACCTTTTTGCAAACATTTTTTGCAGGTACAATTGGTCCATGCGCCCCAGGCGAAAGTTTTCAATTGGATTCAAGTCGTCAAAAAGGGGTGTGTGCTTGCAAAACAGGCCATATCCGCTATGAAAGTAATGGACATTGCTACTAAAAATTTTTATAAATCTGAAAAAATGACGACTGACACGCTCCGAACGTAATAAATGAAATTTAATGTAAAATATATCTCCTCTCCTTGGTTTCCTGAATTATGAGCAAATCAAAAAGATTTTTTTTTCGTATGTACCTACTTAATAAATTATATTTGGCTTTTATTGAATTAACGCAATTAAAAGTTATTGTGAGTAAACGAGGCGTCGTACAAACTTGAACGTGGGGTATAAAAATGCAGAATTAAATTCTCTATCGAGTTGTATTTAATTGTTGTAGGAAGAAATCTGATATAATACCATTTATGATTTAATATTGGAAACGACAGCAAGCCACGGGATTTTTAAATGTAGAACATCTCTCACCTCATCTAGGTTTAACTTATTGCATTTGTGTACTAAACTGCCATTCTTTTAGACCAGGTGGTGCATGCACACTTTCGCGTACGTGTATTACACGGACGTAGCTATCTAAGTGCGTGACCACTCACTGCCTCATACATAATTTCGCACTGACACACATGCGCGCCATACTGTTGAAACACTTTGTTGTTTTGTGAGAATTCATTATAAAGTGTCATCCAGATGGCACAAAAAGGATGTAGTATTATTAACTGAAAATATTCAACGAGTGCATTTTGTTTTGTTGCATCAGTTACGCGATAACGGCGAGCACACATTCCGCACTTTCGGCTCGTGTTGTTATTCTTTAATACAAGTTGGCTAAATCGCGTTATATTTTCTGATCATAGCCGGAACGACGAGGTGGAGTGTTAATAAACGTGTTTGATATGTTATCAACTATTTATCGCGTGTGTAATCTTCTTAATTATAAATTTTGCGTGTTTCAATTATTCACGTGTTTTTGAGTCCGATGCCGTCGAGCGACGGGCGACAGCCGGTGATATTTTGTGAATGCCAATAATTGGTATTTGTAAACAAACAGAGACTGATTTGTGTCATCAACAGAGGAGCATGGACTAATGTACAACCTGGTAATTATTGTCATTCTTATCATTATTATTCGAATAACAAGAATTTTAATTCAATGATTGCGTTCCGATGGAACTAAAATTTATTTTCACATGGTAGTAAATAATGTTTTGTTTTCTCTTTTTACTTGCAGTATTTGCCGTGCCTTGGAGTCCATGAGTTCTGCTTTGGTTAGTTCTTAATTCAATTATATTTTTCGTTATAATTTCTGCGTTCTCGATTTGTGTGTATTTACGTTGTTTTGATTTATTTTGTTTCACCGCGTGTTGCAAATACATAAGATAGTCGCGTAACTGGTTGATACATCTCAAACTAAGTTTTAAGTTTGGTTTAGTTTTTTTCCAAATTCTAAATCTTCGGAAAATTCTTTATAAGATAAGGTATTCAAATTGGGAAAATAGGAGACGTCGAGAATAATTCATAAACAATTTGCTAAAGACAAGACTTTTATATTCTTTGATCCGTTGTTCGCTTGCGTTTTTAATTAAAAGAGAGCAGCGGTAGAAGTGACTCGTATTCAGGGCACCGTACAAGGGCTGCGGTAGAAGTGACTCGTGTTCAGGGCACCGTTCGAAGATGAATGTATAGCTGACTCCCATTTGCTCATTTTTGCTATGAATTAAAATTTCATCTCTTAAATTTCTCATTTAACTTGCTCATTTTATAGAGAATTGTCCGTAGATTAAGATTCTGCCATTTGAAAATCGTGGAAATAAATTATCCATAGAAATAAATTACAATAGTTTACGCGCCGCGAATGATTGCATTTTGTATCTGGTTGCAATAATTTTTGCAGCAAATAAAGCCGTTACGATTATGTGCGTATATGAATATATAATAATTTAAGGATTTATAGCTGCAAGGAATTTAATTATATGATTTTTATTTACTGATTTGGTTTGCTCCGCGTTGCAAAGTTACAACCAGGAAAATATAACTATATATGATGCGTGCGATTGTAATTGTAAGGGCGACTAAATTAATTCAAACTGATCAATTATATTCTAATGTTTTTTTTTATTTTACCTGAATTAAGATTTAATTGTTTCGAAGTAACTTGAACACTTAAGAAAAGGTAAACAAACATTTATATTTTATTAACAAACATGCACGTCCATTGTTTGTATGTGGTAGTGTCTAAACAGCCTTGCGATCTCACGTCGCACTGGAATTCTACCGGTTTGTTCTTATCTCTTATTGTCAGGTGATTCGCACACGATATTCGGGTATAGTTTTGTACAATATACCCAACCGTGTGATGGCGTCGCGTGTATCGTTTGCTCACGCTGCAGGAATAAAATTAGTTTTGCCGTATCCGACGGATGGTTCGCACGCGGTCGTCGCGATTCTCCTATCTTTGGATTTAATTCAATAACTCGTATTACTATCGGTGTTCTTAGTGATTATTACTGACTATTGTGTCTCGCTAATGATTTATCGCTTATAAGATGTTCGTGAAATGCAAATATTGTGTATTTGTTCGTGAGCGGGGTGCCGACGGATGCCGTTTACGTTGGAAGTTTTACAATACTAACCCGTAGGTAGGTAAATTAAATAATATTCTCAACCATATTGACAGGGGCGTAGCTACCGCCGTATTTGCCGTATCAATTATACGGGGCCCCCGGGCCACGGGGGCCCCCAAAGTGTGTAAGGAAAAACCTTTACCTCCATATAAGGGCCCCCAAAAAATTTTTTTATACGGGGCCCCGACAAGGCACGCTACGCCACTGCATATTGATCATATTTCATCGGTAGAAGTGACTCGTATTTAGGGAACCGCATGAGGATGATTTTTTTGTTCTCTTAGATTTCCAATTTAACTAGCTTATTTTATAGTGAATTAAATATCGCTAAAATAATTTGTGTAAAATCGGGCAATCGCCCTAACATTAACAAAAATTGTAAAATATCATGTATTGTTTTCTAGCTATCAGCAAGCGCGAGTATTCAACACGAGAATTGTGTTTGTTTTGAACACAACTTATACTTTCTTATCGCGAGAATGCAACGCATGACATCCCCTTACGTCGCATGTTGGCGCATGTTAGTTTAGTTTTGAGCGCAGGTGACGTGCCAAAGCGATTCGCGGACAAGGTCGCGTGCCATCGACGCACTAGCTGTGCGCATCTCTTGCTTTCTTATCATAAACTGTCGCGTCGATGCTTGCACAGTTTGCAGCCAGTTTCGTGCCGGTTTCTGGTTGATCCAATATTTTACGCGACTCGTATTGTTTGTCCGGACACCTACTTTCCAAATTCGCATTATATTCGATCATAAATCGACTATTTAATTTCGGCTATAGTAATGTTATGTACTGATTGCGCGTGTTTTGTCTATAAATGCCGGTTAAGTGTATCGCCCCCAGGTTGATTTGATAGTCATCATTAGAATGACCCACCCATCGTGCTGGTGTAAGAAATTTTTAACTAAACAGCACAGATTGTTTGTTTTTCTTTGCTGTGTGATTATAATATTACTGAATCTTGTGAAATATTTTTGTTTTAACTTATGTTTTCTTTTTTTATTTACAGTACCGGCCGTGTCTTGGAGTCCCATGACTTTTGCATTGGTAAGTTTATAATTCAATTATATTTTTTTAAATTCTGCGTCCTCCACTAGTTTGTATTTACGTTGTTTTGATTTATCGTCTTCCACTGCGTGTTGCAAATACTGTAGGAAATATAATTATTTTATATTAGTATCTGATTGAGAAATTTCCAATCTTTCATAATCAGCAATTCGTTGGTTGCTAGCACTCTTAGTTTAAGAGATATGAATTATCAAAAATCGTCGAAAAAAAGTATCAAGCACCCCCCCTTAGCAATTTTTTCTTAAGAATGAAAATTTCATCTCTCAGATTTCCCTTTTAACTATCCTATCTGATAGAGTATAGTCCGTAGACTAAGACGCTGCGATCAGATCTTAAATATCTCTTTTAGTTTACGAGATATTCGCGTTTGAATAAAATGGGCAAAAATAGAGAAATGTCACTTTTTAGCACTTTCAGTCGCGATTTTCGACCTTTTACTGTAGGAAATATAATTATTGTATATTTTTATCTGATTGAGAATCTTCCAATCTTTCATAATCAATAATTCGTTGGTAGCTATCTCTATTAGTTTAAGAGATATGAATTTTTGAAAATCGTCGAAAAAAAGTATCAAGCACCCCCCCCCTTGGCAATTTTTTTCTTAAGATTGAAAATTTCATCTCACAGATTTCCGTTTTAACTATTCTATCTGATAGAGATTGGTCCGTAGATTAAGACGCTGCGATCAGAACTTAATTATCTCTTTTAGTTTACGAGATATTCGCGATTGAATAAAATGGGCAAAAATTGCAAAATGTCACCTTTTAGCACTTTTAGTCGCGTTTTTCGACCTTTTACTGTAGGAAATATAATTATTGTATATTTTTATCTGATTGAGAATCTTCCAATCTTTCATAATCAATAATTCGTTGGTAGCTATCTCTTTTAGTTTAAGAGATATGAATTTTTGAAAATCGTCGAAAAAAAGTATCAAGCACCCCCCCTTGGCAATTTTTTTCTTAAGATTGAAAATTTCATCTCACCGATTTCCGTTTTAACTATTCTATCTGATAGAGATTGGTCCGTAGATTAAGACGCTGCGATCAGAACTTAATTATCTCTTTTAGTTTACGAGATATTCGCGATTGAATAAAATGGGCAAAAATTGCAAAATGTCACTTTTTAGCACTTTTAGTCGCGTTTTTCGAACTTTTACTGTAGGAAATATAATTATTGTATATTTTTATCTGATTGAGAATCTTCCAATCTTTTATAATCAACAATTCGTTGGTAGCTATCTCTTTTAGTTTAAGAGATATGAATGTTGTGGTCTGTACCGTGACAAGTTTCATCGTCTTTACTTACTTGTCGTGTTGTTAATCTCTGAAAACGAGTGGTCTCTGCTCGATACCTGATCTGCTGGTGTGGGTACTTTGCTCTCGTAGGGATACAAATCGATGGATTGCACGTGTGCGTGTACTGATACTCCAGGCGGTACGCTAAAGACCCGATCGCCGAGGTTCGTGACGATGGTTTTCTTACCACCTGCACCTGTAATGGAAATAACGTGAGGTTTTGTGTGCCGGTCACGCCTAGATTAGAGCTGACACCCGGGACTACCTCCGAAAAGTCCGTCATCTAAGTTGTTGATATCCCCGTCATTCCATCATCAGCGCCTGTGTCGTAATTTGGCGAGGTCGCGTGGAGCCTGGGGGTAGGTCTTGAGGTGGATGAGCCTGGTCGTGACGTGGAGATGGAAGGACCACTACCGAATAAGTCATCGGCATTGTCATCATAAATCATCCCTCCTCCTCCAGCTGCTCCCCAGGAGGTCCACCTGCACCGCCACCTCAGTACCGCTTCCTCCCTCCTGTATGTATTCTCCGGAGAATGTACCAATTTGTTGTTCCAGCAGTTGATGGTCTTCCAGTACTACCAGGTGGTCTTGCAGTGGTACTGCCACTTCCTGTACCACCACCAAAGAGGTCATCACCTCCCAAATCTCCACCATCATCGTAGTCATATGATGGACGAGTATTTGCAGGTCTTTCGGTAGGTCTGGGTCTTGGTACCGCTCCAGACGGTTTGGGTCTAGGTCTACTGGGTCTACTACCACCAGGCCTATTTGGTCTATTAGGTCTGCTTGGTCTGCCTGATCCATAACCACCATCAGCTTCGTAATCTGTACCGTAATCACTCCCAGGTCCAGTTGGACCTTCTTCAGGCGCGTTAAAAACATCCCCTTGTGAATGTTTATCTATATAATTATAAAAATCTGGTGGAATAATATTGGGGCCTGTGAATGGATACACTGATGGTAGATGTGGTCCATTGACGTTCTTTAGTACCCGATAACCAATACCAGGTCCTGCTATGTAATGAACCGAATGTTGAACACCTTTGTCGTCGAGATAGGTGTAAGACCCGCGTACGTTGCCTTCGGAATCACTGACCTCTGTGCGGCGTTGGTCAGGACCAGCAGCGACAAATCTGTAACTGCCATCGGTACCACGTTGTATGGAAGTTCTCCCACGTGGGATGGGACGACCTCTGCCATTAAAGAACAGCGGGCCATAAGCCTTTGGGTTGGAATCTGGGAAGGGTGTTTTCACATGGAAGCCAGTATTCTTTCCTGCGATGTATTCCACATTGTGACGTTCACCCACATCGTCTGTGTAGCTATATTGCCCTTTTACATCGCCCAATCTATTGGCACCTAATAACATGCAACATTTGATCAGAATTTATAGGTCATACAAATTGGAAAGAAAGATCTTACTTTCTTTTCTTTGATAAGTCCTGGTCTTGAACCCAAAGTCATAGCTTGGATCTTCATTTGGGTCATAATAAGGATCATCCCTGGATCCAATTGGTCCCCGCCGTACTTGGCTTTGATCAAACTTTCTAGCGATATTACTACCACGTGGCCTATACCCTCGAGGCCCTGCTGTGTATGACGTTACATCCACCCCTCCTGTTTTAGGGTTGCGACCTCCAAATTCACCACGTACAACATTTCTAGAGTTGGCTTTGCTGTGGTGGAAATTGTTTTCATTCTCGTAGCCGAATTCATACGATCCGTCGTTGTGTTGAATATTATAGTCCTCCTGCGCGTCCGTAGATGGCGCCAGCAATATCATCATCACCGCAAATAGCGCAAGAAGAACTGCAGGAAGTGCCGGTGTTCCCGGGCGTGAAGGCCACTGTAACTTCTATCAAATATCAGCATGAAAAATTAATATTTATGCAGAGCTATGAATGTTTTTGCGTCAAACAATAACAGGAAACAATTACAAATAATAATTGCAATTCGAATTCGATTACAGCAATTGTTTCAGCGGCAAACAATTGTTTCGAAATTAACTTGTGTTTTGTGATATTCTGGGCACAAAGTTAAAGGTCAGAAATATCGAATTTTAATAGAAATATTGCTTTTGTACGCTACTGATAAGTGTATATCTCGTTTATTGCCCAAACTTGGAATAATTTATTATTATCGTCTGGTTTCGATGATAAAACGCAACTCCAACGCGTTTAAAATATTGTTAGACTCGCAAAACACTTTAAATCCGTATTTGTTGATTATTTGGCACACAAAAAAATACTAACGTGATTCATTGCTGAATTTGGCACTCTTTTGATTTTACACACTCGTACACCGCGAAAAACTATCAACTAATACTGGCATCTTTAATCCCGAATTCGTTTTTATACTCATCTCGCACACCATTGTTCTCCTTCCTTGCATAAACATTTTGCATTCATTTTGGAGGTACTCAAACTCATATATGCATCCTCCATCCTCCATCTTAGGTGTTTTAATTGTGATTCGACGCGGGTATTCCGAGGAGGACGTCTTGCGTGAAGATTTTCAGATGTCCTTTGGAGAACAGAGGCGCTTCACGCTTCGCCTGGTGCGCAATTAGCGGATATACCCAGTCATAACATGCGAGATGGGTATACTGGTTACTGGCAATCATTAGTATTTGTTTTTTTACGAAAATTATTACAATGAGATGTTTTTTTTTCTAATTTTAAACACTTGGTGTGTATTCTACACCACAGGTGGGTACGGATGTGGTCTGTCTGAAGATTCATGGAAAATGTAAATTAAGCAGGTCCTAAGACATATTTTGGGAGGAATTCGTGCGTGCTGGGCTATTCGTTATATAATTCGTCTTAATTTCTTTATTTGATTCACTGTTTGTTTGCGCGAGGTCGAAAATTCAATTCATTACAAACCTTACATGGTTTTATTTTTATTTTTGACCTTAGAATAAAGAAAATGGATGCATTAAATTTACTTTCAATTCAATTGTTTTATTTTGGACATTAACAACTCCTTATGGTTTAAAATATGAGTGCAAAATTTCATTATCTCTAGATTAATAATTTTTCTCTAGTTAATCTTTCGTTAATAATAAAAAAATAATGTTTACAGCTTTTGAAATTAAATTTGGGAATAACCTTAATATTGTGTGTAATAATTAGTTAATTTTAATGAATTTAATGATTTAAGCTGCTTAATTCCTGGTTGGAAGGAAAGAATGTTGGTATTTCTGATGACTGCGTGATGTTTTGCATTAGAATCGAGTTTACATTTAACATATTAACTAATTTAACAATTAAGTTCTCATCGCATGTCCGCCTGCCGCTCGCATCTTTCCCATATTGTTCCGGCGCGCTCATTGTTTGCCACCACGTGTGCTGGGGAATTGGAATTATACAATACCGGCAATGAGTTCCGTTTCGTCTCCTAAGGACGATTTATAGTAAAGTGAATTGGCGTAAATTGTACTATGTTATGCTAATGTGCGCGTGAACGTGTTTCATTGAACTTTCGATCTTATCTTCAATGTAAACACATCTTTATTTCGGGTTATCACTAATTAAATTAAAAATTATTTATTTATAGGGTTTTAAAACGTGACCTGGTGTATTATTTTGTATTTGTTTTCATTAAAGTCAATTTCTGATCCGGAATTTTCGTGATTTGTCTTTTCTTCTAAAGAATTCCACCAGGATTCTGAATTTTTTATTCGTTCCTTTTCATCCATTTTGGTTTACGAAATATTGACAATCAAAATATCTATAATAGTGAGAAGCGTAGCAACGTCATAAACAAACATATCAACGATTGCATTTATAATCTTAGTTAGGATTAAGATAATTCCTTTCTAAATTGAATTATATAACACGTTCAGGGTAAAATAAATATTAAACCTATTAGTTTTCTTGTATATTTTATAAGTACACACATAGATAGTATTATATATGCGAAGCAGGAGATCTTGGCTGAATAATTGATTACATTTACATTCGCGAGCAGGTACATGCAGAAATTAATTACGAGCAATTACAATACACATTACCATTGCTAATCGTGAGCAGTGCGCGACGGCTAATTGAAATATCTACATATTTTATACGAATTCAACACACTTTACACACAATATCCACGTGAAGATCATATTTTCGTCGTTTCAAGGTGACTGTCCGCAGTATTCTTGTATCTTATCGGAGACGCAATCGAACACTTGATAGGCGACTTCACATGTTGTCCCAATCACTGAAACAATTCCATAACTCATCATAAGGGTCTTATCTTGTTTTTGTGATAACCCAGCAATCAATGTAATTGATTAATGTGTGGTTGCGAAAGCGGAACGCGGAATAATTTCGTTGTCAATTGTATACCTTTGGAATGCGATTTGTTGGATGTGTCAATTGCTTGGTCGCTACGCTCGGTGTTTTTCTCGTTCTGATCGACGACGATGTGCACTTTGTTCAGACACGTGTGCACAGCTTGTACTGTCGCCAAAACGTATGGTTTCTCATCGATTCCCTCGGTGTACAGATGGACCATGCCCTCGACGGTTGGATATCCCAGCGCGTTCAGCTGTAATTTTCAATTAACATAAAGCCGTAGTAATTTCACTAGTTTCTCACAATATTTTTTTCAAATTGGAGCGCAGTTTCCGGTCAATTGACTGACCGCACTCAACAATTGTTTCCACGAATGATTATTATTTTATTTTGCTTTGTTTTCGAAAGTTAATGTTCAAATTAATACTTACAGCGTTTTTACGACGAAACACGCATTGCAAAAGACACTGCAATAATAAATTTACGTTTAAATTAATATTATGCATTAGTGTGATTATAGTGTGATTTATTTGAAAATGTTACTTACTCCGGCGATTTTCTGCTCGTCCTCGCTAAAATACGAACGTTTTCTGCGCACTTTCTCGTCGCCGTCGTTTTCGTTCAAGGGTTTTTCATCATTTTGCGCGAACATGACAGCTTCTTGTACGTTGAGAGCCTCTAATGCCTCTGAAGATTAAATTTAATAAAATTACATTAAAATTTCGCTCGCGGATTGAGTAATAACCGATCAATCGATCGAAGAGAAACCAAATGATGTAATATTATGAGTTGAGAGTTTTTAGAGTGAGAAATTGCATAATTTTTAATTTAGAACAACTCAGTAAATAAATAATCAGAACGTTAAGCATTTAATTGTAATAATTAAATATTTTACCTGCAATGAGCGTCTGTTGAATTTCTTCTTGACATAACGCGATCACTTTTTCAATATTCTCCGGTGCCTTGTTTGGAACCTTGCAGCGCGTTGCCGTTACATTCTGCAAAAACACATTGTTTACACTTTCCATATTCAATTACTGCGATTAATAATACCTGCGCACTTGAAAGCTGCCCTTGGAGAGCCAGCACGACGATGTAGGCTGCACAAACAGCACGCATCTTTAAGATTTCTTTCTTTTTCCTTGAGAAAAATATTCGCGCACAATATCTAAGCCTGTTCACACCCGAAATAACACCCGACACCTCTCGACGACGCTTTTTACTCACGTACACTTCTTTCGATTGCGAATTCAGCTGCAGTGGGGCTGCAGTGAAGTAATTACCGAAAATATACACTTTGAGGTGTGATAATTATGCTTGTAACACGATTTTAATCAATGATCACAATCGCCATCTGGTTTGGGACCCACGAACTTGAAACAATTAAGACAGAATCTGCAATGCGTCTACTTATATTTTGAAATAACATAATTTTAATTTACTTTTCATTCGCTATCAAACATAGAAATTTGAAGCTACAAGGATGAGAAACAAAGATTTCAATTCCTACAATATCATAATAGGACCAAATTTAATACAAATCATCAAAATTAACATTTCGAAGTACACAAATGAGATTTGCACTGATGTTAAATGGCCATCAAGCAATTTATTTATAGAAAACGATATAAACAAGTCTCCAATACTTACCCACAATCTGATTTAAGGAGATGTTCCTAGGACATTTCGTTCGCCTGCTATACACCCTAAAACAAAACAAAAATTAGCACGTCAGAAGCACCAAAAATGACATTTTGCAGGTTTGCCGATGTGATAATCCTAATTATTTATTGAAAATGATCCAGCAAATTCACCACTCACATTCTGATATGAAAGAATCCCGTTGTCCTAGGGCAATTTATTTCGCCTATTAGACACTCAAAACAAACAAAATTAGCATATCAAGAAACGCAAAAAATGACATTTCTAGGTTTTCCCGTAGTATTGTCCTTTTGTTATTTGCCTAAGAAAATGATAAGCAAATTCATTACTCACATTCTGATGGAAAAGAATCGTTGTCCTGGGACAGATTTGATTTTAGCCTGCTAGACACTCAAAACAAACAAAATTAGCACATCCAGAGAAGCACAAAAATAACATTTTTTGCAGGTTTCCCGATAATGATAATCCTTTAAATTATTTATGAAAATATTTAAAACGATTCATTACTTTCATTCTGGTAGAAAAATCGTTTGTCCTAGAGACGAATTTGTTTCGCCTGCTAGACACCTAAAACAAATAAAAATTAGCATATCAAGAGCACAAAAATGACAACATTTTTGCAGGAACATCAATGATAATCACACACAAATTATTTTATAGAAAATGATAAACAAATTCATTGCATTCTGATTAAAAGTCGTTGTCCTAGGAGGGCAATTTGTTCGCCTGCTAGACACCTAAAACAAACAAAATTAGCATATCAGAAACACAAAAAATGGCTTATTTCTGCAGGTTTCTAGGTAGCTTGATATCCACACAAATTATTTATAGAAATAATAAAACAAGGCGCTCATTACTCACACATTCTGATGAAAGAATCATTGTCCTACGGGCAATTTGTTCGCCTGCTAGACACTAAACAAACAAAAATTAATATCGCAGCACAAAAATGACTTGTTTTGCAGGGTTTCCCCTATGATAATCCACACAAATTATTTATGAAAATGATAAACAAATTCATTACTCACATTCTGATGAAAGAAGTCGTTGTCCTAGGACAATTTTGTTCATACTGCTAGATACCTAAAACAAAGCAAAAATTAGCACATCGAAGCACCAAAAGTGGCATTTTTTGCAGGTTTTCCCGTGTGATAATGCATTATTTATGAAAATGATAAACAAATTCATTACTCACACATTCTGATGAAAAATCGTTGTCCTAGAACTGAATTTGTTTACCGCCTGCTAGACACCTAAAACAAACAAAAATTAGCATATTGAAACGCAAAATGACATTTCACCAGGTTTCCCGTATGATAATCCACACAAGTACGTAATGACCAAGGCAAGCTCAAATTGCTCACATTCTGATGAAAGAATCGTTGTCCTAAGGGCAATTTGTTCGCCTGCTAGACACCTAGAACTAAAACAAAATTATATCGCAGCACAAAAAGTAACATTTTTGGGTTTCCCCTGTGATAATCCCGCACAAATTATTTATAAAGAGCTGATAAACCACCATTACTCACATTCTGATGATGAAAGAATCGTTTGTCCTGCGGACAATTTGTTTATACATAGATACCTAAAACAAACAAAATTAGCATATATCGAAGCACAAAAATGGCATTTTGCAGGTTTTCCCCGTGTGATAATCACACAAATTATTTATATAGAAAATGATAAAGAAATTTAAGCTACTGATACCTTAAAGAGAAGGAATTGGTTCTACGATGTGGACTCAGGTTGCAAAATCCTAAAACAAGCAAAAATTAGTCTTTCGGAACATAAAATGCAATTTGAAGGGATTGAATTTGTAGGGATAATCACCAAAAGTTATTTAGGAAAATGATGAAATTAAATACTTACAATCTGATGCAAGAATGGTTGCTTCTACGATGTGAAGACTCAGGTGCAAAATCCTAAAACAAGCAAAAGGAATTAGTCTTTCGAACATAAAAATGCAATTTTCAGGAGTTATTTGTGAGATAATCACAAAAGTAATTTGGGAAAATGATAAAAAGAAATTAAATACTTACAATCCTGAAATTACAAAGTGGTGCTTCTACGACGTCAGACTCGGGTGCAAATCCTAAAAACAGAAACAAAATTAGGTCTTCAAGGAACATAAAGTAAAGTTTAAGAGGGTTAATTTGTGAGATAATCCGCAAAAGTTATTTAGGAAAATAGTAAAGGAAATTAGAAATACTTACAATCTGATGCAAGAATGGGTGCTTCTACGATGTCAGACTCAGGTGCAAAATCTGAAAGATTTATACACCCGATTTAATTTCAAAGGTTCTTAAGATTTAAAAGTTTTTACTAGATTTGACCTTGGGAATTCAACTGGGTGTATATGCAATCATTCGTGAAACAAAATTATAATTTTATTATAACAACTAAATATTTGACTAGAATGTGTACTTTAACTCATGATTATAAACGTTTTATATTTATTTTGATAAATATAAATAAAGATTATAGTTGTTTTAATAATTTTGCAACAATAGTGAACCATATGTGATTGCCTGAATTTAAAATCGAGGTGTATGTTGGGTTTGCCTACATTGTAACTGCAAATACTTAATTTTCCACTCCTCCAGGTTTTTTGATTTAAAAACTTTTTTACTAGATTTGACCTTGGGAATTCAACTGGGTGTATAAATCAGTCATTGGGAACAAAATTATAATTTTATCATAACAAGTAAATATTTATTTAAATTTGTGCTGCTCATGATTTTAAACGTTTTATGTTATTTTTTTGATAAATATAAATAAAGATTATAGTTGTTTTTAATAATTTTACCTTAATAGTAAGACTATATATATATTTTCCAGGTATAAAAGAGCTGTATGTTGGGTTGCCTATGTCATAACAGCAAATTCTTAATTTCTCACTCCTCTACATAACCGAAACATTTTAATGGCTGCCCGCACGTCGTCTCAGGCTTGTATCAGTACATAAATTCTAACTTAAAGCTACGCACAAATCAACATTGGCCCAACGCTTCCCTGGAGCCCAGAGCATATTTACATTCAAATGCATGAAAGCTGAAACAATTATTCAACCTTCTACAGCATAATATCCAAGTGAAACATGATGAAGAAGGTCACCGGATGTGAATAGTTGCTAAACATGCAACAAAGCAATCAGAACCAAAAGAGGAAGTCAAAGAAGAAGCTTTGTCAGCTCACCCAGAAGGATATTTTGGTCCTGTGAGTAATGGAACTATAAGTCGGCCTTGGCTGGGTCTTGAGGTATATTGTAATGGCCCAACAACTCCACCACTAACGCTACAAATCCTGAAATTCCACATCCGGAAACCAACTAGCAATAACAAAGCGGTGGGGAATTCCTGTAACAGTAAGAGCAAAAGCCTCATCCTGGAACATACTTATCCTCAACTCTGGAAGTCATTAACAATACAGGGTAGGTCAAATGATACATTAATCCTACCAAATGGTAAGACATACACAAATAGAAACGTTTACATATGAATATTGATACAGAATGGTCCTTCTAGATGTGAACTCAGGTGCAATCCCTGGAAACCATCAAAATTTAGTCCTTGAACATAAAAGTACTTTTTCACGGATCCAATTTGTACGATAAATGCGGGGTGGTTTAAGAAAATGATAAAAAGAATTGAGTACTACAATCTGATACTAGAATGGTCTACGTCATGGAATGAAGATTGCAAAATCCTAAAACAAGCAAAAATTAGTCCTTCAAACATATAAAAATGTCACAATTTTGGGGTCAATTTTCTTTTGATAATCATAAAGTTATTTAAAAATGATAAAGGAATTAATTACTTACAATCACGTGCCAAAAAGAATGGATGCTTTCTACGATGTTGGGCACCAGGTGCAAAATCCTAAACCATCAAAAATTAGTCCTTCGAACACCAAAATGCATGGGATCAAAGAGATTTGTACAATCACAAAAGTTATTGGGAAAATGTCCGAGGAATTAATTACTTACAATCCTGATACTAGAATGGTCCGCTTGCGATGTCATATTCAGTGCAAGATACAAAGGCAAAGGCAAAAAATTAGTCTTTGAGACATAAAATGCACTTTTTGGGATCAGTTTGTACGATAATCACAAAAGTTATTAGAGAAAATGATAAAAGGAATTGAAAATTACTCAATCTGATACCAAGAATGGTCCTTCTACGATGTCAAATTTCAGGTGCTAAATCCTAAAACAAAGCAAAAATTAGTCAACTAAAACATAAAAATGCAATTTTGAGGGTCAATTTGTACGATAATCATAAAAGAAGTTATTTAAAAAATGATAAAAGGAATTGGTACTTACGAAATCCCCAGTACCAAAATGGGGTCCTTCTACGATGTTAGACTCAAGATTGCAAAATCCCTAAAACCATCAAAAAATTGAGTCCTTCGAACATAAAAGTACACTTTTTGGGATCAATTTGTGATAATCACAAAAGTTATTGAGGAAAATGATAAAAGATTATTACTTACAATCCTGATACTAGAATGAATTAAACTACGATGTCATATTCAGGTGCAAAATCCTAAAACAAGCAAATTAGTCTCTTTTGAACATAAAATGCACTTTTTTTGGGATCCAATTTGTACGATAGTCACAAAGTTATTGGGAAAATGATAAAAGGAATTAGTACTTTCAATCTGATACAGAATGGTCTCCATTCTACGATGTCAGACTCAGGTGCATGAAATCCCTAAACAAGCAAAAATTGAATTAACCTTCAAGGCATAAAAATACAATTTTGGGGAGTCCAATTTGTACGATAATCATAAAAAGTTATTTAGAAAATAAGGAGATTGGTACTTTACAATCTGATACTAGAATGGTCCTTCTACGATGTCTCGAGGTCAGATGCAAAATCCTAAAATGGCAAAAGTGAGGTCCATTTCAAAACCTTAAAAATGCAATTTTGGGGTCAATTTGTACGATAATCATAAAAGTTATTTGCAAAATGATAAAAGGAATTAATTACTTACAATCTGATACCAAAATGGTCCTTCTACGATGTTAGACTCAGGTGCAAAATCCCTAAAACCATCAAAAATTAGTCCTTCGAACATAAAAATGCACTTTTGGGATCAATTTGTACGATAATCCCAAAGTTGTGAGGGAAAATGATAAAGGAATTAAATTACTTACAATCTGATACTAGAATGGTCCTTCTGCGATGATGTCATATTCAGATTTTTAAAATCCCTAAAACAAGCAAAAAGTAGTCTTTTTTAGACATAAAATGCACTTTTGGGGATCAATTTGTACGATAATCCACAAAAGTTATTGAGAAAATGATATTAAAGAGAATTAGTACTTTCAATCATTACCAGAAGATGGTCCTTCTACGATGTGAACTCAGGTGCAAATCCTAAAACAAGGCAAGGTAGTCTTTTTGAACATAAGAAATGCAATTTTAAGGGGTTAATTTGCGGGATATTCACACACCAAAAGTTATTTTAGAAAGAAATGATAAAGGTGAGTACTTGCAATCCTGATACTAGAATGGTCCTTCTACGATGTCAGACTCAGGTGCAAAGGAAATCCTAAAACAAGCAAGAATTAGTCTTTTGAACATAAAAGTACACTTTTGGGATCAGATTTGTACGATGAAAGTTATATAGAAAAATGATAAAGGAATTAATTACTTAATCTGATACCAAAATAGTCCTTCTGCAGTGACGGGGCTCCAGGTACCAAAATCCCTAAAGGCAAATCAAAATTAGTCCTTCAGACATAAAATGCACTTTTTGGGATCAATTTGTACGATAATCACAAAGTTATTGAGAAATGATAAAGATTAATTACCCAATCGATACCAAATGGTCCTTCTACGATGTCAGACTCAGTTTCCCGTCACAAACAAGCAAAATTGTGCTTTGGTATAAAAGAAAATACAATTTGGAGTCCGATTTATGCAAATAATCGCCAAAAGTTATTAAAAATGATAAAAGAGGTAATTACTTATTCTGATACCAAAATGGTCACTTCCTACGATGATAGATACGGGTGCAAAATCATAAAACCATCAAAAATTAAGTACTTCTAACACTTAAAGTAATTTTGGGGGTCAATTCTTCACAAGCTGGTACAGTTCAGGTTCACTACGGACTTGCATTTCCAGGAATTATTAAGTGGTACTTACGTTTGAATTATTTAATAAATTGTACAAAATATATAAATCGGTAAAATTTGTTTGGTATCAACTTGAGATATCCGACGGACGGCAGCAAAAACGATGCGCACAAATGTAACTACACAATTCTGGCTACCACATGATAATTTCATTAACTGCACCGCACACTAATCCATTAATTCTAAATGTGTTATCTTTGCTGATCGATTCTCCAAATTTCGCTTCGACTTAAAAATAAAAGCAGCGCAAACTAGATTTACGAAGATCGACTTACGAACCAAACTTACCGTATTGTACCGAACAGCATGCTGGTCGATAAACAAAGGAAGAATTACCAGCGCAGGCTGCGTGAACGGAGCAGATATGAAAATGGTAAGAATTTCCAATACTCTACAATTGAATAGAGGCACGATTTGCGCGATATATTGCAGAGATCACGTTCAACTCCTTGACGTCTAAAACAAACAAACACAAATCAGATGCTCTGTGATTTTGTGAGCTTTTATTCATATTTGAATTCCTTCAAATTAACTCAAAGCGGTTTACGAAGATGCCTCAGGACCTGGCTCGTTAAACTCTAAAAACAAAGCCCCGAACATCAAAAAGAATCACGTTTTGGCAATGAAGCTATATTTTTAATACATATACGGGCAGATACTTGGCGAAAGAATGATTGTTTTACGATATCACGTTCACCCGCTAGACACCTAAAACAACCAAAATTAGAGGCGTTCAAAGCACAAAATCGAACTTTCGATTATTTTCACGTTTTTAAGCAAGTTGTGTATAAAGAAGTGGCGTGCGCACCGCAACTCTGTGCGCAAAACTAAACAAAAATGAAGTAAGATTTCCAGAGCCCCTAAATCCGGTGAAAGCGCCGTCTGGCCATTGGTGGAACAAAAACAAAATAGCTGGCTGTACGGAAGGCCTGATAGTGGCACCATCTAGTTTAGGGACCACAGAACTTGGAAACGATTAGAACTTGAAATCTGTAAATGCGTCTTGTATATTTAAAATAACTAATTTTAATTTACTTTTCCTTGCGCGAAACACTTGAAAATTATTTACAAAAATGAAAACAATTTTTAATTCCTACGAAAATATCATAATAGGACCGTTGTCTTAAACATTTCGTCCTAACCATAGACACCTAAAATCATCAAAATTTGCATTTCAGAGTACACGCGCTTCTGAGATTTCCGCAAGATATTCCGTGTGTTAATCACACAAATTATTTATGAAAATGATAAAACAAATTCATTTCTCACATTCAGTGAGAAAGAATCGTTGTCCTAGGGCAATTTGTTCGCCTACTACTGGAGCCACCTAAAACAAACAAAATTAAGCATCCGAGAGAGAGCACCAAGAAATGACATTTATTTACTTAGGGTTTTACGTGGTAATCACACAAATTATTATAGAAATAAACAAATTCATTACTCACATTCTGATACAAGAATGGAATTTGTCCTAGGATTAATTTGTTCGCCTGCTAGACACCCTCCCAAAACAAACAAAAATTAGCATATCGAAGCACAAAGTAAACACATTTTGCGTTCCCGTCTTGATAATCACTGGAAATTATTTATGAAAATGATAAACAAATTCCATTACCCACAATCTGATGACGAGAATCGTTGTCCCTGGGCAATTTGTTTAACATAGACACTAAAACACGCGGGTAGCATATCGAAGGACAAAATGACATTTCGCAGGGTTTCCGTGTTGCTAATCCACACAAGTTATTTATGAAAATGATAAAACAAATTCATTCTCACATTCTGATGAAAGAATCCCGGGTACATCACAAAACCAATTTGTTCGCCTGCTAGACACCCACAAAACAAGCGAAATTTATATCGAAGGACACGAAAATGACATTTCACTGGGTTTCCATGCCTTTAATCACACAAATTATTTATGAAAATGATAAACAAATTCATTACTCATTTCTGATGAGAAGAAAAGAATCCGTTGTCCTAAGAAAGGGCAATTTGTTCGGCTGCTAAGACACCTAAAACAAACAAAAGGGGAAATTAGCATATAGAAGCACAAAAAGCTGACATTTTTGCGGTTTCCCGTGTGATAATCACAGAAATTATTTATGAAATGATAAAAACAAAATTTAAATTTACTCACATTCTGATACCAGAAAGAATCGTTGTCCTAGGCAATTTGTTCATATAACGAACACCTAAAACAAGGCAAAGAGTAGCATATCGAAAGGACAAAGTAATGACATTTTTCACTTGGGTTTCCGTGTGCTAATCACACAAGTTATTTATGAAATGATAAACAATTTAGGTACTCACATTCTGATAGAAAAGAATCGTTGTCCCTGGGCAATTTTGTTCGCCTGCTAGACACCTAAAAACAAAACAAAAATTAGCATATCGAAGCACAAAAAATGACGTGTATACCTTGGGTTTCCCGAGTGATAATCCACACCAAATTATTTATAGAAAATGATAAGCAAATTCATTACTCACATTCTGATGAAAAGAATCGTTGTCTAGGGCAATTTGTTTACGCCTGCTAGACACCTAAAAAGCAAAATAAGGTAGCATATCAAAACACAAAAGTAGCATTGTACCTTGGGTTTCGAACTGATAATCACACGAGTGTTTAGCGAAAATGATAAAACAAATTCATTACTCACCATTCTGATGAAAGAAGAATCATTTGTCACAGGACAATTTTGTTCATACTTTGGGTACACTGCGACAGGCATAAAGGCTAGAGGCACGAAGCCAACTTGTTTTGCAGTTTCCATTAATGATAATCCACACAAATTATTTATGAAAATGATAAAACAAATTCATTACTCATATTCTGATAGAAAAGAATCGTTGTCTACCGGGACGAATTTGTTCGCCTGCCTAGACACCTAAAACAAACAAAATTAGCATATCGGAGCACAAAAATGACATTTTACAGATTTCCCCACGATATGCTTCAATCCACTGGGAAGATGATCCCATGAAATGATAAACAAATTGTTACTTACAATCTGATGACAGAATCGATTTTACCTAAGGCAATTTCTTCGCTTGCTAGACACCATAAAACACACAAAATTGTATCGAGAAGGACAAAATGACATTTTCACCGGTTTCCCGATATTGCTAATCACACAAGTTATTTATGAAAATGATAAACAAATTCATTACTCACATTCTGATGAAAGAATCGTTGTCCTAAGGCAATTTGTTCGCCTGCTAGACACCTAAAACAAACAAAAATTAGCATATCGAAGGACAAAAATGACATTTTCGCAGGTTTCCCGTGTGCTAATCATACAAGTTATTTATGAAAATGATAAACAAATTCAATACTTACAAACTGATTGACATGCTAAAGTATTCATGAAACAGCACGCAGCGCCATCTCTCGGTACACAGAATAATGATGAACAAAAAAGTAGCATGCAGATTTGAAACTACTAGCGCCATCTAGTGGCTGAGGTCGGAATTGCTTAGTTTTTGTAGAAAACTGTAATTGCGTAGATCATTTCTACTGACACTGTCATTTTTCTGCAGTGTAACCGGATTGACAAGCGCAAACAATTTAATGCAACAGGTATTTTCATTGTATGTAAAACAAAAAAAATAGACTTATAAGAAAAAAAACTTAATTACCTTACTTTTGATGTGTGTGGTGAGCATTCATGTGCAGCCCTTTGAGCTGGTTAAATCCTAAAATAAACAAAACAATAAACAAATCAGACAAAATTAGTACATGTAAAATTCCTTTACATAATATTCAAACAAGGTTCTCTGATATTCAGATAATCCATTAACAGCTAGCTGATGTTTAAATGACGCTATGAAGCGATAAATTTGACTTACCGGGGTAAAATGATACAAAACAGGCGAAGGGAAAGTCCAAGATGTGTGTGCACAATGTTCGTTTAGCAAAATCTTGGCAATAACATCAATTATAAGAGAATACATATACAAAACGAATAAATCACGGTTCAAAACTTTAGTTAAACGGGAAACTAAGCACAAACAGCGTTGTTTATATTATAAGAACGCGAAGTTATAAATAAGAGACGAGTAACCTGCTCCGCACGACGTACGACTTAATTCTGACCTGCGAAAATGACGTCGACGTCAAGCACAGTGTTGCCAACTTAAATTTTGAAAAAGGCGGAGATGTATTCATAATATTCAAATTCAAAATTTATTAATCATATAACTATACAAATAATTTATTAAATAAATAATATTAAAATCTACTTACTGATACAGATTTTAAAGATTCAATTACTTTTAAATATATTAGAAATTATTAAAACCTGTTGGTGCAAACGCCTCATTTTCACTCACCCCCGTGAAATATTGCGGTTCTAAACCGATTCCATACGCGTCATTATTAGTATCATATAATTGTTTACCAAGAACAGTGTACGTGGGCATGGAAAATCCATTTGCAGCATTAACGTCTAACTCTGAAGGAAATCGATGCGCATTTCCCATGACAAACGGCAAATGTGATATAAAACCACCGCCAAACGGACGGTTCACACTTTGATACATGTTTTGAATGTGCTGTTGGGAGTGGAAAGGACGAAACGGATGAAATCCTGGTAAACTGGGTATACCCTGTACACTAGGCACACTTTGAACGGCTTGTAAATCTTGAGGAATACCTAATCCTTGAACTTCATCTTGTAATGCAGGGATGCCCTGATCTTGAACAACTTGTACTTGTGCTTGTTGTTGCGCCGTCAAAAAAGGACGATTGCCGAAATTGCTGAATAATCCAAGAAATGGTCGGTGAGGGCGGTTTGATACAACTGCACTATTTTGATTGTTGTTGTTGAATAAGTTGGCAAGCGGACGGTTTGCAAACGGAGTTGAATACATGTTTTGGTTTCGGCGAATATGGCGTTTTGTTACTGATTTTTCAATTTCGTTGTTTGATTTTGTTGTTGCTTCCAATTGATCATCATCAATTGGTGCCGCTGTAGTGGCACTCACAATTGTGAATATAAGAAGTAAATAAATCTATAAACACACTCAATATTAATTTTAATTTATTTAAAAAAATTAATAAATAAATAAAAGCCGTACCTTATTCATTTTTAACTATTTTTGATGTTGACTTGAATGAATGTCTAACATTTACACTTCCTATTTATATCCAAGATAAAACTAAGACATTCCCTACTTTTTTTTAACGTACTGACGACTTGGTGAAAACCAGCAGCAATAAATTCATAAAAGTGCCGAGGTGTTAAGTTTCAAGTGCGTTGAAGTGCAACTTTGTCTTATGGTCAATTGAAGATGTTAATTAGGCATTTAAGAAATTGATTCAAGTTTACTGTTATCTCTTCTTTCTTTGTATGAACAAGTATTTATGATTTAGTCATGTAAAACTAACTGTTGAACTTAACAGTAAGTCAACGAAAGTTGCGCAACGTAATTACGCCAAAGCGTATATTTCTTAACAATTGTAACAATTTTAATTTGCCGCCGCAAGTCCCAATACCTATCTTTGATAATGTGACACCCGTTTCTAGTAAAAATTGGCATGAAAACAATGTGTCCACAAAAGAAAATCAACGTCATCCAACCCCTAAGTTTTACAAAGTTTTACGTAAAACTAGAGCCTTACATAAAAAATACAAAATGGCGATGGTAAAATTACTAAAAGACGCTAGATCTTGGTTTAAAAAAATATGCAAATTTTCGGACGAAGTGGATAAAGTTCCGATTAACAATTTGCATGACTTACAAAAGAACCAAGCATCAAACAACAACGAAATGTTTCAGTATATAAAACAAGAAATAGAAGAGCTCAAAATAATGATCCAAGATTTAAAAACAAATGAAGATATAGCGTCAAAAACAAAAATGGAAACTGTTCCTATTATAACAATAACACCGTCATTACCTGAACGCCCTTTGCTACGTTCGACAAATATGGCAGCAGCACCTCCTCCACCACCACCACCACCGCCCCCAATTTTGGTGCCAAGCAACCGACCACCAATCATTGCTAAAGCAAGCGGGGACAGGAATACAAATAAACAAAAACAAGGAGAAATGAGGCCTGCTATTTCATTGAATGATATTTTAAGTGTGAAGCTACGTAAACCATGTGTAAGTAATTATTATTATTTTTCTTATATTTGTAATTGACTTTGCATCATTTTGTGGCTTTAATTCAGGAACGTTCGCAAACTTTGCCTAAATCAAATTCCTGTCGTATATTACGAGGACCGGTGGTCACACTGGACGCTTTAAAACAAGTACGTCTTAAGCCAGCATCGAAGATTTCCACATCTTTATGTGCTGATAGCATCAACTCACCCATCGGAAATGTTAGCAATAGTCCCGTCTCAAGTCTGAAACGTTTGCTTACCAATGGAGTTTCATCCGAAAGTCGCCCCAAGCGAATGCGACACTGTTATTCAAAAACGAGTGCAATAGATCGCGAACGATTCACTGAAAATTGAAATTTAAGTGAATGAATTTATCTTATTTAGATTTTCGCAAAGCGCACATAGATTTTAAGAAACATACCTTATTTATGAAGATTATTTATTACGAAAGCTATGACAGCTTGAACTTAGTTCTGTTAAAAATTGGTTTTAATCATAATTAGATTATAATTGTTGTTGTAGTGCGTCACATTTACTTCTCCCTTCGTGGAGAAGTCAAACTGTTGACAAATGCTGAGTTATCTTATATGTAACGGAATATTATCGATTTGTTAAACAAATGTGTCGTAATATTGTCGAGTTTACTAGTTATTGTTAGAAGTTTTTTTTATCAATTTATTGCATAAATAAAATTTAAATTTAATTACTGCTGTTTTTTTTCCTGGGAGACTGGGAAGGCAATAAACCAAATTACAATGATTATATATTATACTGGTTGGATAGTAACTTTAACTATCAATTGATTTGAATCAAAATAATCATTCCCCAAAAGTTGCTCTAGGGAAGCAAATTCGGTATATCCAAATCCCTTGGCGTTCAAATCGTCCACAGGGCGACAAAATGCTTCTAACTCGGGACGTGTCATCATCGTTTCCTTGATATTTTGAATAGAATCCCTATAAGCATAAAATTTTAACAAATTTGTTGTTTTATCCTATATTCTTTTGTCATTTTACGTCGGATGTATAATGGATATAATAATTCTTCCACAAAATGGCCAGTCAAGCGTGTTGTCGTGGTCAGTTTTCATCATGTGAATCAAAAGTGCAATAAAATTCGGATTTCTAGGTGACAAATTAAGTCGAATGCAAAACTTGTATCCATAATAAGATGTAAAAAATCCAGGACTATAGAACATAATGGACGGATTGTTGTGCATCTGGTTCATTTTACTCTTAAAATCGGTGATATACCATACATAATTTCCCCACAGAGACGATGGGAGAGATGCGACATTGTTACGTTATTAGACAAAATCTGATCAGACATGTTAGCAATAATTATGTCTTGTTCTCTAGATTTTTGTTCTAACACAATTATTTTTTCATAAAGTGCTCTAAAAAATTCAAAATTCAAATATATTTGAGAACATCACTCCTCTAAAAACTCACTTAAGTAGGTTTTCAACTGACTCAGCACCGGAATTTCCAGCTGATCCGGATCCTTGGGCACTTTTAGACGGTGGATCCCAATAATTTGCTTCCTGTGCAAGTGCCGACGTACTTGCTTGAGTATTAATTGATAATTTTTTGTAGGCACTTGAAAGCAACTAAAAATAAAAACATTTTATTGAGGATATTGTATTAATTTAATTCCATTACCATTAGATGTTTTTGAATATCATGCTCCAAATGTCTTTGCAATCCTGGTTCATCATCAAACTTTGCATCACAGCCAAACTCAACATAGCTACATCTTAACTTTTCATTATCAGGCAATTGATATTCAATTGGCTTGAATGCACATATCAACAAATGAGATTCAACATCTAAAGGAGATAATTCCTCCAGACATCCTCTTTTTAAATTAGGACATTTTGTTCTCTGTTGAGAAATTTCTCTCCTTGTAAAATTATCAGGAAAAATATCGGAATTTTGTAGCTTCATGTTATCTACTGGACAACATTCATGATTCTTTCTGCAAGAATTAATTGGAATCATATTATTAAAAACATTTCAAAGGTGGAATAAACAATAAATGCTTACGCTAACCAAGATTCAATGCAGTTCCTGCAGAACCTATGTCCACAAGCAGTAACAACTGGATCTCTTAGCCAATTCAAGCAAATTGGGCACTCAAATTTAGCATCTGGTGCTTCAGCTGTTTCAATAATACAACTTTCTTCAGCTGTTTGTGTTATGTTCGCTGCTGCTGCCATTACTAATCAAATGCAGTCATCAAACACTCACGAGATAATCGTTTTGTTAGAACGACTGTATAAATTACCAGGAATTCTAAAGTAATGGTGAATAATACTATCTTATTTGATCAACACACACTTGTTGCATGAGTAATTATGTACCTGCCTATAAGTTGTATGTACTTTTTATGTATACCATGACGTCATGGTCAAGGTATCAACAAGTGTTACAAATTCAATCGAATTAATTACGAAGTTTTATAAATACCAAAATACAATTTGAAATTTTGTAATTTTGAATCAGCTTTACATAAATTCTATTTTAAACAGCGATTATATACATAAAATGTATACTATACATAACATGTATACATAAGTGTACATAAAATGTATACTATAAATTTTATGTATTCATAAGTGTACATAAGCATGTAATACTGGTTGCCTAGTGTTATACTTAATCTGTTAGTTGCCTACGTTGAACCTGTATGTAAATATGTCAAACGAGTAAACAATGCCCTATAATTAACAACTAAGTGTTTAAAACAACAATTACGTTGAACCGAAAAACGTACAATTCTAAATTATCGTCTTGGACAGATAAGCATCAAGAGCAGCCAACAAATTCATCATGCCTATTAAATAATAGTGAATATAACACATCAACAAAAAGTTGATATTGTGTGTTCCCTGGAAATAAATAAATTTCCTGCAAGATGAGCTCACTTACGATATCGGACGTGATGGGAGCTCAATTCGATAATGTTCTCTCACTGGCATTGGGGCCCATTGAAACGGTACATCGATGGAAACGTATGCCGGAATGTGACGAATTTGTTGGAGCCAGGTACCAAAAAACATAATAATATCTGTAATATATAACTAACTTAAATTAAATTAACAGGAGAAGTAAACACACAGTTATAGCATACAAAGATGCTATTTATGTGTTTGGTGGAGACAATGGCAAGTGCATGCTCAATGATCTTCTAAGATTTGATGTGAAAGAAATGTCATGGGGCAGAGCACTGCTAACAGGATGCCCACCAGCACCCAGATATCATCACTCTGCAGTGGTGCACAATACATCAATGTATGTCTTTGGAGGATATACAGGTGACATTCATTCCAACTCCAATCTCACCAACAAGAATGATTTGTTCGAGTACAAATTCAATAGTGGGCAATGGGTTGAATGGAAGTTTAATAGTAAATCGCCGGTGCCCGTGCCAAGATCAGCACATGGCGCTGCTATTTTCGATAATAAATTGTGGATTTTCGCTGGATATGATGGAAATGCCAGACTTAATGATATGTGGACTGTTTCTCTTGTTGTAAGTTAATTAAAAACCTAAAAACTTAAAAACCAGCATTTAACTTTTAGGGTGATAACAAAACATGGGAGGAAGTAGATCAGCAAGGTGAAAGTCCACCAACATGTTGCAATTTTCCAGTGGCAGTTGCCAGAGAGTGTATGTTTGTTTTCAGTGGCCAGAGTGGTGCAAAGATAACAAACACTTTGTTTCAATTCAACTTCCAAAGTAAAATGTGAGTACCTTTGATAAATAATTAAACTTACGATTCTAATCTTTGCTGCTCATGTAAAGGTGGACGAGAATTTCAACTGAACACATTCTTCGAGGTCCTGCTCCACCTCCAGCACGTCGCTACGGTCACACAATGGTTGCTTTCGATCGACATTTATACGTTTTTGGCGGCGCCGCAGATGCTACAGTCTCAAATGATTTGCACTGCTTTGATCTCGATTCACAAACCTGGTCTATCATTTTACCCGCCGCGGATTCCTTCGTTCCATCGGGAAGACTCTTTCATGCCGCCGCTGTTGTCGGCGATGCAATGTTTATCTTCGGTGGTACTGTAGATAACAATGTGCGCAGTGGAGAGATGTACCGATTTCAATTCTCCAGCTATCCGAAATGTACACTGCATGATGACTACGGTAAAATTCTGGAAAGTCGACAGTTTTGCGATGTGCAATTTCAAGTTGGGCCTGACGAAGAGCGTATTCTTGCACATCTTGCTCTCGTTGCTGCGCGTTCGCAATTCCTCAGGAATAAAATAAAACAAGCAAAAGATAATCGCGATCGACACTTGGAAGAATTATTTGGGACTGTGGATGTTCCCTTCACTGATTTACCTCTACTCGAAGTTAAACTGCCGGATGCAAATCCCGAAGCATTTGAAATGGTTTTGAATTACATCTACATGGATTGTATTGACCCAACTAAACGCGCCCAGGAAGGCGAAAGCCCTCACAGTAATCGCATCGTTCTCTTGATGATGGACGTGTATCGTCTTGCAGTGCAATTCGAAATGGCACGATTGGAACACCTCTGCGTACAGTATTTGAACGCGACGATTTGTTTGAACAACGTGCTGGTAGCTCTGCATAACGCGGACTCCCTGCAATTGACATTCATCAAAGAGTTCTGCCTAAGATTTATCGTCAAAGATACGCATTACAATCAGATTGTAATGTCTAGAGAATTTGAGACGTTAGACAGGGTGTTGATGGTTGAGATTATTCGACGCAAGCAAGTACCACAGAACAGAGCGCAAATCGAGCCGAAGTTCGATGGGTTGGGATCGTCCCTAGAGCAAGATATGGCCATGTTTTTGAGGACAACTGGCTTGGAATTCTGTGATATTAATTTATTATTGGACGGCGCTGTTATTCCCGCACATAAGAGTGTTTTAGCCGCAAGGTGTGGGTATTTCGAGGCAATGTTTCGATCGTTTATGCCTCAAGATGGTACTGTTAGGGTAAGTCACTTTTAAAACCATTACTTTACTTTGCGCTATAAAAAAACATATTTGCAGATTCAAATCGGTGAAATGACACCGTCAATCGAATCATTCTACTCTCTTTTGCGTTACATTTACTATGGAGATGTGAATATGCCCCCTGAAGATTCTCTTTACCTTTTCTCCGCTCCATACTTCTATGGGTTTACCAACAACAGGCTGCAGGCATTCTGCAAGCAGAATCTCGAGATGAACGTGACGTTTGAGAATGTAATTCAGATCCTCGAAGCAGCTGATCGTATGCAGGCCACTGACATGAAGAAATATGCTTTGGGGATTATCGTGCATTACTTCCCCAAAGTTGCGAAGATGCCGCGCCTCAAGATGCTGAGTAAAGATCTGCTGTTGGATATTCTCACCGCGCTGGGAAATGATCGGTCGGACAGCAAGCTATGTCAGGATATGTCCTCTATTAGCATTAGCAGTGACAACTGATGCTGGTTTAAGTTCTATTTGCTTCTACTTAGAGCCTAGCAGAAAAAAAACGCATGCAATAGTTTAGTTATTATTATATATTTTAATGAGGCTAATTCATTGATCTAAAAAATAGGAAAAGACTAATTACTGAGCTTTAAAATTGTTTCTGTTGTAACCAATGTTTGACTGCATTTACATGATCACCATGTATTAATATATTGCCTGCAAACTCATGAACCTGTATTCTTATTGGCTTGGTACTCTGTTGCTGAAGAAATTGTTTCAAATCTGTTTCCAACTGCCAAATGTCACCCTCAATTAATCTAATTTGTGTTAAACGACGCATTCCCCTGTAAGTGCTGTTCAAGTACACTGGTAGCATGTGATTTCTTGTTCGTTTTATAAAGTACATCAAACTGTTAAACAACAATGTCAGTATCAATTTACGCTATTTTGCAAACATTCACAAGAACAGTTATTGCGATACTGGTCTAAATGAAACAAACACCAATTGATTGATGTTTGATCAAACAATATACTCAGATCATATTAAATATTTATCAAATACATATTAGAATTCTTAAACGCTAAATTACATAGAATAATATCTTAAATATACAAACGCGATATATTTACAATATAATTATTCGAAAATTTACAAGTTACATGTAAAAATGACAAGATTAAATCACAAAATCACATAAATTACGCATTCGATAAGGGAGTTATAAATAAAGCTGTTCTTCGCAACCGAAATCCTTCCCAAATCATCTTAATATGACGGAACATTAATGACACCCCGCATCCTCTCCATTTCATGCCTCATGGCAGCCATTTCAAATCTAAGTTTCAAATTCTCTTGCTCCAAAAACGCGCAGCGAATAGCAATCTCGTCTTCTTTGGCACGTCGGGCATCTCGGGATCGTTTTGCCGCTTCGTTGTTCTTCCTGCGCTTCTCCCAGTAAGTAGGATCAGCACTACTGGAAGTTTGATTCTGATGCGTGGTGCTCATTTTATTGATATTGGTACCTTGATTTTGATTCTGCACGCGTGACAACATCTTCTGACGAAAGTCAGCGTATGCTCCTGCGGAATCCTTTGAAATAATAGCATCGGAACTCACAACACCATAGGCAAGACTCAATGGGTCCTTGGGGTAAGCCTTAAAAGGCCTCGGAAGTTTACTTTTATTCTCAGCTGAATCAGTTTGGCTGGAATATTGATAATTCTGATCTCCTTCGGATGATTCGCTGCCTGTACGCGAACTGGGACTTGAAAAGCACATCATGGCGTGCGGTGGGTCCGGATAATTTTGTTCTGGTGTTAAACGGTGGTGAGATTCAATTGAATGCGTTGGTGAATTTGCAGGAGATTGCGGTGGTGTTGGCGAACGTCCACGTTTTCTGGATAAATCCAATACATCTGGAATTATCCTGGATGATGCCGAGCAGTTCAACGGAGTCAATAAATGTTGCATGGAGAAGATGTGCGATTGTTCACTGACAGCCATCTGTAAATTTTTTATGAATTTATGAATTCACTTTGAGCGAATTTTGTAATGTTAACGAGACTATGTTCAAACGAAGAATGAAGTTCCAAGTTTGACGCGTGAACTATTAATATGTTTACAAACAAAACAAGTTGTGTGATTGTTTGAGTTGAAGCACAGCAATTACTAATTATTCATTCGGTGTTTAACATTGATAATTTCATTCGATTGGTGAGGCCTACCTTCGTTTGGTTGACGTTGATTATTAATCAAAAGTTTCCTCGATAACTTAAAGCACTTTGCTTAACTTATCACTTGATGCAGCAAAAAAAAAAACGTTCGACACAATTTGATAATCTTCTAGGTGGTTGGTGACAGGAAGACGATGCGTTCGCAAATAATATTTTAAGTACCTTGCGCTGCCCTTTTATTGAAAACTGACCGTCCTGACCATCGTCCACAAGCAACCCTTTCTGTTCGACCAATCACAATCGTTTCTACAGTATGCTAAGGGTGTTTGTTATTCTCCCACCACTCCCCCGCATTCGCAACTTATTTTGGCGTGGGTACCGTACTTGCGCTACCGTGGACGTTTGCGGTTTTCTTTTTGCCCATTTTACCTATTTTTATTATGGTACCGTTAGTTTTTTGGCGCTAGCAATTTTATTGCTGCTTGGATGTCCTTTCAATGAGAGCATGTTTCTTCATTTTTACGCTTGTGTGTTTACGATAGTGACCAAAAAAGATTTTAAGGAAAATATGCAGTATTGTAAAAAAAATTGGCGAAGTGTAATTCTTGCTGTATAAACGTTTTAGCCGTTGCAAAAAGTTTAAGTTTATGACTCGTTTACGATTTACACAAGTTTTTGTCAGAAGTTTTTAGGGCACAAAAAGTGAAACCGGCCATTTTTATTTTATTTTGTAATTTAATTGTCAAAAACTGATGTTTTCATTTTTATCTGCTGATTTCGATTCGGAAATCTTGCCTTCTTTAATAAAATTCCAGAATATTAGCGTGTTTTGTCACAGGTCTGTAATTTTTTGCTAAAGTTTTGTCAATAAGATGTATTTTGAGACTATATATATATTTAGTTATTGACGTCTATGTAATCTATATATACATAAATGAATTGCTGTTCGTTAGTCTCGCTAAAACTCGAGAACGGCTGAACGGATTTATCTTATCTTGGTCTTGAATTATTCGTGGAGGTCTATGGAAGGTTTAAAAGGTGAGAAAAATTCGAATAATTGCCGGGAAAATCCTCAAAACAGCTCTTTTCTGTAGAATAAAATTTGACATTGAGATTCAATCATAGTTATAGTTAAATAGTTGAATTCGAGGATATTAGCGCGCTTTGAAGATGCATTATTGACAAAACTTTATATACCTAATTTCTTTAAATTAAAATTGCTAATCTTATTGATGAATTGACTCTTACTACGAGTATGTCTAGAACAAGCGAGTAAAAACGAATTACATTTTTATTAAACACTGCCGGAACGAAGTCGCGGGCAACAGCTAGTTTTAAATAAGAATACAATATTAAAAAAGAAAAAGTTTCTACTTTAGTCGCAAATTTCTGCGTCAAAGGGTTAGAAAAAGCTTCGAAAGTCTAAAATGAAATTCTTTGTGAACCAACGCCGAGGAATTTCAAAGAACTCCATCCTAGCGGTCACATTTTGCAAAAATGTCATCGCTGCGGTGGTCCTCTTTGCATAACTTCACATTTAACTGCGTCACAAACGATATCCGATGGAGTTGCGCTGTCTCATCCATCAAAAAAGCTGCTTACACTTAAAACGATACTACTTTCGACCGACGTTCGATAATCTTTTAAGTTTTCAAACGAACAAATTTATGAATCAATGTAAAACTGACTAAAACGCATTAAACCATGCATGAATAATTACTTGCACCGTGATTATCGAAACAAATCACGAATTAATTCATCATCGCTACGCTTAAAACTTTATTTCATTCAACATGTTGTTTATTCAACACACTGCGTTGTATTTTTATTATTGTTTTTCTGCGTTGATGAAAACCGTTTTTGTTGATATTGTGTGCAATATTCTTGCACATGCCACATTTGCGCCCGTTTTACGGAAGCGGAAGGGTTGCACGACGCATATTATTGTTTGCGTATGTCACCCCTATCCGAAAATTGTATTATTTCCGCAATGCAGCACCCACGCATCTCAAATAGAGATGAATCATTAAATATTTCAGATGTGGGTGAACGCAAGAAGGCAACATATTAGAAGTAGGGTTGCAATCAACTTGCAGCAGTTCGCAATGACCCAAAAATCTGGCACAATTTCGCATGCGTACCCCTGGGGGTGCGCCAAGCTCACAGTAATAATATTTACAGCCCCCGATTTGAATTTAACCCGTTTTCAAAGTGAAACTTTCGATGATATGCAAAACGTTGCCAACTTGCCATCATAAACAAGTTGAAAGGCTACTTAGTCGTAAAATTAAGTCACTAGACGCGCGCGACAACTAACTCTTTAACCAGAAAGAGATTAGTCGACTTCGACTTTAATTCTGTTAACTCAGCGGGTGGCGAATCGCGCGCGCCTCTCGTAAATCAATCGCACCGCCCCGCCAGGTAACCCTATGCTTAACATATGAAAGGGGATCAAAGAGTTCAAACGACGCAAGAATATTTATTGCGCCTGCTACTTAAGTCAATTACGCTTTTGGAAATATCATGGGCGTGGACGGGCGATAGATACTGGAGAACAATGTGGAGGACCGTAAACGTTTTGAAAATATTTACGGTAAATTCCGTCAATCTATTTATGGCGAGTGTTGGGGGCAGTGTGGAATATTAATGCAAAAGTCAAACGTACAGAAGTCGAGCAAGCGGGTTGAGACGTTTTATTGCGTTGGGTTTCTGTAAATTCATCAACGAAGTCAATCCGAGACAATCCGGTTATATTTGCACAATAATTTCGAAGTATTTTCTTCTATTATTTGTTTTAAAGCTTTTATGTTCGTAAATATCTCTTGTTTTCCAAGTAAAACTTGGCCCACTGTATTTACAATACTTCTTTTCATCCCTGTTAGCAAATACCGTTTTCAAAACTTCTATGAATATGCTTGACATCGAAACATAGAGAAAAGCATGCAAAATCTGGGTTAACGTAACTGTAAACTTTTGCAAACTGTAAAATTGTGGGATTTGACCTACCAGGTGCCACGCGTAGAAGGGTTTTGCGGTTCTTATTTGCGCCCCGTATTAAACATCTCAATCGAGTATTTCGGTCACATGAGTGTGCACAAAATCTATGCTCTTTTACCGCTAAGCGTGGGATAGTTCTTCCGCATTTGATGTGGTAACAATAAAGGATGGGATCCACAATCGCATGATGCGTGTGGCATGCTTCGGCTTCTTGGTTTTTCACAACATATTGGTTGCAGTTGTGAATATATCACACGGTAGCTAATGCTAAATTCGCATTAAGTAGTATTAAACGGTACTTATGCACAATGTGACGGCTTGTTTGAGGTGGTAAGAAGCATGGCTGCTTCTTAAATCTTTTGCGTTCGTAGTGGGTAAATAAGAAGTAAAAGCGGAGCACTTGAGTTGTTATCTAGACTTAAGTTACAGAAAGGTGCAGATTAAGTGTAATCGCGCGTAAATTTGTCATCACCAACAGATACCACTGATCTTGCCGACAAATACGAAAAAATTGCACAAGACTTTCTTTTTTTAATCAAGCCTACATTTTGTAGTATTTAACTAGTAAGGCAAACAATAAAATCCGCCAACATTATTTTCGCAGCACTTAAAAATGTCTCCGTGCAGAAAAAGTAAATATTTTGAAGGCGTGTGCACCCTGTAAACATAAAATTATTAAAAGTTCACTACAGTATGACCAGTCGTAAATACGCTCTTGCAATAGCATTTTTGCAACCGCTTTAAAAAACATTTGCAAAAGCACCGTAAAGTTTTACAACGCGACCGGGAAAAATTGCTTTCTTCAAAAATTCTCCTCAAAGCCATAAAGTCCGTATCTTCTTGGAATAACTTTTTAGCATAATTGCAAACTTTTTTCCTTTTTTCCTCGTTTTATGAGCTGGTCGATGTGGAGTCGGGATGCAATTGCTACGACGTAATAACGATGTATAATTGCATATAATTGCACTGGATTTTCCTATCTGTAGTATAAATCGAACACCGATGGAACTGTAACGCGACAATTCGCAAATTGTTTTATGGTGTAGAATAGTACACGCCACGGGAGGTCATGACCACCACAAAGATATTAAATAAAATTTCGTGGAATGCTTAAGAGCTTGTGGTGGTGCATGCCTGATATTGCAAACCGTGCATTGTTTTGTGGTAAAACTAGAACAGAGATTAAAATTATTGACGCCATTTCCTGTCATAACGACCGGTAAATCTTAATCTTTTCATTGACGATTTACTTAAACAGGAACCGTTTGTTTGTTGAAAATTAGATGAGAATTCGTAACACAAATGTTTACGCATCGCAATTCGTGAATCATTAAAAATCGATAAAATTATTCGTCAGACATCAATCAAACAAAACTTAAAAACGCGATAACAACATGATCGATTGACTATCCAAAGTTAATAAAGCTTTTACCAAGCACAATTTGTAAATATGTTAAGATTTGCGCACTTTGCAACTTCTATTTTTTTGCAAAAATATTCAACACACAATACCCTCGCTCGCATGTCACTTGTCATGCGTCCGAGTTATTGAAAATCTTCAGCCCCAACAAATATGTCCATTATGGAAGGGTTTCGTCGTTGAAAAACCCAAAAACTGGCATCGGCATTGTGCGCCCATTGTGTGTAGTTATGATTGATGTCTGTGTCAAATGTCCCAAGACTCTGAAGTAATAACGGTACAATCGTACAGTGCATTGGCGCATTCATGTCGTAATAGAATCATGCTCAATACTGAGCAATGCGTGCAATGCCATGCATTACATTGCTCATATTTTAATCCCTTATTGTTGACCTATATCCGTGAAACAGGAAACATCTGCATGGATGGAAAATAGTTGCAAATTTGTCCGAAATATGATTTGCAAGTTTTTGCAACAAACGGTACTATTTTACACTTTCTTCTTTATAAAACTCAAAATACCGGTTTATCTTACCTACAAGTTATAACTTGTAACAGAGTTTTTAATTTATTATTTATTTATCTACAAATGTGGGTTATTATTTTATATTCTCCTACTTTTTGATTTGAATAACATGAGACAAATCGTATTTACCCCTAACGCATTTCAATTTAACACCAGGGCAATCCTTTAGTCTACCTACACGACACAACACAATATTGTGTTCTTGTAAATTATGCCCAATGCCGGGAATATACGATACCATTTCCTTCCCGTTGGACAAACGCACAAGCACACATTTACGATTAGCAGAATTAGGCTTCTTCGGTTTCTTGATGAGTGTCTTAAGAACAACGCCTTTCATAAAAGGTCTGCCATCCAGCGGTTGTCTAGGCTTGCGCGTTTTAAAATGCGGACCACGACGATGCATCTGGTACAGGGAGGCAAATCTCTCTGCAATAACAAAAAATAATCCGTTTGGCAATAGTAAAATATGAACATGAAAATATTGAATGAATGCGTCGGTGACAATAGGAAGATTATTATTAAAATTTAAGATGATGGAATTGTGCTACGGGGACAGATAGAAATCTTGAGGTAATTGGTTTTGGTGCGCGTATTGCTGTATGTGAAAGCAAGGGTTGTTTGCAGGGTCCGTGTCCGGCTTGAAGCGAACGTTACAAAGCGCCCGTGACAGATTCCATTCAATTGGCAAAATGCTTGCTAGAGAGATTAACATCGCAACTGGACAATGTCCGAGTGTTGGCCAGGGCTGTACTATTATGTTGAGGCGGTTGAAAATATCACGACAATGCTTTGAATTTACCCAAAACATCAGATTGGATGACCTATTGTTTAAAAATATTAATTTTTATAATTACAAACAAAATAATAATTATTAACGATTTTCAAATAGCCTCTGAATAAAATCATTTAAATTTAGAAGAATTTTTTCATAATTCCAGCAGCAGATTGAGAAATTTGATTTTCTATTTCGCAAATCATGTCCGAAATCTATTTTTCTTTCTTTTCAGTAAACCTTTGGTCACCATTTCCACCCCTTCCTTTATCTAGCTGATGATTTGCGCCTAAGATATAAGCTGCACTCATACGAGCAGGTGACGGACATTCTCCATTGTCGACCGATGGCGAGCTGAATAGCGCAAGCCACAATAAGTTGTTCACATCACGCTATATTACACTGGGCTGTGTGAAGCGCGACGAGGAAGCCAGGAAAGAGGAAAATATGCCAATAGGGGATTAAGATGACCATATCGCTGGTGTGCCACGTCCATCAACGGCGAGCTGTTTGTACGTGCGTGGGTAATCTTGACCACACACAACTCTATTATTGCATTTCGATGATGACCGATTGCCGGGTAACGGAACGTACGCTGCGATGCATGTTTGGGGAAGTGTGGCCGAGATACAGGCACAATCAGCAAGGGGTGGCGGAATATTCGATAATCAGAAGATCAGGGACAACTGCTGGAGTGTGCTGCATGTGAAGTGCATTCAAATATGAAATTTAATTAAAATTTCTCATCTAAAACCCTAAATCTAAACAATTAAATATTTTTAACATTAAATATGAAGTTATAATTATATAATCCGGTTAACACGTAACAAAATTTTAATCTAAGTGAAGAAAATTCTGTTCTTTAAGTGTTTTAATTAATATATGTTTGAAATAACTTAATTTTTAACTAATCCAATGAATCGGAGAGGATTTTAACTAGTAGGAATCCAACTAGTTATTTATAATTTAAATTAGATACAATACCTTGCACCCAAGTGAATGAAAATCCATTTGTTAGCTCACTGGCTTTCTGGAGTAGAGGTCTTTGGACTTGTGCAGAGGATGTGAGAATATTTCTGACCATTGAATGAGTTTGTGGTACTCGACTGATCAACTGTCTCAATACATTCATTCTAGAATAAAACAGTACAGGTAGATTAGATGCTTCAATTATAAATTAAAAATAAATGGAAAAACATGATATAACTTACATGTAATGTTTTATTTACACTTATAAAATTAAATAATATCAAATTTAAACCGCGAAGAGGACCCACCAATCAGAATTATGAGGTTAGTGGAAGCCATCATGGAATTATTTTCGTGTAGATTTGTAGTTTCATCGTATGCAACCCAATATACACGCTTTGAAATACAAAGTGTTTTAAACATAAAATTTTAAAAATATACAATTTAATATTTAAAAAAAATACATAATTATTTAATACTTAAGCTTTTGATATATTATTTACACATTTAATTAATATTTATTTGTAAATAATAATACAGATAATAATTAAAATTTAAAATCAACAACATGACACGTTGTCCTCAAAAAACTTAAATATGTAATTACAGACGAAGAAAAATGAGAAAAGAAAAGTTTGGGCACGCACAATGCACATAACTCTATTATTATTCCGAAGAAAGTAGCACGACTTTGCGGGCCGTACATGAATGCATCGACTTCATGAACATGGCGCTCATGAAATCCACGACGTTTCTTACTTTTCCTTTATTTTGTACAACGCGAAGTGTGACTTTGTGCGAACGTTGAATACGTATTCAATTTGTCGCAATCATAAATAATTGTGCTTTTTAACGTTTTTCTTACGACAAACAACGATTTGTCAACTTAGTTGCAATAATATACTATATACGTAATGCAAGAAATAATTTATTGATTAGTATTAAAAAAAGAAACTTAAGTTGCGGGCGTTGCAGGGGTAAACAAATTGATATAACAACAGTGTAGGAAGTTTAAAATTATTTAAAACTTGACATGTTTGCGAAATTTTTTGTTTAATTTCTCAGTGTCACAAAATGCAATAAAAGTTATTAGGAAAATCATGTAATTTGGTTTTGAATGCCAATTAGGTAATTATTATGACTTGAAGGTGCAATGTATTTATCTCCTCATCTTGGTATGTAATGTAAAGAGGCTAATAATTACGGTTACATAAAACGGTGTATAACTTCGTGCGAATGCCAATTAATTATAATCTGTTGATACAAGTCAATTGCCATTATACGAGTACTCGTACCTACACTCGATAAATTATGATGAGCGCCAAAGTAGCATATTGCCCTACAAATACAACACAAACCACCGTGTACCATCAATTAATTAATAGAGAATACAAGTGTACAGGCAGATTACAGGAAATTAACAACGCATTTCATGGTAGTGTATTAATTAACACATATGTAACTACTTTCATTGAATTTATTCACAATTGATATTCATGGAGATGTATTACAAATTAATTTAAAACAATAATCATAGTATAAATGAAATTTAAATAAATTTACCTAATTGATAAAAGAATTCAGTATCTTTAAATCTATATATATATAAAAATGAATTGCTGTTCGTTAGTCTCGCTAAAACTCGAGAACGGCTGAACGGATTTATCTTATCTTGGTCTTGAATTATTCGTGGAGGTCTAGGGAAGGTTTAAAAGGTGAGAAAAATTCGAATAATTGCCGGGAAAATTCTCAAAACAGCTCTTTTCAATAGAATAAAATTTGACATTGAGATTCAATCATAGTTATAGTTAAATAGTTGAATTCGAGATGGCGCGCTGAAGTGCATTATTGACATAACTTTATATGCATAATTTCTTTAAATTAAAATTGCTAATCTTATTGATAGAATTGACTCTTACTACGAGTATGTCTAGAACAAGAGAGTAAAAACGAATTACATTTTTATTAAACACTGCCGGAACGAAGTCGCGGGCAACAGCTAGTATGCTATAAAAGTTTTTTTCTATTTCTACCTTTAAATAAATTAATTAAAATTATAATTTAGATTATGAGTAATTAGGAAGTAATTACTTAATTTCAGGAGTAATAATGTATGACAGGAAGACGATTAATTTGGATTATATCCTTGTGGATAGGTACAAATTAAATTAAATTGATTTGGAAGGCACAATTACAAAATTGACAAGGTATTATACCATGACACCAACTAAAACATTTTTATCATTCGCAAATCACATCAAAAGGAAGCGGTAGTATTTTAGTCGTGATTACTTCGATTGTTCATTTTGCGCGTTAAAAGTGCCAAATATAATTCAAAAATTAAATCTCATTGTAACTGTAAGAGATTGTGTCTAAGATATATAATGTACATGTAATTCTTGTCATTTTTTCTCCGACAGGACGTGATCTAGTGAATATAATACAAAACACCGCGTTAAAAAGTTTAAACTCAAACTCGAGCAGAAACGTTTTTGTCGTTGTGTTTGCTTGTAAGTGAAAATTGAAAAAATTAGTCATCACAAGGTTACAGTTACAACATCCATGACGAAGACACGAATGAAGGTGACTGGCGAAACGCAAGAAAACTAGAAAATAATTCATAAGAAAATTGGTTTAACTGTACAACAAGCACAAACACTGTATCTATTGATTTATAATAAAATTCAACAATAGCTTACAATGAGTTTGAGTTGGCAATTGGTAAACATACAGTACAAGGTGTTACAAGAGTGTCAAAACTAAGATGTCTAAAACAATGCTTTATATTTAGAAGGACGCCGCAAAGAACTAGTCTTCTTGTGTCGTTGGTGTTCCTAATTTTATTGTTTCAAGTGTTCAATTTACATATTTTATTTGATTGCGCAACGTTCGCCGCAAATTGGCAGGCTAAGGTTGTCAATGAATTACGCCAATGAACAAAAGAAATAAAAGTGCTCGTATTTAGATTTTTTTTGGTTTAAAACAAAAATAAACCGTGTCTTGTTTTAATGGATTGTTTCAATTATTTCAATTGATTATGATTAACCTTGTTGCTTGTATTTTTAATTTTTTATTATATAAATTCACATAACATTTATTTTAATGTTGATTTTTAATAATTAGTTTGGAAATATTTGCAAGTTATTATTTCATCATATTGTAAACGGAAGTTCAGCACATTAATCAACGTTTAACTGCGTGTTTGGTTTTCACGGTTTAGATTATGTGCAAATGCGGTAATTGACTGTAATTTTCTTATTATTGCTTGTTGCACCTGGAAAAGAAAAAATGCAAGTAGCTGCGTTTATTCTTACGCATTGAGTTTTAACAGTTTTAATAAAATTTAAAAATTTAAAATCCAAAATAAAAATCCAAATAAAAAGCAACAAAAATTATAAAATAAATATTTTCCTAGGATAGTTATCATTATAATGACATATAGTAACAATATAACAATGTTGTCACCGTCATGCGTTGCGGTTTTCTGCGACAAGATTCTTTCCAATTAAGAATATTAATTAGCAGCAAAGCAGTGATAATAATATTTACTTCTACGCACAGATATTCTGTTTTATGATTTTCCCGGCAATTATTCGAACTTTTTCTCAATCTTTTAAAACCTTCCCTAGACCTCCACGAATAATTCAAGACCAAGATAAGATAAATCCGTTCAGCCGTTCTCGAGTTTTAGCGAGACTAACGAACAGCAATTCATTTATATATATATAGATTACAGTTTAAAAAACGATTTTTAAGCAAAAAAAGTAAATTTTACTTCTTACAGTCAAAATATTTATTTATTTACTTAGGAAATTTATGCTTGCTTAATATAAATGATGTTTTGTTTGTTGTACTTGGTAAAATCGTGTGTAATTTTGTAATTAGCTACATTTGTCATTTTTATTTGATTTGTGAGCGTGTGAATGTGCGTGCGACGCTCGACTTTTAACTTTTTACCTTTTATAATAATTTTAACACGTTTAACATGTCATAAGAGACAAAATAATATCACAATAATGAAATTTCCTTCGCGGAATACAAAATTCTGATTTTTTAATAATAATTGTTGTCCATACAAATTATAGAAATTCACATTCATCAAAAATATTACACAAAACATGAGAATTATTTATGTCGTTCACAATTTACATAACACTGAGAGAAAATCCGAAATATTTAATTCTTAACACTTGCAGAGAGTTGGATGACAATGAACAATATAATATGCAAATGGGTGGCCCTTACACACCGTGTCTAATTTATGCAAATTATCTCGCGATCTGCATTTCGGTCAAGTGTTATCAAGCCAAAAACTTGCACAAAACATTTGAATCTTGAGTAGGTGATAAAACATACCGGTCGTAACCTTCTCATTCTCAAGCTGTGTGATGTGATGCAATTTCACAATGCGTCATGAGTACGGTAACACATTTAAAACAAGTGTATGTTGTGTAAAATACCGGTGAGCAGGTGAGTGAGGAGGAAGGAAGCAGTCCTTCGACGTCTCCAACGTTGTAGGCGAAGAAGGGGACTACTGCTGAGTATAAATACCCATAGGGTTGACCACCTGAAGCACAATCACAACTTGCTTCGTTCTGCACACATCTGCAAAACAATCCGTGGTGTGACAATGAAAGTTTTGGTAAGTTTACAAAAAATAAAATTTAAAAAAAGTATAAAATTTATTTTTTCTTTGTTTCCGGCCAGGCCTTAACAATTCTCTGCCTCTGCGCAGTAGCGTATTGCTTAGCCGAGGACGCAGCCGCGGCACCTTCCGACGACAAGAAGACAGTGAAGCGGGGCGTCCTCGGAGGCCTAGTAGGTTATGGCGGATACGGCGGTTACGGAGGCCATGGAGGTTACGGTGGTTTAGGTAGCGGATATGGCGGCTATGGCGGATACGGTGGTTACCACTCATATCCATCAAAATCTTACTATGGCGGTTATGGCGGTTTGGGTAGTGGTTATGGCGGCTACGGAGGCTATGGTGGTTATGGTGGATACGGTGGTCATGGAGGTTACTACAGCTCCGGCCTCGGAGGTGGATACTACGGACATGGCCATGGACACAGTTACTACCCTTCGTATAGCAGCGGCTATGGTGGATATGGTGGCTATGGAGGATACGGTGGACTCGGCGGGCTGGGATTCGGTCACGGTTGGTAAACCTTTTCCAAGTACCACTCACCATATACCACTCGACCCTGATTGGCACTGAACCGCTAAATCCTAACCAAAACAATGTCGTACTAACATTAATTGTACAACTCAATACAGTTTTGTAAGCATTTCTGCATCATATTTATAACGTAATTTAATAAACAAATAAAACTTTTTCGTACCTGAACAAGTTTTTGAAATTTCTTTCTGAAACCATGTTTAGAGAATGAGGATTTTCAGCACCTGGAATTGTAGCACTGAATTGCACCAGTGTTTGTGTTGTTTATTAGTGTTTAAATAATTTATATAATTGATACATTTTGCAATTACAGGTACCCTTATGCATTATTATCAAATGTTTCAAAAGTCAGTAAAAGCTCTGCGCAGAATGGGCAGGGTTTTGTCAAGATTCTTCTCGAAAGGAATTTGGTTGTGATATATTTGTTATTTTATTGTGTTTGGTTAATAAACAAGTTTATTTTTACAAATAATATCAACATATTTAATACCACGAACAAGTAAATGATATCAATCAAATTATTCTTGATTATTTTTGCGAATTATCTACTTTTTTATTCAATTTATCAAAGAAAATCTGAGAAAAGAGAAAAAAAAAAAATTACATTATAAATCATACTTGTCTTGTATGCAACCAGTCAAATAATATAAACAATTATAACATTACTAGCTTTAACTCGCGGCTTCGCTCACGAATATCTAAAATAATGAAGTTGCTTCCGTACGCGTCTGTAGTCACAGAAGAAGTACCAATGAAGTAGAATGGAGGGAAGTTTAAAATGGCTGAAAGTATAGTCTATGGAAGTATAGTGTACAGTCTCCATAGTGTAGTCAATTGGATTTGATGTTGACGTAGCTGTCGGTAATACAGTGTGATAATACAGTGTGATGGTACTATAGTACTTAGGTTTGAGCTTCATTGCTGGAATGCTAGATGGCGTTAAAGTAGTCAAATAGCCAGATGCAGATGTATTATTGGCTAAACAATTTCTTTATTTTATTTAAAAAATATTTTTTTTTATTAAATAAAAAGTAGCCTATAACCATTCGGGGACCACTAAGAATATGTGTAGAAATTTTCATAATGATCGGTTAAGTAGTATTTGCGTGAAAGTGTAACAAACATCAGGACTTTCACATTTATAATATTAGTAGGGATTACGAGTAAGTAAATGTTAACGAAATGTAAATTTGAAAATCCAAATGTGAGAAAACCACAATTATTCATGGAATAATTTGTTTTGGATTTCTGAACATTATTTATCCCATTATCAGCTAATTGCAACAATTTGTTCGATTATTGCAACTAATTGCAATAATTTGTTGCTAATTGAGTCAATATGAAATACTCGTACTAACTGAAGCATGTAAGTCACACCAATTACGCTATTTACAGTGGGAGCAGATAATGTATGATTAATTTTCAGCAATGTTTTAATTATGGTCGGGCACCAGCTGTCAGATGTTGCTTTAATTAATTCTGACACAGTAATTACGATGTTTAATGGGCTTCAGGCGTTTGCATACGCTCTGTATATTGTTTACAATCAAACATAAATGGATTAAGTGAAATGCTTCACACCAATCAATTTAGGTCTTGATAAATATTAAAGTTAGAAGGCAGAATAATAAATAAAAAAATAAAAAATTCAACAACAAAAACCTTAGTAGAAAAATAAAGTGGAAGTAAAAAAATAGCATAAACATCACGTCGCTAAACATTAGTAAACATTCGAGGGCTTAAACGCTTGCCACACTCGCTCTTAATCAATCTAGCGCCTTAAAGTGCTGTTTAGCTCTCTTGGTACTTAATATACTCTTTTATAAGTTTTAAAACTGAACAATTTAGCATACTAAACCCGATTATAAACTTTACAAAACTTAAACTCAACCCTTGACAAAACTAATAGCTTTTGCATGTCATGATTATATTGATTGGTTGTGTTTTCCGGTTTTCCGCTTTTTCGTTATTGTAGAGAATGTGTATGCATGCAAATTCTGGACCCCAGGAAACAACAAGCACTAGCAATGCAGTGACCTACCGCCACAAAACGCGTATGTTCGCTTATTTGAGCCGACTATTTATTACAAGGGCTCAACGTCCATTTCTAGGAGCCACGACAATGACGACAGATGGTTTACAGCCCCAGCACGCGACAACAAAGCAACTATTGCAATCGCAGCCTTCATTGTCGCAATTTCTGCCTGCATTCCTACTATTTGTCATACCAAATAAAACAATAAGCGAGATTTAATTATTTTTATTTATATTTCAATAATTGTCATCGCGAATATTGAATTTCCCTTCGCATTTAGTAAGTCGTCGGTTTTAATTAATTATATTCATTTAATTCTAAATTTAAATCGGTTTCGTTATGTAATATTATTGATTACTAGCTTTAACCCACGGCTTCGCTCGCGAATATCTAAAATAATGAAGTTGCTTCCATTCGCGTCTGTAGTCACAGAAGAAGTAACAATGAAGTAGAATGGCGGGAAGTTTAAAATGGCTGAAAGTATAGTCTATGGAAGTATAGTGTACAGTCTCCATAGTGTAGTCAATTGGATTTGATGTTGACGTAGCTGTCGGTAATACAGTGTGATAATACAGTGTGATGGTACTATAGTACTTTGGTTTGAGCTTCATTGCTGGAATGCTAGATGGCGTTAAAGTAGTCAAATAGCCAGATGCAGAGGTATTATTGGCTAAACTATTTCTTTATTTTAGTTAAAAAATAATTATTTTTATTAAATAAAAAGTAGCGTATAACCATTCGGGGACCACTAAGAATATGTGTACAAATTTTCATGATGATCGGTTAAGTAGTTTTTGCGTGAAAGTGTAACAAACATCAGGACTTTCGCATTTATAATATTAGTAGGGATATCAGAATAATAACTTTATATAACATATTTTAAGTCTTCAAACATAAAAACTAAAAATTTTGTTTATTGTTAACAGGAGCAGGAAAATACTGCAAAAATTAATTAAAAATTGAAATTGATTATATTTATAATCGGTTTACAACTTAATTTTAATGAGTTGATAGTTAAACGTTCTTTATGTTCAGTATTAACACATATTAAAACTTTTTTGTGTTTGAAACTCTATGTTTATGAAATAACTTTTTCGTAGAGTTTAACGATATCGTAAAAACTTCATTAATCTATATTAACGCATACTATGAGTATAAGAAGTAATTGAAGACATCACAAGACATGATTATGATGCGTAGTTGAGAAAATCCGTCAACGCTGCGTTGCGAACAAAAAGCTGACTCATGGATAATGAATGATTAATGGAAAGCTAAACAAGTTAGGAACAAAATTACGATACACTTCAAAATTTAAACTTGATAATTATTATTTTAAATTTACATTGTAATTAAAACCTAGAAGTGTATAACTAAAGTACATAACAATTTGCGGGATTTCGTAAGGTTCAGAGTGTGAATTAAGCTAAAATAAAGGTAAATGTACCGGGAATATTAATGTTATAGTTATTGCCGTAACCCGAAGCTTTAAAATCAATTAAAACAAATGATCTCACAATTAAATTCGGAAATTAACAGAAATTATCAAAATATTTACAATTTTAATTTATACAATTTTTAACGTGTTATTATGTTAAATATTTAATATTTTTGAAAGTTGTGTTAATGTATTTGCATGTTCTCTTGCCGAAATTTTGGGAAAGGATGGTTAACAAGGATTGCTGCGCTACGCAGGGGTGTGCGCGCACACTGGCCGCCCTTCGCAACTTTCAGTCGCCGCGACGCTTCCGAACAACGCTGATCGTTCCTCTATCACCAATATACACACATATAAAATCTTGAGTTATAAAGAAAAATAATGGTATATTATAAAAAGTATTAGTGTTTTTATATGCAAAAAATAAAAATAAAATTAAAATAAAAATTTAAATCATTTTGTTCCAATGTGGAGGCGCCGGGCATTCAAATAAAAATTATTTTTACTTACGTAAATTAAAACTAAAATTTATATAAAATGTAAAAATAAAATTATTGATTCCTGCACTCATTACAAATAATCAATCAGTGATTAATGGTGTGTCAATTAGCTATAATTAATTTTCGGTTTATTTACGCCAATTAAAATTCCTTTCTCTCATTGTCTCGACTTAAAATTAATGTTCGCCAGTCTCAAGAAATGCGGCGCGCTCTTGAATGTTTTACGGTGTCAATTAAAAAGCGTAATAAACTGCGGTGTGAGCATGATAAAAAAGGCGCCTAATTAAATCGAACCTCCGCCGTACCAAAAAATTGTTTTTATTTGCGATCAGCGTCGTATAAAAAGTAATAAAAGCTGAAAAATAACCGTGGATAATGTGAATATCTTTGTGGGTGGCAGGACGAAGAAAAACCAATATAAAATATCTTGTGTTGTTTATTGCTGTGAACGAGGCTCGAGGGATAAAGCATGGAGGGTGATAATTTTACGTGGACGTCGGATTTGAATGTGACGGAACTGTACGATTTGTACCAGACCATGATGGAAGCAAACGTGACGGAATTTACGAAGAAAACTAATTTACCGCTCTGGTACGAGACGGGCAGGGTGCAGATACCATTGTATGCGATTATATTTTTATTGGCTGTTATTGGAAATACTTTGGTTATCGTTACATTGGTAAGTAATACAAATATACAAAAGTTTTCATATTTTATTATTACATTTTGATTTTAAAGAGAAAATTAGGATTAATGATAAAAACCTTTTATTTTTTGCATTTTACATAAAATTTAAGCTAGAAAATTCTCATAAAAATAAAAATTTGTGGATTTATGCACGAAAAATCTTTAAAAATAAAATTTCCTTCAAAAAATGTCTCAAAATAAGTTAAAATGGTCAAAAATACAATTTTAATTAAATTCTGATTACAAAAATACAAAATGTTTAAAAATATTTGATTTATATTATAATTTAGTAACTTACGCATAAATTTCTTGCTATTTCAACCCGTCCTAAACGTATTTGAGTCAGGTAAGTGTTAAACAGCACAAACATTTCGTACCCACCTTAACACCGTCTCGTCCTATCCAATCTTTCTTCCCGACGTTTCTGATAGAAGGGACAAAATTGAACCTTTACCTTGTACAACACTCTGCAGTCTCAACACTGATTACACTCGCAGGGCCGTGCCACTGTTCAAAAATTATTCTTATTAGATTTGCATGTCACTTGTTTTTTCTTTTGTTGGCGGCGCATTTTTTTTTCTAATCCAATACAAAAGGTGTGCGCGCATTATATGCGTACTCACATGATCCCATTCCATAAAAGGTTTTATCCACCTATGCTCAGCAAAAAATAGCATGTTTTTTTGGAATTCAAACACAAAAAAATAAACGGTGAGGCTGAAAATTTTCCCGGGCATTTATCTAGTGTGTTAGTTTCATTAGACGGCGATTTGACCCATGGGAGGCGTTTAAAAGTCCTCAAAAACCCGCGCTGTAGGTTTAAAAAGTAAAAGGGTTTAAAAGTTGCAAATTTTATTGTGAAAATTTTAATTAAATGTATATTTTGTGGGGAATATTATATTCAACACTTTGCGAAAAAAGCCTAACAATTTACTTGTGTTTTAATTTAACTTTTGATGTTTTGATCCCCACAGCAATTTACCATCATACAAAAACTTCTAATAAAAACCAAAACAAGGCTTTTTACATAGTAATTAAAAACGGTACATATAAAAGTGTAAATTGGGCGCTTTTTTGACATATTTAGAAAAATTTTGCAGAAATTTCACATTATACTAAGTTTATTCTTAAACCAAAAAAAACCAGAGACTACTTACATAAATAATACGAATGACAAATGGATATTTAAGTGACAAACATACAATCCATAGTAGTCGTAGTTATTTGATAATGGATATTTTCCATTTACGGTAATATGTTTTTCTAATTATTTTTGATGCGCAGTTAGAATAAAACAAAAACAAAGTTTTCGATGCGGTCCTGTCCTGCACAAAACTTGTTATGTGTTGCTAATAGAGCTGGGTACGGCTAATAAAGTTGTAATATTAGTAATGTGAGTCCGTCTGCGACTGGTTGGGCGGATTTGACGTTTAACGATTTTTCCTATAAAAAACTCATCGTTAACGGTTACATTTGTGTGTTTTGTGCGTTCACGACTGCTTGCGCACAGGTATAATACTAAAATAACAAGAACACACGATTTATTTATTATAAGTACGTATGTAGAATCATTATATAAAAGATATTTTTTAGTTTACTACAATTATTTTGAAAAAAGTAGTGCAGTAAAATGCAGTATTATAAACTCAAGTAGAATTAACGATTTTAAGTAGGTATTTATATTTTAATAAAACATTTAATGATCAATTACGTTTAAAACGAAAATACTTGCTTTTTTATCAGCTTATAAACGAGCAAACACCAAACCAAACATATAAACCGTAAATTCTTTTGACTACGAATTTATTTTACTTCAAAAAATTGCAAGAAATGTGCAGAAATAAATTTTGAAGCCATTACTGTTGATGCACTTTGGTTCCATGTTAACATAAAATTTCCAACCCAAATTTATGCATTTATTTCATGAATTATGCCAGCATCTATTAATTTTTTTCTCCTTTCACCCTGATTTATCTGCGCTGGAATTCTTACCTAGTGGATTTAAAAGTTCGTCAATTCAATTTCCCATTTTCGACACATTTTATCGGCCCAAAAAACCTTCTCGAAAATGGAAGAGTGAAAAGGCCGGCGTTAACGTCGGCGTACATATCGGATTACTAGACGTAATCATCGGGCGCTTAATCGCCTCGAAGCCATCTTCTTCTGCGCGTCGAGGTTAAAGTCGACGCCAAGATTGCTTCACTTTAAGATTGGCGTGACAAGCGAGGTTGAAAGCAGCGAGTGTTGAGGACTGGTGCGAAGACAAAAAAGCAAAATTTAAGCCGAGAGCTTTTTGGCATTTATTTTCAAACAAAGTGGTGCAAATTTTCATAATTTATTGTTTAATTGACCGACATTAATATAAATTGACATAGCCGTGAGGGACAAAGTCTTTCTTAATTTATTTTTGATGGTGAATACAGTGAATACGTTGAAAACCTAATAATTGAATTAATTTTTGCGATTTTATAAAATTCAGGAATTTATTTAAAGTGAATTAATTTTTAAACATTTAATTCACTAATGTTGATAGAAATTTAATTTTAATTTTATATTGATGGCACTTCCACTTGCAGGAATTAGGTTTCATTCAGGTGTAAATTTCATTCAAAGGATTTAATATATTACAATATAAAATTGCAAATAAATTTACCATTAACAATAGCAGGGTAATAAAACAATGGTTGACAATTAAATGTAAGTAAACACGCAGTATATCATGAAACGTTCGAGTATTTGAATAGAAATAAGGATTTATGCCGTCAGGCATCAGACGCGTTTTGGATTTCGATGGATTTCGGATTTGTTGGTCTGGTCGAACGGCAACAGAGTTTTTTTTTGCGTCCGAAGCTGATTGTAATGGATGCGGCGTGCCGAATACTCAAGTACGCAAATGCTTTAATACGTGAGATCTTCTAATGCATATTTCATTACACATCCCCCGTCGCTCACTCCTCTTAATCCTAGCTTATAATTTGGATGATAATGCGTTTTGATAATTTAACACATTTGTCAATCGACGCTTTAAATTTTAATCTAAATAAAATGCTTATGTTTTAATTGGATTTATAAATTTATCTAAATATAATTGATCATTTTGTATGTGTTTGTTTTGTGGCTCAGGTGCAGAACCAGCGAATGAGGACGATAACAAACTTGTTCCTACTGAATTTGGCCGTCTCCGACCTGCTGCTAGGTGTGCTCTGCATGCCGTTCACGCTCATCGGCGCCCCGTTGCTGCGCGAGGACTTTGTTCCTCGGTGTAGTTATGCAAACTCTGCCTTTTAAGCAAGGTAATTAATTACGTTTTCTCAACTTTTTGCGTCTCTAATTCTTTAAGACGCGCGCCGCAGACACTGGCTTATTCCTGCTGGAATCCTAACTTAATCGCGCACATTAATTGAGAGAATTTCGAAATTTTAAATGTGAAATTGAGATCCAACTAATTTTCTATACAAACGACATTTAAATATATTGGAAATTAAATATAATTAATTTTAATATTTAATTTAAATTGTTTGAGTACTAATTTTATCATTTATATACAAATAGATGGCACTAGCACGACCTAAAATTCATAAAATAGACTTGTTTATTTCAATATTTGAGCCGTTTATTTTGAAAGTGACCTAACCTGTTTTTCAATTTTACCGGTTACCATGTATTACGTACAACTTCATAAAAGAGTTTATCAGTGACACACGTCAGATTGTTTATAATTCAGAGAAATACGGTACATTTTTACACATAGGTTTTCCGAATTAATTGAATAACTGAATCTCGTGTGGTTTGAAAGTGGCTCAACTCATTTATAGTTATCATGTATTACTATTGGCACAAACAAAAGCAGCGATGAAGGTAATTTCACTAATTAGTATTTACAAGTCCACCCTTCATTTTGGGACACTATGTTAGTTAATTAACCTTGTTCGTTTAATTATTTAAAACCAAAATCTCTAATATTAAATTTAGAAATTATTGCACCCATGAGGAAGAACCGAAGAAGACCACTAGTTCAGATAGTGAAAAAGAAATAGTAATACAATTTAAAAAAAAAGCGAATAAGAAAAAAGAGTTATGGAAACAATATTCCTCGTCAGAGGATTTAAATCGCATGTTTCGTCTGTTGCAATTTGCGCACAAGGTTGCCAGCAGGTAGTCTTATCAAGAAATGTCGCGATCATGTTTGCTTGACTGACGCACAGCATGCACTATTTTAATACTGTACTTTATAGAGAATTTCCTGTGAAATATTGTGAATTAATAATTTACAATACGTTTCTCTCTATTGCTTTTAGTTTAAAATATAGGCACTATTAAAAGTTTATTGACTTAAATATGTTAATTTTTCTTTGTTTATTTTGTTATATTGCAATTATTCGTAATTGTATAGTTGAGTCTTATTCGGTGAACCGTAGCAGAGTAGTGGTAAAAGTGACTCCTATTCAGGGCACCGTACAAGGGCAGCGGTAGAAGTGACATGTTCAGGGCACCGTAGGGGTTGATGGTAGAAGTGACTTGTATTCAGGATACAGTATTAGGCAAGCGGTAGAAGTGACTCGTGTTCAGGGCACCGTACAAAGGTAACGGTACAAGTGACCCCTATTTAAGGTACTGTGCGAGGGTAGTGGTAAAAGTGACTCGTGTTCAGGGCACCGTACATGTATGAATATATAGCTGACCCTAATAAACTAATTTTTTCTTTTAAATTAAAAAAAATTAATCTCTTAGGTTACTAATTTAATTTCCTACCTTATCTTATACAGAATTTTCTGTAGATTAAGAATCTTCAACCCGTTTTTTTCTATCTCTTTTAGTTTACAAGATATACGAAATTAAAGACTAAAAATTATTTATATTGCTTATATTATATTTATATTAATACCACAAACAATATAAGTGCTTAATAAAATAATATATATTTTGAATATTGTTAAATAAATAAACTTAATATTTAAAACCACAATTACAATAACAAAAATTGAATTTATTTAAAAACAAACTACGTGATCGCCAGCAAAATGCATTATTATAAATAGATTTTCTAGTTTAAGTTGGGACAAATATTATAACTAAGCCAATTTGACTACACGACCGATTATAAAGCAGTTGTTTAGTTTTATCCCCTGAGCAGCAGCATGCTACATAAAACATAACAGTTAAATTCGTTATATTACGCTAAATACACTTAAATTATGGACATACATTAAGTTTAGCATAACAAACAAATTAAACTAATAGTATATATTTATATTTTAATTTCATAAGCTTCTAAACACATAAAAATGCAAATACATTCAAAATAAAACGTTTTTAATCAACTTGTCTTGCATACATTTTTAAATTTAAAATTAAACGAAAAATATTTCATCAAATGCTTGTAATATACGCATAACTAACAAGTTATAATTTAAATGAGTAACAAGACACTGTGTATAAAATAATAAGTTCTCAGAGTGCTTTAGAATAGTGCTGACCGGACGTTTCTAAACTAAAACGCGCGCACGCATGCTACGCACTAAAACCCCTTTTTATGCACAACTATGCGTGGACTATTACTGTGCGAACCGTCGGACCTTTTTGAGGCAGTTAATATCTTGGGTTTGCGTGGGCGAACGTCGAGCGGCGGGCGTCGGGCGGCTATTGTTAATTAATCAAAACAAATTACTTTACTCGTACATGCAAGACAACCGAAATTGCCGGGTGTGTCTGCTAATTTAGCCTATTAATGCAACTTTTATATTTAATATTTCATAGCCAAACTTTGGAGATTTATCTATCAGGGTTCATTGGATGACAGTTTAAATCGCATGTTTCGTCTATTGCAATTTGCGCACAAGGTTGCCAGCAGGTAGTCTTATCAAGAAATGTCGCGATCATGTTTGCTTGGTTGACGCACAGCATGCACTATTTTAATACTTTACTTTATAGAGAATTTCCTGTGAAACATTGTGAATTAATAATTTACAATACGTTTCTCTCTATCGCTTTTAGTTTAAAATATATGCACTATTAAAAGTTTATTGACTTAAATATGTTAATTTTTCTTTGTTTATTTTGTTATATTGCAATTATTCGTAATTGTATAGTTGAGTCTTATTCGGTGAACCGGAGCAGAGTAGCGGAAAAAGTGACTCCTATTCAGGGCACCGTATAAGGGCAGCGGTAGAAGTGACGTGTTCAGGGCACCGTAGGGGTTGATGGTAGAAGTGACTTGTATTCAGGATACAGTATTAGGCAAGCGGTAGAAGTGACTCGTGTTCAGGGCACCGTACAAAGGTAACGGTACAAGTGACCCCTATTTAAGGTACTGTGCGAGGGTAGCGGTAGAAGTGACTCGTGTTCAGGGCACCGTACGTGGATGAATGTATAGCTGACCCCCATTTGCTCATTTTTCTTTTAAATTAAAAAAAAATAATCTCTTAGATTTCTAATTTTAATTTCTAGCTTATCTAATATAGAATTTTCTGTAGATTAAGAATCTTCAATCCGTTCTTTTCTATCTCTTTTAGTTTACAAGATATACATAATAAAAGAATAAAAATTATTTATATTGTTTATATTATATTCATATTATTACCACAAACAATATAAGCACTGAATAAATAATATATATTTTGAATACAGTTAAATAAATAAACTTAATATTTTACACCACAATTACAATAACAAAAATTGAGTTTATTTAAAAACGAACTACGTGATCGCCAGCAAAATGCAATGCATTATTATAAATAGATTTTCTAGTTTAAGTTGGGACAAATATTATAACTAAGCCAATTTGACTTCACGACCGATTATAAAGCAGTTGTTTAGTTTTATCCCCTGAGCAGCAGCATGCTACATAAAACATAACAGTTAAATTCGTTATATTTGCCACACTAAATACACTTAAATTATGGACATACATTAAGTTTAGCATAACAAACAAATTAAACTAATAGTATGCAAATTTATATTTTAATTTCATAAGCTTCGAAACACATAAAAATGCAAATACATACAAAATAAAACGTTTTTAATTAATTAATTTTGCATACATTTTTAAATTTAAAATTTTTGTTTAATTAAACCAAAAATATTTCATTAAATGCTTGTAATATACAACTATTAAGTTATAATTTAAATGAGTAACAAGACACTGTGTATAAAATAATAACTTCTCAGAGTGCTTTAGAATAGTGCTGACCGGACGTTTCTAAACTAAAACGCACGCACGCATGCTACGCACTAAAACCCCTTTTTATGCACAACTATGCGTGGACTATTACTGTGCGAACCGTCGGACCTTTTTGAGGCAGTTAATATCTTGGGTTTGCGTGGGAGACCGACTGGCATCGTCGAGCGGCGGGCTATTGTTAATTAATCAAAACAAATTACTTTACATGCAAGACAACCGAAATTGCCGGGTGTGTCTGCTGATTTAGCCTATTAATGCAACTTTTATATTTAATATTTCATAGCCAAACTTTGGAGATTTATCTATCAGGGTTCATTGGATGACATTTATTTGTTCCTTTTTTAATCTTTTGTGCTATGTGATATCGTAAAATGTCTGTAAACGTCTCAGGTTGAAATGCGCACACAAAAAACGTTTGACGTCTCTTAAAATATGAAAATATTATATTCTGAATATAAATCTGCATCACAATGAGACTTACGGGTATAGATTGCTTTTTTTTAATATTATCTGAACTTTTTATTTAAAAAAGAAGAAAATTATATGAAGTCATACAGGTAGACTATTAAAAAATAGTTTCAAGTTAAAAGTATAAAGTTATACTCCTTAGAATTGGAAAAAATTAACGTGTTATAATTTAGTAATTCAGTTATATTGTTGAATGAATAATCGTGTTTTTTTCTCTGTTAAGTAACAAAGTTTTCTTCGTTGCGAGGTAGCTTATGACGGGCTTTTAAAGTCGCACTTTTTTATCCCATTCAAAAGTTTTCTACTTCTCTGTTCTTGAGCTTTGAACCATTAAAAACCATTTTTATTCAAGTTGAAACTTTTAACATGAATTGAGTTTCAGATATATTTTATCAATGTAATTTGATTTCGAATTATTTCATAATCAAAATTTTTTGAAATTCGGCTGGGTATCTAGAAACCTTCTGCCATAGAGTGCAGGAGTTGTCTAGGGTAGGTTGATTTACGAGCAATCTTTAAGACGTTCTTTGCTGGAAGAAGATATGCCCGGGCGCTATAAATATCGCGTGTCGACACGATGCGAACTGGGGCGTCACATTGTTGGAAGGTTTTGTTGAAGAGAATGTCAGATCGATTGAAT